GTGTTATTTTTCTGTTTCAGGATAGCATTGTGTATTGATGATCAAAGAAGATTCTGTGTAAATAGTTGCCATCTGATTGGAAAGGAGGCCATCAAACAAAGACAACTGCAGCTACTGGGCTATGATGTTGTGCAGGTACACAATCCAGTGATACCATTGTTTGGGAGAGAGCTGTACAAAAAAATTGTCCAATACAGCTGAAAAATGTTTAGTTAACAAAATCCAGCCTTTAACTGCGGGTTCTTTGAAGGTACTGCATAAAGTTAAATACAGTCATTCAAAATATCTAAACACTGAAAGAATGGTGGCTATACTGGCAATTACATTTTCCACTTGGGGTTCCGGAGATTTCACTTTAACATCAAAACCCGTTTGCTTTTTCCAGATTCCATTCCACGAGTTTGACAAGCTGCAGAACCGTGAGGAGATGGTGCAGTATCTCCACAGGAAGATCTTTCCACACAGTTACAGACTCACTTGGTGAAGCAACAAAAAAAGTCAGAATCTCTAATATTGGGAATTATATGCAGATAATTATTTGCAGAGAACATTAACATTTATTTAATACTATAGCAATATGGTGTCTAATAGATTGCTAGTAAAAATAATGGAAACTGAGGAGGTTGGACGAATGCGCTTCCCTTTCACATTTGGGACGAGCTATACTGTGATGAAAGACTTGGCTTTATTTAAGTGATTTAAGAGTTGGCTCTTAAACTGTCCAGAATTCAGCACTTTATAGAGGTCACAGTAAGTATGTTCTCTGAAACAATTAGTGAGTGTAGATACTTTACCCTTCTACTTTTGTACATTGAGTGGAACTTACACCATGTACTTGCTAAAAACCGCTACGTTTTCAATTATCAATAATGTAGTAAAGTACAGAACCTATCGCTGCCAATCCAAGATAAATAATTGGAAAAAATCATTTTTATCAAAAAGCTGCTGAATCAAATTTGCATCTTTCCCCCAGTAAGCCACCAGTGAGGTAACTTACTCCTCAGATTCTCCCACATGTGCTCTTCAGCTGCCCCCGGATAAATTGTTGTCGACTCCCTTTATTAACCCCGCTCCCCCCACACTCCAGCACTGGAAACAATACTTGAAGCGGAGTAGCTCAGATTTGGACAGAGGAGGAGGAAAGGAATGAAGGATTAACCACTCCACTCACTCTCCTGTGCCTGCTGTATTATATTTGTACAGTTAATTATGTAGAAAAACTGCAGTCCTGTAGCTCAGTGGTTAGAGCACTCGCCTCACAAGCGAGAGACCTGGGTTCGATTCCCGGCAGGGCGAAACCTTGGGCAAGTCTCCTTACTCCACACACCTGATAATAAGCCCTCAAGAAAAAAATAATAAGTTGGTCACTTCAATCCACAACTGTTTGTGGGACATTGCTGTGTGCAATTGGTTGCCGTATTTCGCCCACAAATATAGTCAATTCACTTTACAGTATATTCTGTAAAGTGTTTTGAGACGTCTAGAAGACATGAAAAACGCTATATCAAATGCAAGGATTATTATTATGTAGAAAAACTGAATTTATTCATAAAATTGTGAAATCACTATTAAATAAAATTGCTATTTCAATTAACTAATGGGAGGTAATTTATTAAAGAAACAGACTGCATTGTGAAAAAAAATTTCATTGGAGCAATACAACATAAATATTGACAGAATACAAAAACACATTGTGTACATTTGGGTTATGAAAGAATGCTAGATGTCACCAATAATAAGTCAACTTTAAAATGCCTGATAACCTGGGCCAATAGAAAAGTGCAGAAATATTTGCCAAAAATTGTGGGGCATTTGACAAATTTTGCAGAAAATTGCGAGGGATGATCGGTGCTATTGAGATGCATTTTGTGAAACAACTTGGATTAAAACTACAGGCATGTATTTCCTGAACATGCAGTTGTGGTCGTTAATCGATTGGCTGATCGCTTTTCTGGGAGAAATAATTCCTTCAATAGAAAAATACTAAATTGGTCACTTAATCCACGAGTGTTTGTGGGACACTGCTGTGTGGAATTGGCTGTCGCGTTTCACCCACAAAATATAGTCACTCCACTTTACAGTATATTCTGTGAAGCGCTTTGAGATGTCTCGAAGATGTGATAAGGCGCTATATCAAATGCAAGGATTATTATTGTGTTTAAAATACTCAAAATATTAAACTGAATAGTGCAGACCTTGCTAAGAATTTGTCACAAGAGCTCACTTTAGGCTGCGAGGCCGCGTGAAGCCGATTTCCCGCCCGCACTGCCTCTGCGATCCCAACACTTCCCACGGTAGCAATGTCGAGCAAACAGTGCGAGAGGAACGGAGCCTAGCACACTGTGTACAGGTGTTTAGCGGGGCCGAGCACACTGTGTACAGGTGTGTAGCGGGGCCGAGCACACTGTGTACAGGTGTGTAGCGGGGCCGAGCACACTGTGTACAGGTGTGTAGCGGGGCCGAGCACACTGTGTACAGGTGTGTAGCGGGGCCGAGCACACTGTGTACAGGTGTGTAGCGGGGCCGAGCACATTGTGTACAGGTGTGTAGCAGGGCTAGCACACTGTACAGGTGTGTAGCGGGGCCGAGCACACTGTGTACAGGTGTGTAGCGGGGCCGAGCACACTGTGTACAGGTGTGTAGCGGGGCCGAGCACACTGTGTACAGGTGTGTAGCGGGGCCGAGCACACTGTGTACAGGTGTGTAGCAGGGCCTAGCACACTGTGTACAGGTGTGTAGCAGGGCCTAGCACACTGTACAGATGTGTAGCGGGGCCGAGCACACTGTGTACAGGTGTGTAGCGGGGCCTAGCACACTGTACAGGTGTGTAGCGGGGCCTAGCACACTGTGTACAGGTGTGTAGCGGGGCCGAGCACACTGTACAGGTGTGTAGCGGGGCTAGCACACTGTACAGATGTGTAGCGGGGCAGAGCACACTGTGTACAGGTGTGTAGTGGGGCCTAGCACACTGTACAGGTGTGTAGCGGGGCTAGTACACTGTACAGATGTGTAGTGGGGCTAGCACACTGTACAGGTGTGTAGCGGGGCCTAACACACTGTACAGATGTGTAGTGGGGCCTAGCACACTGTGTACAGGTGTGTAGCGGGGCCGAGCACACTGTACAGGTGTGTAGCGGGGCCTAGCACACTGTACAGGTGTGTAGTGGGGCCTAGCACACTGTACAGGTGTGTAGTGGGGCCTAGCACACTGTACAGGTGTGTAGTGGGGCCTAGCACACTGTACAGGTGTGTAGTGGGGCAGAGCACACTGTGTACAGGTGTGTAGTGGGGCCTAGCACACTGTACAGGTGTGTAGTGGGGCCTAGCACACTGTACAGGTGTGTAGTGGGGCCTAGCACACTGTACAGATGTGTAGTGGGGCCTAGCACACTGTACAGGTGTGTAGTGGGGCTAGCACACTGTACAGGTGTGTAGTGGGGCCTAGCACACTGTACAGGTGTGTAGTGGGGGGCCGTTTAGCAGATTCCATGGAAGAAGTTGTTTCTATTGGCCCAGCTAATAACTCAAAATTTCAGCAGCCGATGACGTGCAAATCACCTTACGTGTGACTGAATAGAAAAGGAAAATATTGACCAATATTACTATTCTACAGTACTCAGTACCACTTATTAAAAGATTCCCTGGTTTCCATAACATTTATGCCGTTTTGTAAATAATTTAATAGATTTTACACATTAAATAGTAAAAACTGAAAAGAATAGTTTCCTACTATTAAAATTCTCAGTTACTGTGTGAATTCCTTAGTCAGCAAGAGCCAGGTTGTTTGACTGAAGTTTTTCTAGTTCTTGTAAGATATTTGATTCGATAACATCACACTGAGCCAAGTAAGTCTGCAACAGAAATAAAATGAACATTCTCATATTAAGCAAGGGCAAAGTCTTCATAAACATACTTTTGATAATGTCACCTCCTGTGCAAGAAGCTGCCAACCACTCTCCTAAGTTTCCAGCATTTTCTGTGACACTGTTGGACACTATGAGGCTGTCTACATATAACGCACAGCAAACCAGCCACTCGTGCCTAAAGAATCCTGCACTTCCGGTAAACCAGTGGTTCATTGTCCACTTGCACTATACAAGCAGGTTTTCACAAGATATCAGATTGTACATAAATGTCCAACAGCGAAAGTCAGAATCAAAATATTAATTTCGCCCTCAAATATAAAGGATACCCTGGTGTCTCACTTAATACAAAACATGGGTTAAAGTTCCTAACATTACTAGGCAACTTTTTAAATGAAATGAGCAGACAATTTGACTTGTATAAACTCAGTTTAGCATAGCACATCAGTATAAACTGAGCAAAGCAGTGGTACAGCAGTTTGGTGAACGCTTTTATTTATTGATGAGCAAAAGTAATCATATCCTTAATCTGGTTTTAAATCTCCAGCAGGCAAAAAAAACTCACCTGTACATTCTTTACTAAACCTTTCCTCCTATATCTGCAGTCACTGAAATCCTCAGGCAAACTCTGAAAAGCAATGGGTTACATTTTAGAATTTAAACAGGAGCGAAACGGACACAAATTAACCGCAATTCACACATACACAACAGCTTGCATTCATGTAGCTCCTTCATGTATGGCAAAGTCTTGGAGAGCTGTATAATGACAGGGTTGGACGTCGGGGAGGAGGTGGGGGCATGGATTGAGGCAGAGGGATTCTGGCAGAGATTATTTTCGCCCTCAAAAATATACAGTCAATTAATTTTACAGTATATTCTGTGAAGTGCTTTTGAGACGTCTCGAAGACGTGATAAGGCGCTGTATCAAATGTAAGGATTATTATTATTATCAGCAGCTGGGCTGAGGGTCAAACAGTTTTGCAATTGTGCGACTCGTACTGAGGCTTTGATATAATATTAGGCTTTCTTAAAAAAAAACTTGCATTCTTTCCAGGACATTTTATCCATTTTGAAAATCAGGTTTACATTCAATGCCAGCTGAATCAGAAGTCAAAGTAACTCTTACCCACCATTGCATCAATTTGTTCGAGGAACTTCATACACTGTTCAGCTGTGCTCTTCACCTTTTTCTCTAGTTTGTTCAATGCAGCAGACTGTAGATCCTTGGCAAGAAAGCCCTGAGTGAACAGAATAAAATCATTGGATCAGAGGATAAAAACGTCTCTACTTAAAGTTCCCATATTTATTGTAAGATCTTAAAGAATCGAACAATAATAATCCATACATTTGCATAGTGCCTATGTAGGAAGGAAAAGAAAAAAAAGGAAGAAAAGGCCACTTGAGAGAGGTGAAGTGGGTAAGAGGTGAAGCCAAATGTATAAGCCAAAATATATAAGCCAAAAAAAAATAATAATAATTTGGTCACTCAATCCATGACTGTTTGTGGGATAAACATTGGCTGCTGCGTTTTGCCCACAAAATATACAGTGAATTCACTTTTCAGTATATTCTGAGAAGCGCCTTGAGACATCTCAATGATGTGATAAGGCACTATATCAAATTATTATTGTTATTATTTGGCCAATAAGCCTTCTCTTTGGCAAGGCAATGGGCAAGACAATATCAAAACCATTTCATCTTAAGAGGAACAATTCTGCAATGTTTCTCCCTCACCACAAAAGGGAAAATCAAACAAAATATCAGACTACCCATCTGTCTTTACAACTACAACAACAACAAATTTTCATTTATATACAGTGCCTTTCAAATCAGGAGGACATTCTGAGGCACTTAACAGTCCTGGCACCAGAGCTGGGGATGGGAGCCGAGGAGGGAGTGGATGTGTGTCTGAACTTTTAAATTAGTGCATTCTCAGAGATATAAGATATGGAATCTCAGCAGTATCTGACAAAATATGTTCATCAGCTGCACATAAAGAGTTTAACCAATTCTTTGTCAGGCTATTTGAAGGGGCATTGGAGATGGATACCATGTCCTCAAGATTACTTACATTAACCACATCATAAAGAAGCATAACAAGTGCTGCAAACTGACCACAGGAGTGACTGAAGCCCAAGTCCAATCAAAACAAGTCTCTTATCACATTGTCAAAACATCTCGAAGCGCTTCACAGGATATACTGTAAAGTGGATTGACTGTATTTTGTGGGTAAAATAGCAGCCAGGTTTGCGCAGAGCAATGTTCCACAAATAGCCACGGAGTGGTTAACCAAATTTATTTTAGGGAAATGTTGGCTCGGACATTGGAAGAAACTTTTGAATAATGCAATGAGATCTTTAACTTCCGCCTGAACAGGCAGATGGGACCTTGATTTAACGTCTCAACCGAAGGATGGCACCTCCGACAATTCAACCTCCCCACCCCCTCAGCACTGCATCAGAGTGTCATCTTAAACTCTAGGATTCCAAGAAAATAAAATAGTGTATATTGCGAGGGGGGAAGAAGAGAAAAAGAAAAGAGGATTTTAAGAAGTACCAGAAATGACTCACATTTCGAATGCCTACCAGCTCGCCATTAATTTCCTCCAGTTTGTGCGACAACTGTTCTGTAGATTTCTCAAAGTCCTTTAATTTCTTTATTTCAGCTTCTTCTTCTGGACTGTTCTATTTGAGTGAAGAAAATTATTTATAGGCTGGGTGGATGAGTTATAGAAAATACTAAGTCTTAGGTAAAAATATCCAGATTTGGGAGATACAGGAACAAATGTTCATATACTTAGTTATAATGAATGATTAAACCAATTCACTTGGGGATTTCATTGGGACCATGATCAAAATGGAGTAGTGAATATCTTCATTTACAAGGATTCAGCTCAGATGACATCTCGCTAAGGCACAAATGAAAAGCTGAACTATATTAAAATCATAAAAGTTGTGCACTTCCCAATTGCTACAACTGGGCAGAACAAAGATTCATTCCACTATGCCTGTGGGTTTCCTTCCATTTAAATTATGCAGTAACTGTTGGAAATTAATATATAGGCCAATCTTTTATTCAAATCCTTCAAGGGTCCGAATAGAAATCAGGCTTCTCAAACCATAGACAACGACACTGAGCTGTCCTCATAATCTTGGGGCAGCCCGCAAGAGCAAATCTAGGAGCTCTATGCTACTTCCACCGATGGGGAAGCATTCTACTGGATAATCAACACTTTTTTCCCCAAAATATAGTGAAGTGAGTCAACAATACTATTATTCTTTAAACATTTTTTAATAACGTTAATCAGGTAGTAATAAAACAGAAAAGATAGGAATGTACCTTTTTGCCAATCATCATTATTTTACAGCCACTTTTAACACCAAGAACAGACAAAGGCTGTTCCATCTCTTTAAGAGATTTCCCTGCACAACAAGAACAGAAAAATATTGTTACTACTGAGAAACCATTATTATTGAAGCACCTTACCACAGTTGGGTAGTATCCAAATGGTATATTTGCTTCGAGTTAGTTCCCATTCTGATAGAAGCGAATCAAATTAAGCATTGAAATTCCTGAGAGGTTCCAAGTAGAAAAGACACATTTCACTCCTTGAAACAACAGAATAGAAAAGGATGGAAAGCCATTCAAAGCTCTCCTTGGGTACGTCCAGGCAGTCAACTGAGGTGCAACGGCAGCCAATTGCGCACAGTAGTGTCCCACAACAGTCGTGGATTGAAGTACCAATTTATTATTCTATTTTTTTTTCTTGAAGGATTATTATCAGGAGTGTAGAGTAAGGAAACTTGCCCAAGGTTTCGCTTGCCGGGAATTGAACACAGGTCTCTCGCTTGCAAGGCGAGTGCTCTAACCACTGAGCTACAAGACTTGTACCATCAACGTGCTTAAGAATTCTCAGTCTGGTTTGGATTCTCCTAAGCATGTTGATGGGTTTCTGTAGGTATCAGATCTGAACAAAGAAGTCATCTCTTTTGTCAAATAACCTACAACCCTCGCATAGCATCTGTTAAGACTTGCACATAAATAATTTAATGTCCTGTTGCCTCGTCATTTGGACAAAGTAGCAGAGAGCAACTCATTCATGAAACCACCCTCTAGTAAAAGGAAAAAGGAATCTAACTTGTTCAGAAGGCAAAGGATGGGAGAAGATTGTCCGAGAGAGAAAAAAATCAGTATTTCAAGGTAAGATCCACTGAAAAGCAGCTGATAATACTAATCAATATCATTAGTCTAGCATTATAGAAATTAAAAGCACTCAGCAACAGACAATATATAAAAAGTCTGTATCAAATCAAACACAATGCTGAGTAGAGCAAATTGTACATTGCATTTTAACTTGTGCATTACTAGACTTTAGTGGGTACTGGATACTGACACGGAAAGTCAGGTGTGGATGAGTAGATTGATTTCCTACAATTTATACCAGCGTAGTTCAACAGGGAGTCCCCGGACAGCATGCAACCTGGCAGGTGATTTTATCCATCCCGGGACCATTCCGGACGATATTATTTCCACTCCCCGCAGCATCCTCCCAACCGACGGCTTCTGCCGCTGTCCTGGGAAGACGTTCATCAGAGAGGGAGGGAGGGAGGGAGGGAGCGGAAGTTGGAATGTTGGAAATGGTCTCGGGCCTGATAAAATCACCAGCCAGCTGATTTGAGTAACAAACATTTACAACAACTTGCATTTAGTAATGTCTGCTGAATGACAGGTATCCTGGCGAAGACTGGAGTGATGGGCATGCAAAGCTTTTTGTGGATAAGGATGATGATTGTCAAAGTTTTGGATGAGGTGTTCCTACTGGAGAAGGGCTTTTAAAAATGTAAGTCTGTAGATGAGGGTTTCAGCAAAACTGAGCACGAGATGGGAATGGAAGCAGGTGATGTGGCAAACATTTGGAAATAATTTCTCCCCGTTTGGCTATCAAAACCCCTTATAATTTTAACATTAGCACTAGAATATCAGCCTACACTATGAGTTCAAGTCCTGATGTCAGGCTTACAACCACAAGTACTACTTACTGCATCAAGTTGACAACACACTTTTTTACCTGAACAATACCACCGAAGGAACATATGGCTTAATAAAGATAAATGAGTACATTATCCTTTACAAGGAGTCCTACCTTTAAATATTAGTTTCTGCAATTGCTGGGGCACCCCAGTGACTTGAGCGATGACCCGGGCCATGTCCTGCAGCATGGGCTCTTTATTTTCCTGTTCTGATGAAATTTCAATCTTATGCTTAGAGGAGCCTGAAATAAAGCACAAGTCAGGACATCTTTCAACATATTGATCAGCATTACATTACACCGATTGAGGAGTCCCTTTGGTATTCCAAGGAACAATTTTACAAACATAGGCTTTCTCTGCACACAATTTTAGCAAGTTTAACATGTAAGGCATTCACTTATAATAGTTACTGCACTTTAAAAGGAAAATTCTGTGAAGCATTTTGAGACAATCTCCTGACATGAAGGATACTTTATCTGATGTAAAGATAATGATGATGTTTATTATTCTAACGAGGGGTGGGGTGGTGTTTGGGGGGTGGTGGGGTGGGGGTGGTGGGGTGTGGTGGTGGGGGTGGTGGTGGTGGGGGGTGGCGTAGGGGTGGGGGGGGGGTGGTGGGGGGGATGGTGGGGGGGGTGGGGGTGGTGGGGGGTGGTGGGGTGTGGTGGGGGTGGTGGGGGGTGGTGGTGGTGGGGGGATGGTGGGGGGGTGGTGGGGGTGGTGGGGGGGTGGGGGGTGGGGTGGTGGGGTGGTGGGGGTGGTGGGGTGGTGGGGGGGTGGCGTGGGGTGGGGGGTGGTGGGGGGATGGTGGGGGGGGGTGGTGGGGGGTGGTGGGGGGTGTGTGTTGGGGTGTGGTGGGGGGTGTGTGTTGGGGGGTGGTGGTGGTGGGGGATGGTGGGGGGTGTGTGTGGGGGGGTGGTGGGGGTGGTGGTGGTGTTGGGGGTGGTGGTGGGGGATGGTGTTGGGGGGTGTGTGTTGGGGGGTGGTGGGGGGTGGTGGGGGTGGTGGGTGGTGGTGGGGGGTGGTGGGGTGGGGTGGTGGGGGGATGGTGGGGGGGGTGTGTTGGGGTGTGGTGGGGGGGTGTGTGTTGGGGTGGTGGGGGGTGTGTGTTGGGGGGGGGGTGGGGGGGTGGGGTGGTGGTGTTGGGGGGATGGTGTGGGGGGTGGTGGGGGGGTGGGTGGGGGGGGTGGGGGGGTGGGGGGGATGGTGGGGGGTGGTGGGGTGTGTTGGGGGGTGGTGGGGTGGGGGGGTGGTGGGGGGGTGGCGTAGGGTGGGGTGGTGGGGGGGATGGTGGGGGGGTGTGTTGGGGTGTGGTGGGGGGGTGTGTGTTGGGGTGTGGTGGGGGTGTGTGTGGTGGGGGGTGGGGGGGGGGGTGGTGGGTGTTGGGGGGATGGTGTTGGGGGATGGTGTTGGGGGGGTGGTGGGGGGGGTGGTGGTGGGGTGGTGGGGGGATGGTGGGGGGGTGGGTGGGGTGTGGGGGGGTGGTGGTGGGGGGGATGGTGGTGGGGGGTGTGTTGGGGGGGGTGGGGGGGTGTTGGGGGATGGTGTTGGGGGGTGGGGGGGTGTGTTGGGGGTGGTTGGGGGGGGATGGTGGGGGGGTGGTGGGGGGGGTGGGGGGGGGGTGTGGTGGGGGATGGTGGGGGGATGGTGTTGGGGGGGTGTTGGGGGGGGTGGGGGGGGGTGTTGGGGGGATGGTGTGGGGGGGTGTGTTGGGGGGGGGTGGGGGGGTGTTGGGGGATGGTGTTGGGGGGGGGGGGGGGGGGGGGGGGGTGTTGGGGGGGATGGTGTTGGGGGGGGTGTTGGGGGATGGTGTTGGGGGGATGGTGTTGGGGTGGTGTTGGGGGGGTGTTGGGGGGGTGGGGGGATGGTGTTGGGGGGGTGTGTGGGGGGGTGGGGGGGGGTGTTGGGGGATGGTGTTGGGGGGGTGTGTGGGGGGGGTGGGGGGGTGTTGGGGGGATGGTGTTGGGGGATGTGTGTTGGGGGGGTGTTGGGGGGGTGTTGGGGGATGGTGTTGGGGGGTGTGTTGGGGGGTGGGGGGGATGGTGGGGGGATGGTGTTGGGGGTGTTGGGGGGGTGGGGGGGGGGTGTTGGGGGATGGTGTTGGGGGGTGTTGGGGGGTGTGGGGGGGTGGTGGGGGGATGGTGGTGGGGGAGATGGTGGTGAGGTGTGGGGGGATGGTGGTGTGTGTTGGGGTGTTGGGGATGGTGTTGGGGGGTGTGGGGGGTGTTGGGGGGGTGTTGGGGGGATGGTGTTGGGGGGGTGTTGGGGGATGGTGGTGGGGGAGATGGTGGTGAGGTGTTGGGGGGTGGTGGTGTGTGTTGGGGTGTGTTGGGGGGATGGTGTTGGGGGGGATGGTGGTGTGTGTGGGGGGTGTGGTGGGGGTGGAGTGTTGGTGTTGGTGGTGGGCATCAGTTTTCAGGGAGAGCACAGCCCAGTGCTGGGAAGCCCGAGTGGGGTCTCAGTAAAGTGTGTGAGTTTCCTGTCATTGGTTCCCGGCTCCTCACCGGGAGGTTGGGGACTAAATCAGGGCCGCCCTCGCTCTGCGGACAAGGCGAGTGGTGAGCCCTGGAGCAGAGGGCCGCGGGGAGCAGCGCCCTGACCACCACCACCACCACAACAACAACAGCAGCAGCATTCACTGAGCTGCTTTCCCATCAGGATGACGTGCCAAGGCCCTGGGCAGGGAAGGGTCTGTACCCGAGCCTCGGGCTGGAGTGTGGAGCAGAGCCCGGCCAGAGCCGCCCCCCCGCCCCCCCCACACCGTTACCGTGCATCAACGTGACAGCCACCGCTCCCCCCGCCATCGCTCCTTCACACCCGCTCAACCACTACTTCCGCCGGCACCGGAAGCCGGCAGCTCGCCCCGCCCCCGGCCTGCCGCGGCCGCCATCTTTGTGCGGGGCGAGCCGCTCAGCTGCTGTCAGTCAAGAGGTGGGCGGGGCCTACAGACCGCGAGCAGTGCGGTCGGGTTGGGCGGCTTCACGCCTATTGGGCGGGTTTTTGTGGGGCAGAACTGTCTGTGCAGGGAAAACAAATTGGCCACTCTGTACCCATGGGAGGCCACAGATTGGGCTATTTTGGGGCGAGTGTTTGGTTGACTTTGGGCTACAAAGGTGATTTAGTTCCTCCCTCCCTGACTGCAGACAGAGCTCAGCGCCCACACCAGCAACATACTCACATTACTGTCTCTCCCATCACCTCAACTGTGGGGTGTAAGGTGTACTCTCACTACACCTACATTTTTAAGCGTTTGATGCTCCAAATACCTGTTTTCAATGCTTTCTTGGCAGATTTTTGTCGAGGGGCTTCGAGTTTTTTTGAATTCCGTTAAAAGAAAACGGAAATACAAAGTTATTTAACAGTCACCTAAATACTTTTAATTCCGCGTCTGTAACTGAGAAGCACATAATGATTTTTATGCTTTACACCCATTGCGAAGTGAACTCGATCCAGGAATTCCATTTGACGTAGATTTGCAGTGTGGAAATAAGCTATTCAACCCAACTAAACTGTGCTTGTATTTCTACTCCACATGAGTCTCACCTAATCCTTACTGCCTCGCACACCCTTCTATTCCCCTCTCCCTCACATGTGTAGCTAGTTTCCTGTTAAAAGCATCTCCACACACTTGTTTACCTAACAGAAGTAGGAACCCGATTTTTAGTTGATTGGCGGATTGGTCTTCTGGGGATAATAATTCCTTAAAAAAAATGTGGTCACTCAATCCATGACTGTTTGTGAGACTTTGCTGTGGGCAATTGGCTGCCACATCTTGCCCACAAAATGTACAGTCAATTCACTTAACAGTAAGCGCTGAGAAGCGCTTTGAGACCTCTCAAAGATGTGATAAGGTGCGATATCAAATGCAAGGATTATTATCATTAGTAATACTATCTATTCAACCACTGCTTCGGGCAGCGAGTTCCACAATCTCACTATCAGTGACATCACTAGGAATGGCAATTTGGGATGGGCACCAATTGATGGGAATGACCAATGACTAAATTTCCAATCCTAGCTACACTACTGTATCATATTCCTGCACTGGCTCTCTTGCCATCACTCTCTATTCTAAGGCAGCACGGAGAGCAACAGGTAGGCCTGTGCGCTAATTAAATGGGCCGTGGCCAACCCATGGCTGCTCCCCTGTTCACTATTTTTGTGTGAAGTAGTTCCTCCTAAATTCTCTTAGATCTTCTAATCGCTATCTCGTAGTTCTATTCCCTGGTAATGGACTCCCCAAAACAGTGAAAACAGCCTATTTATGATAACCTTATCGAGCCCTTTTAAAGTTTTGAGCACCTCTATTAGGTCCCTCGAACATCTCTTGTCTAGAAAAAAAAGCCTAACTATCCAGTCTATACTGACAGCACTAACCTGCCAGCCTTTGTATCATCTGAATAAATCTACGCTTTTCATCACTGCTATATCCATCTTATAATGTGGTGACCAGAACTGGAAACAAACTTTTCCATTTTCTTGCATCATAAACATGGGATAGTTATTCAAGAGAGACTTAGTAACCTTAAAATATAAATCTCCATTTAAAAAAATGTCAACTTGCACTCACTGGTCATTTGAGCATTTAAAGGTTTGATAGGATAGTGCATAAACTGCCTTTGCGTATATATAAACCCAAATTGAAAAAATAGGACCTCACACTGATCATGTACTTCAACGTGATTTTAAAATCAACTCTCAGAAAGAAGTCAAAATAATTCAAATGCTGTGCAAGTGTCAATCAACCAATCATGGCTCAGTAAACCGAAGAACTAGTTTTCTCAACAGTTGTTGAATTTGGTTGTCCACTGCTTGCTTTATTGCAGAGATTACACAAAAGCTCTGAATAGCTGGTAACAAACAGCTGAATGTTCTGAGCTGCCGAGGTGTCCTTTTATTTTATGTGTAATTAATTCTGGTAAATCTCAAAATCGCTTATGAGCCTTAACAAGTAAACACAGGTCTGGATACAATATTATCAAGATTTTGCAACATTAATCTTAAACTGAAAAAAAGAAATACAATTCAATGGTTTCTACGAAAGAACAGCCTGGTTAAATGAGCAGTGTGTCCAGGTTAGACCAAACGCCAGCCCAGCTCAGTTGCCTCTGGCAACAGCAAACATTATCTCTGTAGCAACAACATCCCCAAAACACTGCCTTACTTTCAGACATTTCTGAAATAACGAAACCTGAAGCAGTTACTGTACATCGAGATGCTTGGTTTGTGCTCCTGTTGAAGAATGAGATGTATCGAGGCATTGATCAGATCAATGATGCAGTTCTTCAATGTTTTCAGTCTATCAGCCTGGGCGCTGTATGAGCGTGAAACAACCTTGACACGTTTCATGTAAAAAGCAGGAAGATCAACCTCGGCTTTACCTGGACTGGAAACGTGATGAATTGTGTTACTACTGCAATAACTTCTCATCCAGCATAATTTTCAGGAGGGAAATATAACCCACACAGACAGAACCAGATATCTGTGATTTATTATAAGAACATTGACAAAAATGTGCAGATGGGGTTGTGGCGAGGTGAACATGGTAATATGAGTTGATTCTCTACAAATTGATGTAAAGCTTAGCTGGATGTTGTTACATGTTTAACACAAATTTTTTCAAAAATGTATGTGCTTTGAAATCGCTGTGTGTCTATAGAAGTGGAGGGAATTGAGCTGAACTGGCCTTTGGTCTAACCTGGACACACTGCTCATTTAACCAAGTGGTTCTGTAGAAAACATGCAATAGTATTTCTGGGGTTTCTGGAGTAATAATCTCGCCCTCCAAAAAATCTGGTCATTCATTCCATAACTGTTTGTGGGACACTGCTGTGCGCAATTGGCTGCCGTGATCACTCAACAACAACAACAACAACAAGATTCCATTTATAAAGCGCCTTTCACGTCAGGAGGACGTCCCAAGGCGTTGCACAGTTGGGTCATGACCCGAGCAGGGGGGAAATGGTCAGGGTGAGGGAAGGGGAGCGAGGAGGGGGGAAATGGTCAGGGTGAGGGGAGGGAAGGGAGGGAGCGAGGAGGGGGAAGAGAGTCGAGAGGGGAGCTGAAGGCTCGGTCAAAGAGAAAGGTTTTGAGACCGGCCTTGAAGGAGGAAAGGGAGGAAGCGGCGAAGGCACTGGGGGATGGAGTTCCAGAGCCTCGGGGCTGAGAGGCTGAAGGCCCGACCACCGATGGTAGGGCGGTTGGGGCGGGGGACGTGGAGCAGACCGGAGCCAGAGGAACGGAGGGTACGGGCAGGTAGGTAGGGGGATAGTAGGTTGGAGAGGTAGGAGGGAGCAAGGCCGTGAATGGCCTTGTAGGTGAGGATGAGGATCTTGAAATCAATCCTCTGGGGGATGGGGAGCCAGTGGAGGCGAGCGAGGGTGGGAGTGATGTGGTCGCGAAGCCTGGTGCGGGACAGTACACGAGCTGCAGAGTTCTGAATGACCTGCAGCTTGTGGAGGGAGGTGGCGGGAAGGCCGGCGAGGAGAGAGTTCCCATAGTCCAGCCTTGAGGTGACAAAGGCGTGGACCAGGGTTTCAGCAGCGTGAGGGGTGAGGTAATGCCGTAGTCTGGCGATGTTCCGGAGGTGATGGAAGGCGGTGCCAGTTGTGGTGCGGATGTGAGGGAGAAAGGACAGCTCAGGGTCGAACAAAACGCCGAGGTTCCTGACTGGCTTTGAGAGGTGGAGAGTGCAGCCTTGGATGCTGATGGTGTCAGCGCCTGAGGTGCGGAGGCGCTGACGTGAGCCAATCAGGAGGGCCTCGGTTTTTCGCACGTTGAGCTGAAGAAAGTTGTCTCTCGTCCAGGACTCGATGTCGGACAGGCAGCTGTCAGGACATCGGTGGTCGTGGAGTTGAGAGTAGAGGAGGAAAGGTAGAGTTGGGTGTCATCCGCATACATGTGGAAGTTAACTCCATGTCTGCGGATGATGTCACCGAGGGGGAGCATATAGAGGGTGAAGAGGAGGGGACCGAGGACAGAGCCCTGAGGGACACCACATGAGACAGTGCGGGGGGTGGAGGAGAAGCCATTCGTCGAGACGAAATGAAGACGGTGAGAAAGGTACGACCTAAACCATTCAAGGACAGTGCCTTGAAGGTTGAGGTGGGAGGACAAGCGGTGGAGTAGGATAGCGTGGTCGACCGTATCGAATGCTGCCGATAGGTCGAGGAGGACGAGGAGACAGAGGGAGCCCTGGTCACAGATGGTCAGGATATCATTGGTGACCTTGACCAGGGCAGTTTCTGTGCTATGGGCAGCACGGAAACCTGACTGAAGGGGTTCGAAAAGAGAATGGGTGGAAAGGAAAGAGCGCAGTTGGGAGGCGACAACTCTTTCCAAGACCTTGGATACCACTCACAAGATACAGTCAATCCATTGTACAATATATTCTGTGAAGTGCTTTGAGACGTCTCAGTGACATGATACGGCACTGTATCAAATGCAAGGATTATTATTGTTAGATAAGTAAGATAATGACTGTTTATTTTGGGGGGATTAATTTTTGGACTGCTGGTGTCTGTCATATGCAGAAACCCAACATAAAGTTTAAACCAGACTGAGAGTTCTACATATTTATGCCCACCTAGTCATGTATCTGGAATGGAATGCACACGCTCTCCCTGAAGGCACACACCCTGCTTCACTAGAAGGAAAGTATTTAGGTGAAGGTTGGTGAACGCCAGTTTGGGGAGCCAGAGTGTGCACTTGGGATCCTACTAGAGATTAACCGGCTAAAACTCCATAATGTTCCATTGAGACCACTGTCTTTCAAGCTTCCTACTCTTTGTCCAGCTAGGACCACCTTGCACATCAGGGCTTTGGCACCCAGGGTTAACAGGAGCCGTGAGAAGAATCCCTATCCCCAGCAATGTTTGCTCCTCCAAGTCCTGCTGACGAGCGAGGCTCGCTGGTCTGTCATTAGCAGTGCCTTGGAGTGCTGCACACTCGGCTGGCTCATGAACCAGACCATCGAGACTACCATAGAGAGTCGATTCAATTCCAACATTCGGAGCCAGTTTGTTTGCCGGGAGACCCCACTTACACTGCAACACCACTCAGCACGGAATGCATCGATGAGAACAGGGCATTGAGGTTAGGCAGGGGATAACAATCTTGCACCACATAAAAAATGAGGGTAATACATATAGGCAAGGATGAAAATATTCATGATGGTAATATAATAAATATAATCCTTGCATTTGATACAGCGCTTTTCACATCTCCCGTGGAAGGGGAGGATAAAAATGTAACAAGCTGAAGCTGTGCACATTCATTGGTTACCAAGCTATTTCTCTTTTACTTTAGACCTACATGTGCATATGGTGTGGGACTCGCTATTGTAAGGAGTGTGGCCGGGGAGATTTCACTGGCACCATGTCCTCTCCAGACTGCTGCAGGAAGTGTTTTCAGGTGAGAGAGAATCTAAATACAAACACCAACGCAATCACCAGTGAGGCTTTCCTCTTTCAAAGGGAAGTAAAAGCCCAGATACAGCAAATCTGCCTGTTTGTACCAATACCTAATTTTCATAATACAAAGAAGGTAGCAGAATCTGAAGGAGTTTTTCAGGGTTGTTAGATGACCTTTATGGGATAGAAAATCTTATTCTTGACTAATTCATTGGTGTTCTTTATCCCTTTACGTTGCTGCACAGGGGAAATGCCAGGGTCAGCAGGTCGAATATCCAACAAAAGCTCAGGGCAACAACTCCAAGGAGAAGAAAGACAATGGAAAAGGATCAAAAAAGAAAACATCTAAGAAAAAAGGCAAAAAATCAGCTCCTAAGAAGAAATCAAAGAAATTGACCAAAAAGAAAAAGTCTAAATAAAACTATTTAAAAATCCAAACAATTGATCAATTTTTTAAGGTTCAAAGGAAAATTTAAATAATCATTTTTTTAAAACTGGTTAAACAGGTTTTATTGAAGAATCTTCATACCGACGTAGTATTTAAAATTAACTTGATCCAAGGTAATAATCAAATTACAGACGTAGCACATGATCCTGATCATCAGTCATTTCTATTTTGTGATCTTCTGGTGTTACTATCATGTAATCCACATTCAAACCTTTTCAAAATAAATGTTCACATTCCATTAAATGGCTTGCCGTAGTTTCTTGTGTTGAGGTTTTCTGGTGTGGGATCTCAGGACCTAGAGCACGAGTCCCTCCAGTTAAAAAATGTAGACATAAGAAATGTTTCGAAAATGCATATTCAACAGTTATGATCAGAGAATGAAAGTCAACCAATTCCCATATGCAGGTTTCCAAGCAAATATATTTTGAAGCACACTTTGTTTATGTCACAGGAGCTCTTAAGAGCAGACACACAAGTCAAATACTATTTCTGACACAAAAGGAAATTTTAATGTACAGTGAAAGTTTTATTAAAAAATCAGTCTTATTTAGTGATGTAAGATTTTAAACATGTAGATTTAAACCTTGGGACGTCCTCCCGACGTGAAAGGCGCTATACAAATGTAATCTTGTTGTTGTAAACATAAACGTGAGGCAGTAGTCAGTTAAGAAAACTGAGATAACGCTTTTCCTCACTGCTTTGATAATATGTAAAGTCTATTTGAAAAGGAGGAACTTAGCATGTTAGGTAGCTGCTTTGCTTACCTTGTTTCCTTTGTTGCACATTCGTCTTTTTAAAATTGCTATTCAGTTTTTGGTTGCGGACAATGTTTACACACGTTTATACTCTATTTGCTTCTATAGTTTACCAATGAATGCATCATATGACGGTTTCCTGTTTTATGTAGTACTAATGACATTTTAAAAAAACATGAAAACTATATTCAAAGTGATGATTGGCATTCGGATTCTGCAATTAGCATTAATAAACAAGCTGAAATAAAAAGTAAAATGCTGTAAAATCAGCACCCAACAGGGGAAGATTTTCTAGTATTGCTTAAAGTATGTATTAAAGTGTATGAGGAGCAAAAGGGAGAATGAGATTTGACTATGTGCAGAATTCTCATGTGGAGAAATACAACAACTAGGTCTTGAGGATCTGTTTTTGTTTCATAACCTATGATTCCATGAAGTTTTCAACTGCAGAGATGAAAAGGAGCATCATATGAACGAAAAATGGCACGAGAATTGCAATCATCTGAAAATAATTATTTTATTGTGGTAGACAAAAGATTTGCAGAGTTCAAATTGCCAATCAATGCAGCAAATGTATTACTGTACAAGTTAGAAGTCAACAGAATTTAAGGTAAATTATATTCAAATGCAGTATTTCATATTACCATGCTAAGTGTCAGTAGCAAAATCAACATTAGATGAGTTAAGGACCCACTGCACATACATTCAAGCTAGAAGGAGAATACATAATGAGCCATGATTCTACAAGATAATTTTTGCACTTTCCATTATTTAAAGAAACTTTAAAAGCCCACCTATCTTTACATTTGGGGATACAATAATCACTAGATGTTTACAATTATTTTTCAAACCAAATTCCAACTGTGTAGTGACTTAGGTTATGGTTATAGTATAGAAGTTTCTGAAACAAATATTCTTGGTAAATAATATACATACAAAATCCCACTGTTTATTTCAGGCATGCTTGAAAATGCTTGTTAAGTAGCAGGAATCTGAGGTAAGCCAAATTCGTCCACCTGTACACCATCCTGAAAATGTAAACATGTTTTAATATTCGCCCTGGCTGCTAAAATGCTCTTTACTATTACAGATTGAACTTACAATCATTAACCTTACTGAGCAGAAACATTTGGATTTAAGTGCATTCCTAGTAATCTACAGACCGTAGCTCACCCAATGTGTCATGCTTCACGTTTTGATTCTCACAAGTAGTTAAAGTACTGTGAAGCTCACCGTGTCAATTACAATAAACTTCAGAAAAGAGCTAGCTTTTTACCATTGGCATTATATTGGAAATGGGGCTAGTAAAATCACTTTATGGCAAGATCTAAAGTACGTTAAGTACTTAAGCAACAGGATCCACCCACAATATGAGAAAGTCAATCACTATATATTTTAGTGCAACACAAAGATCTGTAATGCAAACCCATATCTGTGAAGAGGCTAGCAATTACGAATGTTGGCAGAAAACCTACCTTGGTTCTTGAGTCAGTAGGAACACCTTCAGGAATAGCTGGAGCCGATGCAGCTTCGTCTAGGTAGGATGAGTCCTCATCAGCTAAAAGTTCATCACCCAGTGCATCCAGCTCTGTACAGAAAAAATAACAGCAATGAAAAGATGGCTCACAAAGAATATTTAATTTCAGATTTTAACAGACTTAGTTTTCCCCCAACTTTTGAGGTTATAACATGAAAGATCTATTATAAAATCAGGGTCACATGTTTGGAATTATACATATTGGAGCATCCTTGCGAAACATTAAGTATTATGATTTGACCATCAGAAAAATCCGGGAAAAGTTAACTTCAAAACTTATATTTTGATTCTTATTTGAACACTAAGTATTCAGAGAACACAAACAGCTATTTCTGTACTTGCTATTTCATCCACTGTAGCAATGACAAAGTATTATCTAGTCAGGATACAAGGAGAAACTCCTCTCTTTTCAAATAGTACCATGGATCTTTTAATGTCCACCTGAAAAGGATCAATTTAACTTCTCATTTGAAGGACCAACATGCAGCAATCCCCCAGCCAAATAAATTTTTCTTTATTGAATTTTCCTTTATTTATGGCCACACCTTGGATATCATAATTCAGTAGCTACTGGAAACAAGGCATTAATTTTGAGTGGACGTGCCTGGGCTGATGAGGGTGTTTGGCAAGCCACTTCCTGATGCTCCAAGAGGTTGATCGGAATCGAACAGCTGGAGACCCCCTGCACTGGAGTGTCAGCCTAGGTTATGAGCTCAAAGACCTAATGTGGGTGTTGAACCTACAAGCGTCTGACTAAGAGGTGAGAGTATTACCCACTAAGTCTAGCTGACAATATGAGAAACTATGAGTACATATTAAATTAGAGCTACAGGAAGCCTTTATCAAAAGGAGGAAGATGATCACCACAGCGGGACTATTCTATTACCCATTCCTAAAATCTGTTGCACATCTTTGCATCATGCTCCATAAACAGTTCCTGGCAACTGCGGACGTGTGTCCTAAAATGACCATTCATCATGTTCTATCCTTTATAGCAAGCAGCACATTCAAAATCTGATAAGAGACATGAGATAATAATGTATGTGTGTGGGGGGAGAAAAGATTACTCTCACCTGCTTCCAGATCGTCCTCATCAATCTCTGGGGTCCCGTAACTCCGACTTAGCGCTTCCTGGATTTCGTTTGCGTCTTCCATCATGTCTTCTAGTTGATCTTGAATATCCTATCAATATCACAAATGAGTAAATTAATAGTAATAATCCTTGCGCTTAATGTAGCGGCTTTCACGTTGGGAAGACGTCTCAAAGCGCTTTGCTGGATATACTGTGAAGTGTAATGGCAGTGCATTTTGAGGACGAATGCGGATATGAATTGAGAAAAGACTGGTACGATCAATAAATAGTGTAGGGACCAAACTAGCAAAATCAACGATTGTAATATGTGCATACACTGCCAGCCCAACTGGTAACTATTTCAAAGGAACCTACACCATAGTATATAATATTAATAGTAATGGAAGGGTTACTCACCTGGCAATCTACTTTGTTGATGTGTGGTTTATTTTATGATCAAATTATCATTTTGTAACATTTAGTCACAAGCAGTGCAAGTCAAACAAATCCAAACACTTTCAACCTTTTAAATTCCCAATTGAAGGCTAGAGTACTAAATCCAGGCTATTTAAAACTAACGGTCTGGAGTACGAAAGGTCATGCGTTTTCAAAATAGGTTATTTTCTACTATTTGTCTTATAAATGCTGAATTGTATAATTACAGTAAAATGCAGAGACACAGAGAACCATAAGTCTTAAAACGAGACAGACTGTTTTGTGAATTGTTGTACCATTAGTTGAACACATTTGATAGCTTAGCATTCCATTCACAAGTTTTCCAGTTTACAATCTGAATGGATTTATAAGTGACTTAAATTGGATGCCACACAATTGCAACACAACTACAAAAAATCAAACCATTTCCCAGAAAGATCTTCACCTCAATCTGGTCAATTTTGACTTGCTTGTAAGCCTTCTTCATTTCCTTGACTCCAACTTTCATTGCATCAACCTACAAAGATGACCAGATATCAGCAATGTGTCATTGTCACAATTTATAACAACAATTTGCATTTATATAGTACCCTTCACATGGGGTAGTGTCTCGGAGCGCTTAACAGTGGCAGAGCAGGTGATCTGGAGGCAGGCAAAGAGGGGGCAATGTAGAGGAATTGAGAGTTCCAGAATCTCGGAACATTGGGGCTGAAAGCACGGCTGCCGATGATGGAGGGGATGAGGAACATGCAGAAGGCCACAGCCAGATGAACGAAAGAACCTGTTAGAGGAGTGAGGTGTAAGCAAGTTGGAGCGGGTGGGAGGTGCCTGGGCATGAGGTGATTGTACTCGACGGTGAAGAAATTAAAATTGAAAATGTAGTTTGGTGTAAAATAATCTATTTACTCTCATCTTATTGAATTTCAGATTTTTGTTTCTTCTACAGGAAGTATTGTATGGTAACTTGTACATTTGTCTCAGACAACGGGATATGATACCACCTCTTTTTTTTTTGAGAAGTTCTCCCGACGTGAAACAACAAAATTACATTTATATAGTGCCTTTCACATCGGGAGGACGTCCCAAAGGCGCTGAACAGTCAGGTGTCGGGGCCTGAGCATGGGGGAGGGGTGGTGTAGGGGTGAGGGAAGGCGGAGAGGAGGGCGGGAGACCAAAATCACGGTCGGAGAAGGACCAGCCTTGAAGGAGGCAAGGGAGAAAGCGAGGCGAAGGGACCGTGGGATGGGGTTTCCAGAGTATGGGGGCAGAGAGGCTGAAAGCCCGGCCACCGATGGTAGGGCGGGTCAGGCGGGAGTTATGGAACAGGCTGGAGCCTAGTGAATGGAGGGATCGGGCAGGTTGGTAGGGAGTCAGCAGGTCAGAGAGGTAGGAGGGGTCAAGGCCATGGATGGCCTTAAAAGTGAGGACGAGGATCTTGAACTCTATCCTCTGGGGGATGGGGAGCCATTCGAGTCGCTTTACAAATGTAATTTTGTTGTTGTTTATACTGTGTAGATCCAGTAAGTATCACAGAGGTGTATTAAGCAGCTGTAGTTCATCACTCAGGGAGTGTGAAGGGATGCTGTGCATTTTTCCTTTTTACCGTCGTCTTTGTGTCCTTCAATGACTGTATTGTATAATTGGCTTGTTCCATATTGAACGACTGCTGCGTCAAGTTATCCCTCTGCTGTTCATACCTATTAGTGTACAACAGAACACAGAATGAATTAAAATAATTTAATCAGTAGACAGTCAAATGAATAGTTTTATTTGTACTGTATATGGTTGGGTGGAAAAATTACTCACATTCTCTTCTGCTTCAAAACACGCATTGCTTTTTGTTTTACCATATTCTGGAAAACAACAAGACTGTTTCAAAATTGATGAAAAACCTCATCAATATACAGATGGTAGTTTTGCAAAACATCAAGTTCCGATAATGAGATGCAGGGATCCTGCTTCTGAGAGTAAACCATTGTGAAGCATTTAACTAACGCATAGCTAAGCACTGCTGACATTTGTAGAGATATTTGTAAAGGCCCCTGGCACTGCTTTGTCCTAGTTATGGGACGTGCTCATGGTACAACTGTCGTCCATGCCATCCAGTTTGTTTTGATTCACAATTATTTCTAAATAAAACAGTGATTTTATAACGTTGGTTTTCACATGTGATATGGCATTACACAATGGCTTCCTATGGTGCACATTTCATAGTTTGATGACTACACAGACACAGGATTTACTCATCCATAATTCTCTACCATATTAATATTGGTAAAGCTTGCCTTTGATGGCCCATCTCTCATTTTCTTCATCTGATCTTTGTACTTGGCCAGTTCAGTATCCAATCTGGAAATTTTCTTATCAATCGACTCTGCTCGGCCATCAACCTAAATAAAGCAAAGGGAAATTATGAGTTCTGCCACTTTTCTTCACATGGATGCATGTGTGCGGGGAGGGGGAGACACTATTTCTGGTCAGTAATTCCCCCAAATAAAACTGGTCATGTACTTTATTGCTGTTTGTGAGACACTGTTATGCGCAAATTGGCTGATGAGTTTGCTCAAGTCACTGGACTTTACACTATAATTTGTAAAGCATTTTAGATATCCTCCAGACATGAAAGGCACTGTACCAAATGTATGCCATTCTTTAACAGGCTGCCCTCTGCAATAGGTTACTCTATTTGGCATATAAACAGAGAAGAAAAGATTACACATTACAGACTCAAATAACAATAATCCTTGCATTTGATATAGCACCTTACCACATCTTCACAGAATGTATTATAAAGTGAATTGCCTATATATTTTGTGAACAAAACAGGACAGCCAATTGCGTCAGCAGTGTCCCACAAGCAGTCATGGATGTGAGTGACCAAATTATTATTATCATATTATTTTTTTTTACGGGATTGATTATTACCCCCGGAAAAGCAATCCGCCAATCGACTAACAACCGAGTTCCTACGTACTGTTAGGTAAACAGAGGTGTGTGGTGTAAGGAAACTTGCGCAATGTTTCACCCTGCCAGGGAATCAAACCCAGGTCCTCTCGCTTGCGAGGCGAGTCCTCTAACCACTAAACTGCAGGACTCCATAAAGGTTGTGGATACACAGTTAATTTCAACGAGGGTACAAAATGCTGATTGCAGCAGACGAAACAGCAAGCACAAAACAGAAAAATCAGCTGTTCAAAACAGCACCCTGTAACCAATAAAAAAAGCTATTCCATTATTTGACTCTCTAAATGGGTTCATTGGGAAAGCACTTTTATAAAAGACGCAATAAATGTTAAAAAGTACACAAAGGGGATCAAAACTATTTTGGGACATTTAATTATCTGATAGCTACAGAGCCAAAGTGCGGATGACCCAATCATCCCCAAATATGCATTAAATGAAAAAGATTACTGTATAAAGGAGTGGTCAGAAATACCTTTTCACCTTTGTCATACACACTGTTGTACGCTGACACCAGTTGAAATTGAAACTTGTTTTTCCTCTCAAATAATCTGTGCTCAATTAGCAAGAAATCCAGAGACAAACAAATGACCAGTGATGTAAGGTAATAATAATAATCCCAGCAATTAATATAACACCTTAGCGCTTCACTGGGACATCTCAAAGTGCTTCCCAGAATATATCTCTATATTATATATAGAAAGAGAATACATGTAAGGTATGTACAGCATTTGTGTGAAATAAGGGTTTGAATAGCCTACTGACACTCACAGGGTAGCATCGTCAAGAATTGGCCAATTGGGTGAGGTAAGGGCGAAGCAGTGGAACTAAAACACAGTATGAGTCATCCCTCTGGTGAAATTTGAGGGAGGAACGCAATAGTGAATCAGACTAAGTTTCAAACATTATCTAATGACATAAGGTACAGATTTATGGTAATTTGGTTCAATTTATTTTTAAACTTATCTACACTCAAAACTATTATCCAACTAGCAAACGGCTGCTAGAAGCAACGCTAGAAATCGTTAGAGCTAACCAAAAGGTACCAGAAAGCACTGGTCAGGAGCAGAAACACAGGTTAGTCAGCAAGTTCATTGTACTGTACCCAAACCAACAATGCAGAACATATTAAAGCAGAACAGTTTAATGCAAAGCACTCCCCTCAAGATATTCCAGTTAGGAGATTAAACTATCTTTTACTGCATAGTAGTATCCTTTAACCCTCCTCTGCACCCTTGTAAGGCGAGTGCTCTAACCACTGAGCTACAGGACTCCACGTTGATCAGCAGTCATTAAATAATTCAGCCCCGACTGGGTGATTGGCTGAGGGGTTAATGGTGTATACTGGGCGGGTGATGTGCTTTTCGACTTTAGAACAGCATCTGAAACCAAAAATAATGCCACTTCCTATTCGCTCAATGGAGGCATTTGGTGACTACCTTTGTTTCCATCCTGATTATGATTCATGTTTTTCCAACCTAACATCTGAGATCAGCACAAGGTGAAGGTCTTGGATCTAAAGATTTTCTAGCAAGTGGAAGAGGATATTTCAAAGAATTATTTGGAAGATTTACTGTAATACATGTTTCTAAGCACCAGTATGAGGGAAAAGGGACCGGATAAAAGAGAATTTAGAAATGTTAGTTGATGACTAGCATACAAATGACGAATAATAATCCTTGCATTTGATATAGCACTTTTCACATCTTCTAGACGTCTCAAAGTGCTTCACAGAATATACTGTAAAGTGAATGGACTGTATATTTGTGGGCGGACATGTAACTTCTGCATTATTATGGACAATATACTAGCTGGTTGTTAGTCGATTGGCGGATCGCTTTTCTGCTAACATCAAAATTGAAAAGATTCCATGTAAATCTTGGGTTTAAAATCTCATGCATAATAGAAGAAAGATGTTGAAAAAAGGGCATTTACTCCATTTTCCCATCCGCTAAAAACACTCCCAAAAGCCTTCCACAGCGGCAATGTACATAGTTTGTTTTTAAAAAGACAATTTTGCGCCTTAAATTTACAGATTCCTCACTACCATCACTCTCCTCACTTCAGAATCTTAATCCAACAGAAATACAATGGGAAAGCAGCAAAAGTGTTATGTACATTACCTGGGAACTAAATTACTGGACGAACAGATAATCTATTTCACAAAGACCTCTTTCTGTTCGAAAATCAGTAGTGATTAAATAATTAAATAAAAAGGTTTTAAGCAATTGCTGTCAAATGTTTAACATCTCATCCAATCGACAGTGTCTCTAACAAATAGAATATATAAGCCTTTTCTAGTACATATGGGCAGATCCAGAGGTGACCAGATACAGATCAAATCTAAGAGTTCTGACACAATGTAAGGAGTCAAACATTGAAAATAAAAGGGAAAGTTTTAAACCAGTTTTTCCAGTTTCTCCTAATACGATCAAGATTGAATTACAGTTCAGCAGTTAGTGTAATTTTAACGTTCTATACCAGCTTACAGGAACATTAATAATAACTCTTGCATTTGATATAGTGCCTTATAACATCTTCAAGACATCTCAAAGCGCTTCACAGAATTTACTATAAAATGTGTGTTTTATGGGTGAAACACGGCAGCCAATTGCACAGAGCAGTGTCCCACAAACGGTCGTGGATAGAGTGACCAAACTATTATTTTTATTTATTTTACTTTTTTCGAAGGGATTATTACCCCCAAAAAAGCAATCCACCAATCACTAACTACCGCTCTGGCAGCATCAACCTCCATGGTTGCACACTACAACTCACCAGCCAGTCAGGGACCTGGTGTCTTGTTTGACCCTCAACTGTCTTTTCTCCCCCACATCCAAGCCATGACCCGCTCTGCCTTCCCTCACCTCCGTAACATCGCCTGACTCCGCCACTACCTCACCCCTCAGGCCGCTGATACTCTTGTTCATGCCATCATCACCTCCAGGCTCGACTATACAAACCCCCTCTTGTCAGCCTTCCCAACTCCTCCCTCCACAGACTGCAGATAATCCACAACTCTGCAGCCCGTGTCCTCTCCCGCACCAAACTCCGTGAGCCCATCTCCCCCACTCTCGGCCGACTCCATTGGCTACCTCTCCTTCAGAGTATCCAGTTCAAGATCCTGGTCCTCACCTACAAAGCCCTCCATGGCCTCGCCCCACCCTACCACGGAGACCTCCTAACCCCCTACCAACCCACCTTTTCCCTCCCCTCAGCCGGCTCCGGCCTGCTCCGTGTCCCCTAACCCACCATTGGTGGGAGAGCCTTCAGGCCCCAACCTCTGGAATTCCATCCCCCAATCACTCCGCCTCACCCCCTCCTTAACCTCCTTCAAGTCCCATCTCAAGACCCTCCCCTTCGACCATATCATCGGTCACCCCCCTTCCCCTCCCCTTTCTCCCCCCCCCCGACCCCAGCTCGGGTCTGAAATGCTGTACATTGTCCAGCGCCTTGGGACGTCCTCCCGACATGAAAGGTGCTGTACAAATGTAATGTTGTTGTTCTTGTTGTACCGGGTTCCGACTTATTGCTAGGTTGACAACGTTTCGCCCTGCCCGGGAATCGTACCCAGGTCTCTCACAATAGAAAGAGAAGGAAATATAGCAGATAGTTATGTGTCCTCTCGCTGGAGTGACACTGAAAACTGATAAACCAGATAGTGTTCAACCCACTGGGAGAGGAATCTAAAACAAGGATACAACCTTAAAATTGTAACCAGGATATTACACAGTGGCTCCAGAAATACAGAGTTAAGTATGTGACTCTATGCAATCATTGCCTCAAATGGCTTTAGAGGCAGAATCCATTGAGATGTTTAATGGATCCTTGGGACATCCTCCTGACTGAAAGGCGCTATACAAATGTAATCTTGTTGTTAATAGGGAGATGGAAACAGTCAGAATCCATTATAACAATGGTGACTGCGCTGTGTGATCATCACTTCCTGATGACAAAACAACAATTTCTACTACATCTGATTTAATGCCTCATCACCTTTCAAAACTGACGGACACACACACCCACACACAGCCAGACACCCACACACAGCCAGACACCCACACACAGCCAGACACCCACACACAGCCAGACACCCACACACAGCCAGACACACAGCCAGACACACACACCCACAGACACACACACCCACAGACACACACACACACAGACAGACAGAGAGACAGACACACACATACACACCCACAGCCAGACACCCACACACAGCCAGACACACACACCCACAGACACACACACCCACAGACACACACACCCACAGACACACACACCCACACCCACAGACACATACACCCACAGACACAGCCAGACACACAGCCAGACACCCACACACAGACGCACAGCCACACACAGACGCACAGCCAGACACCCACACACAGACACACCCACACACAGACACACAGCCAGACAGACACACAGACAGACACACACAGACAGACACACAGACAGACAGACACACACAGACACGACACACAGACAGACACACACAGACAGACACACAGACAGACAGACACACAGACACGACACACACAGACACACACACACACAGACACACACACACACACAGACACACACACACACACAGACACACACACACACAGACACACACACACACAGACACACACACACACAGACACACACACACAGACACACACACACACACACACACAGACACACACACACACACAGACACACACACACACACAGACACACACACACAGACACACACACACACACAGACACACACACACACACACACACTCACACACACAGACACACACACACACTCACACACACAGACACACACACACACACACACAGAGACACACACACACACACACACAGACAGTTTGGGCGTCGCTAAGTCTCGGGTTGCCTCAGACCTCGCACAGCCGGTGCCCGGGGTGGCCTGGGGCCGGGGTGGCCTGGGGGCCCGGGGTGGCCTGGGGTGGCCCCGGGGTGGCCTGGGGGCCCGGGGTGGCCTGGGGGCCCGGGGTGGCCTGGGGGCCCGGGTGGCCTGGTCCCGGGTGGCCTGGGGGCCCGGGGTGGCTGGGGCCGGGGTGGCCTGGGGCCCGGGTGGCCTGGGGCCGGGGTGGCTGGGGGCCGGGGTGGCCTGGGGCCCGGGTGCCTGGGGCCCGGGGTGGCCTGGTCCGGGGTGGCCTGGGGGCCCGGGGTGGCCTGGCCCGGGGTGGCCTGGGGGCCCGGGGTGGCTGGGGGCCCGGGGTGGCCTGGCCCGGGGTGGCCTGGCCCCGGGGTGGCCTGGGGGCCCGGGGTGGCCTGGGGGCCCGGGGTGGCCTGGCCCCGGGGTGGCCTGGTCCCGGGGTGGCCTGGTCCCGGGGTGGCCTGGTCCCGGGGTGGCCTGGGGGCCCGGGGTGGCCTGGGGGCCCGGGGTGGCCTGGGGGCCCGGGGTGGCCTGGGGGCCCGGGGTGGCCTGGGGGCCCGGGGTGGCCTGGGGGCCCGGGGTGGCTGGGGGCCCGGGGTGGCCTGGGGGCCCGGGGTGGCCTGGGGGCCGGGGTGGCCTGGGGGCCCGGGGTGGTCCCGGAGTGGTCCCGGGGTGCTCTGGGGCCGGGGTGGCCTGGTCCCGGGGTGGCCTGGTCCCGGTGGCCGGGGTGGTCCCGGGGTGGCCTGGTCCCGGGGTGGTCCCGGGGTGGCCTGGGCCCGGGGTGGCCTGGCCCCGGGGTGGCCTGGCCCCGGTGGCCGGGGCGGGTACTCACGTTGCCGATGCAGTCGGTGAGGTTGGGCGGTGGGGCTCTGGGTTTTCCTTTCCCGAAAAGACGGTTCATGTTTACTGCCGAACACCGCGAGGCCGCGCGCCGCCGGGACTGCCGAGCCGCTCACGTGACGCAGCGACGTCACACTGCCGAACCCTCGCGCGCGTGACGCAATAACGTCGCGTCCTCGCCGCCGAGGGGAAAACCGAAAGAAACGCCTCGTCACGCGACCAGCGTCGCGCCACGTGATCGAAGTCGACGCGCTCCTTTGTCACGTGCCCGGGGGGTGGGGTGTGCTGGGGAGGGGGGCGGAGTTAACTCTGGAGGGTTTGGTGCATTGCAGCCCTGCGCCACTAGAGGGAGCCGGTGAGGCAGTCTGTGTCAATGTCAGACTGGGCTCAGGTGTCTGCACTCACAGCTCTGAGGCACCAGGTGGTCTGGTTGGTCAGTGGGGACGTGGTCCTCACAGTCCAGGCTGACTCTCCCATGCAGTGATGGGGAAAGTTGCACTGCATTGTCGGAGTTGCCATCCTTCGGATGAGGTCCCGTCTGCCCGTTCAGGTGGACGTTAAAAATCCCGGTACAATTCGAATATAGCAGTGGGCAGTTTCTCCCCAGTGTCCTGGGCCAACACCAAGAGCAACAAAATTACATTTATATATCACCTTTTACATCGAGAGGACGTCCCTCGGCTCTGGACAATCCCTCCCAAATACGATAGCTCAATCACGCACGGCTGTTTGTGGGATACCGCTGGGTACAATTGGCTCCCGCATTCGCCTATACATACAGTCATTGCAGTATTATTACAGTGAAATGCTATAAAGCGCTTTGAGACATCTCAACGATGTGCTAAGGCCCTGTATCAAATGCAAGGATAATATGGTTAGACCAGATTCATAATCCATAAAATGCTTTTTAATAAAGTTTTTAATCAGTGTCACATGATCTTTGACAACCACTGTACTGACAGACAGGACCTCAGTGTTAACATCTTATCCTAACGGCAGTACCTCTGTAATGCATCACACACGGAACGTCAGCCTCCACTATGATCTCAAAAAGTCCTGATATGGGACTTGAACCCAAACCTTCTGACTCAGAGCCAATTGAGCTACTAAATGCGCCAGGCTGACACCTCAATCACTGTTACATTAATTTACATGTTTTTTTGTCCATCCTGAACTTATAGCCAATATTTCTATGTGAGAAGGAAGTGGCTTTAAGCTACAGTAATACAAGTATCTACAGTTTTGATACTATGAGTTGAGTTATGTAAATGTTCATGAATCTGCACAGTTTTTTTTCTGAAGTAAGTCTGTAACAACAACTCAGTTGATATTTTCTTAACTGTCTCGGTGACCTTAGATCACGACTTGTTTTGCTGCCCACTCCCATTGTTTTCTTTTTCAACCAAGTTGAATGACTGCAATGAACAACCTCACTTTGACCCCACCATTTCCCTTGTGGATGTGCTTAGCTGACATTTTGAGAAGAAATGTGCTGACCCAGATCAGTGTTTTTACATGAGCTCATTCAGCCTCAGTCTGTGAAAGATTTAAAGAGGAAGAGGGTGTATTTTCAGTCCCTGGTATTGTGCAATGAAAGTCTGATTCAACCCCGTAACCTGCCCATCCGCTCTTCAAAATTCAAATCCAGGCGCTTGTCGTCATCTCTAACTCAATCACTCCACTTATTAGTAAAATCCTGTGAAGATCTTTGAGATTTTTAGGTGATGTTGTACTGTATAATAATATACCATATAATAATATTTTACTATATAATAATAATCCTCTCATTAGATAGTTTTCTTTTAAGAAACAATATTATGGGATATTGTACATAGGTAGTTCGGGACATATGTGCATGAGACCACCAGGAAGGTGGAAGGCAAACTAGATGGAACTTGGTCTTTTTTTGTCTAGTATTTCTTATGTTCTTATTTGATATAATCCTTTCACGACAGAAGAAAATCTCAAAGCACTTCACAGGATATATTGTAAAATGAAGAGAACATGGGATCCAATTTGCACATAGCAATATCCCACAAACAGCCATGAAGTGAATGATCAATTTTATTTCGGGGATTATTGGCCAGGACACTGGGGGAAATGCCTTTTTCTTTTCGAATAGCATCATGGGATCTTTAATATCCTCCTGATCAGGGAGACGGGACTTCGGTTTCAGGCCTCATCTGAAGGAGGGACCCTCCAACATTACAGCACATGCCCAGCACTGCTTTGGAGAGTCATCTTAGATTCTATGATTCTAAGTCCTGACGTGGGAATTGAACCCACAACCTTCTGACTAATCAACTAGGAGCTAGAATCCTAGGATTTGAGGAATACCAGTACCACTATTCCTGGGATCCCATATAGTAATGGTTCTCCCGAAATCACGGGTTTGCACCCCTTAATACCAACTAAATCAGGCTGACACAAACCCAACGCAAGGATTGTTATTATTGTAGATGAAGTGCAGGAACTGTAAATGTTCACTTCACGTATTTGACCAAATGGATGAGCCAGTAGGTTCTCTGGCCAATAGCTTCTCTTGTGGTGATTTTGCACAGACAAGACTTGTGCACTCAGGTCATTTTACAAACTAATTATCTTAAATATACAGTCACCACACTTTACAGTAAATCCTGTGAAGCACTTTGAGTTGTTTCGGCAACTCTATCAAAAAGAAGTATGATATTGTTATTATATCAAATGCATCATTCAAAGTAGAAATGGTGTAATTACTCATAGGTTAAGAGAAATTCCACCTCGGTCTCTATTGATGCAGTATTTCAGAGCATGCAAATCCTTAAATACAGTATTAACTTTGAAGCTAGTTTATTTATGTTTCTTTTAAGAACTAAAGAAAACTGGCTTCAAAGTTAAGGCTGAATTCAAAAATTTGCCAAACCCAGAATGCTCGTTCTGAATAGTAATACTGTATTGAAATGTCGAGAAGACTTGAAAAGCGCTGTGTCAAATGCAAGGATTATTATTATTATTACGTAATAATCCTTATATTGTTATCGTGCCTTTCACATCAAGACATCCCAAAGTCCTTCACAGGATTTACTGTAAAATGGAGTGACTGTGTGTTTTGTGGACAAAGGAAGGGATATTACTAAAAGTGTCCCAGTTACGTAACAGACAAGTATTTAAAATGGATGTTTACTAAATGTTTCCTGCATTGTAACTGCTTATTTTCTACATTAATAATCCTTACATTTGAGTCATTGAGACGTTTCAAAGCACTTCACAGGATACACTGTAAAGTGGATTGACCGTGTATTTGTGGAGTGAAACAGATTGCTCATTGTTAAGAAAGGTGTCATTTCTCCCTGGTGAAATGATTAAAACCATAGATGTATGAATGAATGAATGAATGAATGAATGAATGAAATGCTTTGGAAATTGCATTAAACATGGGGTCAACTTTCACATGTATGCGGATGACATCCAACTGTGCATCTCTGCCTCCACCCTTGACTCCAGGACCACTGCTGACCTGACAGAATGTCTGTCGGACATCAAGTTCTGGATGAGAGCTAACTTTCTTCAGTTGAACGTCAACAAGACCGAGGCTCTCCTGATTGGCTCCCGTCAGCACCTCCTCACCTCAGGCGCTGACAGCATCACCATCCATGGTTGCACACTCCACCTCACGAAGCAAATCCAGAACCTTGGCATCTTGTTTGATCCTCAACTATCCTTTCTATCCCACATCCATGCCATGACCCGCTCTGCCTTCCCCCACCTCCGCAACGTCGCCCGGCTCCACCACTGTCTCACACCGCAAGCTGCCGAAATCTTCATATCCACTTAACATTGAGGCTTGATTATGCAAACTCCTTGCTTGTCAGACTCCCCATCTCTTCCATAGGTCTCAGATCATCCAGAACTGGAGCCCAGGTCCTCTCCCGCACCAGGCTCCGTGACCCTATCACCCCCATCCTCAACCAACTCCACTGGCTTCCCATCCCACAGAGGATACAGTGCAACATCCTGGTCTTTATCTTCAAAGCTGTCCATGGTTTTGCTCCCCACCACCTGTGTGACATTCTAACCCCCTACCATCTTGCCCGCTACCTCCACTCAGTAGGCTTTGACCTGCTTCACGTCCCCTGCCTCCTTCAAGACCCATCTCAAGACGCTCCTCTTCAACTGTGCTTTCGATCACCCTCCTTTCCCCCTTGCCCTCCATCCTCCCCAATCCCGACTCTCAGCTCGGGTCCGAAACTCTGACTGTCCAGCGCCTTAGGATGTCCTCCCAACATGAAAGGCACTATACAAATGTAATTTTGTTGTTGTTGTTGTTGTAAATGGAGCCCAGGCCTTTGGGTGATTTGTTTTGGAGCTAACTGCATTGAATTAAAATCACAAAATGAAATCGGGGCCAAAAGAAACCTTACACCATGCATGTTCCTAAGTGGGGAAAAGTGGGGAAATAAGACAGGAGATGGCGTGAGCAGTCACTAACTTTACATTCACTTTGAGAAACTCTTAATGATTTGTTACATTCATTTAGGATCCTTTAAAAAAAAGCCTCAATTTAGAAGCTGACTTTATTAAAGGCCTTGTTGTTTGAACCCCAGTGTTGCTCTATATTTAAGAGTTTAGCAGCAATCGCCTTTCTTAGCAATATAGAAAATAGGCAGTTACTGAACAGGAAACATTTAGTAAATATCCACTTTAAACACTGGTATTTGTTACTATCAACTGGGACACACACTTATCATGTTATATCCCTTTGGTCAGCCACAGGCCACTGAGGGCTATGTCATTGAAGTGAGCAGCTTCCGGCTGTCAGCACTTAAGGAGTCTGGTTGAGCACAGGCAGCCTGACTCCCATCAGATGGTGATCCCTCTGCTGAAGCTGGGAATTTCCTCAAACTGCCTTCACTGCCTTCACTTCCACACATCACCAGAGACAGAGGAGGGATCAGCTCTGACTTGCTGGCGTCTCCTGCACCTCAGATGCCCTTTCCTGACAGGTCAGTGACGGCTCAGCTTTGGGGAACACACATCCCCACATTTCGTCCCCACGTTAGGACAAGCGATGGCGAGAAATCTCTCTCTCCAGATGTGTCTCTGGTTGTACTTTACGCGTGGAGCCACACTGACTCTGTGGTGATGTTAACGCAATGCCTGTGTCTCTTTAGGATGCTTGTGTTTCTGGCTGTGCTGGAGCTGGAGCTGTGGCTGGGGATTGACTGCGCTGACACCCAGGGGCTGAGCTCCGAGTTCTACCTGAGCAGTAAGTGCATTAGCTTTGGGTAAGATTATAAATAACACAGCAGTTTCTCAGATCCCAGATAACATGCCCTGTTTCCCTATTTCCCATATCATTGCAGACCCCCATATTTACAAATGTCTAAGCCCTGGGCGGGGAACCTAACGTTAATTCACCAATGTGAAACCTGCAGAGCACCTCTGGGGGTGATGTAATGACTGTTACATTATTAAACTATCCTCCTGGGAGGGGACAAGCGGTGTCTCCTTACAGCTGAACTGGCTGCAAGGTAACTGGCTTGCCAACAAAATAGCAGAATCCAGCCAGTCCTCAGAGGCACTCCAGGGCCCCCGCTGGTGACGCTCCAGGGCCCCCGCTGGTGACGCTCCAGGGCCCCCGCTGGTGACGCTCCAGGGCCCCCGCTGGTGACGCTCCAGGGCCCCCGCTGGTGACGCTCCAGGGCCCCCGCTGGTGACGCTCCAGGGCCCCCGCTGGTGACGCTCCAGGGCCCCGCTGGTGACGCTCCAGGGCCCCCGCTGGTGACGCTCCAGGGCCCCCGCTGGTGACGCTCCAGGGCCCCCGCTGGTGACGCTCCAGGGCCCCCGCTGGTGACCCTCCAGGGCCCCCGCTGGTGACCCTCCAGGGGCCCGCTGGTGACCCTCCAGGGCCCCCGCTGGTGACCCTCCAGGGCCCCCGCTGGTGACCCTCCAGGGCCCCTGCTGGTGACCCTCCAGGCCCCCGCTGGTGACCCTCCAGGGCCCCCGCTGGTGACCCTCCAGGGCCCCCGCTGGTGACCCTCCAGGGCCCCCGCTGGTGACCCTCCAGGGCCCTCGCTGGTGACCCTCCAGGGCCCTCGCTGGTGACCCTCCAGGGCCCCCGCTGGTGACCCTCCAGGGCCCCCGCTGGTGACCCTCCAGGGCCCCCGCTGGTGACCCTCCAGGGCCCCGCTGGTGACCCTCCAGGGCCCTCGCTGGTGACCCTCCAGGGCCCTCGCTGGTGACCCTCCAGGGCCCCGCTGGTGACCCTCCAGGGCCCCCGCTGGTGACCCTCCAGGGCCCCCGCTGGTGACCCTCCAGGGCCCCCGCTGGTGACGCTCCAGGGCCCCCGCTGGTGACAGCACAGCCAACCTGGCTTATTGGTGGGACTTGTAAGGACAGTCATCCCACACAGCTCCTGTTAACTCTCATGGGTAAGGTGGTCCAAGCAGCGGGAAAGCTTGCCAGACAGCAATATCAATGGCAAGTTATGCGGTTTCAGCTGGTTAGTCTCCAGCAGTACCCCAACACACACTCTGGCGTCTCCAAGCCTTGGCTCTTGCCAACCCGCACCTAATACTTTCCAGAATCAAGTAAGCAGGATGTGTCCCTCCAGGGAGAGAGTGCGCATTCCAGTCCAACAATCTATCTCTGGGATTTCCATGTTTAGGTGGGATACATGAAATTCTCAGTTTGGTTTGGATGCTCTTAAGCCTGGGGATGGGTTTCCATGTGTCACGCACCCAGCTGATTCCCCTTCACCGCCCCAATAAACAAATAATCATTCACTTCAGAACTGTATGTGGGACATTGCTGCGTGCAGTTCAGCTGCTGCTTTAGGTTTGCCCCTAAAATAGAGTCACTCCACTTTACAGTAAATCCTGTGAAGCAATTTGAGATGTCTTGATGATGTGATAAGACACTAGATCAAATGAAGAATCTCACAGCAGTGAGATAGCTGTGTTCCGGGAGTTCTAAGCAGAACCCGCCTTTAATCGTGATCTCAGTTAATTTATCTTTTCTTTTGGCATATAAACAGTAATGTTGATTACCTAATTTTCTTATTGCAGCATAACATTTGCAAAAAACATAATAATCACATTCCTTGCATTTGATATAGCACCTTATCACGTCAGAAGGATGTTTTAAACATCAAGGACCTGGACAATCAATGTTTCGGACCAGAGCTGGGGATCAGGATCGGGGAGGCTGGAGGGCAGGGGTGGGAGGCTGGGGGGGGAAGGAGGATGACTGAAGGCACAGTCGAAGAGGAGGATCTTGAAGGAGGCAAGGGAGGGGGCAAGGCGGAGGGACTGTTGGATGGAGTTCCAAAGGGTGAGTGAGTGGTTGAAGGTCTGCGCACCAATGGTGGGTCGGGCAAGTCAGGGGAAGTGAAACAGACTGGAGCCCATTGAACAGAGAGCGCGGGCAGGTTGGTAGTTGGTTAGGAGGTCGGACAGGTAGGGGGGAGCAAAGCCATAGCGGACTTTGAAAGTGAGGACCAGGATCTTGAACTGTATCCTCTGTGTGATGGGAAGCCAGTGGAGTCGGGCGAGGGTGGGGGTGATAGGGTCGCGGAGCCGGGTGCGCTGACCCTCAACATAACTCCAACTATTTCACAGTTACGTCTTTCTTTTGTGTGTTTCTAACTCCATCTCCCCTTGTCACAGGGATAGCCCCCACCCTTCGCAGGCTACTTTACACAGATAGAGATATGGACAAGTTCTGGGCAGCCTCCCACAGCCTGCTTGTCTCTCAGCCTTGAGATAGGCAGGTGGCTGAGGCTGCAGCCTTTTCTTTCTGTGGTCCATTGTTCTTAGGACCCGATTGCTCATTATCTCAGTAGAGTGAACATCTTCCCAGGAAAATATGAAATGTAATCAGAAACTAACCTCAGCACTTCCAGCAAAGCTACTTTTAACCCCTGCTAAGCTAGTTATTAAATCAAACAAACCTTATTAAAGGATGATGGGTAGGTTACATTCTAAACGTACATAAAGATTAATTAAAAGCCTTAAAAAACATTAAACATCATGAATATAATCTTACAGAGCGAGTGACTTTTTTTTTATTTGAGGATTGTTGGCTAAGACACCGGGAAAAAGTTCCCTTCTCTTTACGAAAATGGCATGGGATCTTTAACATCCAACTATTTGTGGACATTAAAGATGATGATTTTGTGATGTGGAATATGCAGTGATATTGAGCTGTGTTTAATGGTGAACCTTTAATAGTGGGACTGAAACACATGGCCCGATGAACTGCTGATTAGTGAGAGGCCCCTTTTAAGTGCCCACTTTGAAAGCCCTGTGCTGTCTCTTGGGACAAGCTGGAGGCTATCCAGATGGAGTTATTAGGACAGTCACTGAATCGGGGAGGGAATGGAGTGGTTGTATGCGTTATACCTACTTTGAATGAACAATGTTTCAGCAAAATTGAAAAATTGTGATCGTCATATGAATGCTTCTCATTGTGATGAAAAGGTGATTTCCTCTGTAATTTACAGTAGAAGTGTGTAGGTAGCATTGTTCACCGATGTTCCATACATAGTAATGTAATACATAGTGTGTAATTATAGAGCTGCCAAGCCAGGATTTTTAATAGAAAACACATGGATAAATATTATGCGCCATCTTTGTTGCATTCAGTATTACAGTTACAGCATCCAATTACTTTTTCATCAGTAAGGTATTAACCTAAAACACTACAGTATAATTATTTGTCTAAACATATGTCTTACCCATTTGCCATTGAAATGCGCTTTCCCTACTCCATTCTCCTTGTCCCCCCCATCCCCCGGTCCCTAACTCCAGCTTGGGTGCAAATCTTAGACTATGCAGCACCTTGGGACATCCTCTTGAAGTGAAAAACGTTATAATAATAATCCTTGCATTTGATACACATTGTGCACAGCAGTGTTGCATAAACGGCCGTGGATTGAGTGACCAATTTATTATTATTTTTGAAGGGCTTATTACTCCGGAAAGTGATCTGACAATCGACTAACAACAACCGGGTTCCTACTTGATGTTAGGTAAACTGAGGCATGTTGAGTAATGAAACTTGCCTTAGGTTTTGCCTTGCCCGGGAATCAAAACCGTGTCCTCTCGCTTGCGATATACTTTTTTTATATATATATATATGTATAATAGATATATCTCATTGTTGTATAAGTGTAAATTTGAATTGAATTGTAAATAAATTTTTTTGTGAACTTATATGAACCTACACAAGAACAAGAGCATTGTATGGGTTAATATCTGCCATTAGGCATTTAGGTTATGAGTTGAAGCTTTGAAAATTGTGAATCTCCACTCTAAAGAGTAGGCTAGTTGAAGGGTGGGGGGGCAGGTGCCTGACCTGGAACATAATATATTTGCCAATATATTTCATCCTTCACATGTTTTTAGGCTGTTTCTCACTCGTGGGATGAGTGTGGTCACTTGAGACCCTGAACATGTTTCACATCTGGATATACAACGTTGAACAAGCTGTTAAATAGAAAACTATTCTTTAGAATAGAATTCTAAAACAAAATCTGATCTTTAAAAATGTAATTTCATAGGTAACGTTTCATGAAATGAAAAATCTATCTTACAAAATAATACTGCAGATGTGCACATGCTCAGGCAATCACACTGATTCCAATTGACCATGAAACGGAAAGATGAGAAAGTAAAGACAGTAAGTGTTCTTCAGAGACATATCAAACTGAAGCTCTTGTTTATCTCATTTCCAATTCTTAGAAACCACTGTATGCTCTCTTTTTCCTAGGACGTGTCAGTGGTGTGTTTCATTATGATCAGCGGATTCGATATTCTCTCACTTTTCCCAGTGCTAAGCTGGCTTGTAAACGAGACTTTGGGGCTACGCTGGCAACCAGAGATCAGTTACACGTGGCCTATCTGGCTGGACTGGAGGAGTGCAGAGCAGGCTGGATCTCAGAGAGAGAGGTTGCTTACCCCAGGATACACAGAAACTGGAACTGTGGTCAAAACAGAGTTGGCATCATATCATATGGAATCAGGAAAAACCTGCTGGAAAATTGGGATGTGTATTGTTATAAACGTGAGGATGACCATTCTGTTTTTAATGAGTCAATGGTGTTGGAAGGTAACACTCCCAGAGACAGAACAGAAAATCTGTCATTGTATTCAGTGCTACCTACCTCATGGAAGAGTGGATCTAAGGAACCAATGGTGCCTGAACGAAATCTGCCCAGAACTCATGAATATAAAGAGAAAGTAATTCAGTTTCCAAATATAGTAACCGCTCACAACACAAAACATCTCTCTGGCTCAGAAATATTAACACAGTTAAACACCATGAATTTTACATTGTCTTCCATTTTCTCGCCTGTCAACAATTCAGCAATGAAAAGTATTGAAAAGTCAGTGAAAGGATTTACAACGGAATATCCTGACACTTGGAAACATTCTTTAGTCTCAAAGGAAAGCGGCAAGATTAGTTCAATGGAAGAGACTCAGTTAACATCAAATAGGGCAAACTCTGGAATGACAAACAGTGAAGATTACTCTGCTGCAAAAAACACAACTGATGCTAATATAACATCCCCTGAAATAAATGAAGAGTTGTTGCAAATCAGGAATGTGACTGGGGACACAACTGCTAAAAGCTTATGGGCTGTTACAGCAGATCGTGTTTCAGAACATGAGGTCCTTAAACTGTCTATGGTTTCACTTGATGTCAGGGCTGATCCTGATGGGGGGACCAACCCCCAAAGGAACGATGAGGTGACAGCTGCCAAACCTCAGCTTCTTACACAAACTCCTACTAGTAAAGCCAGACCAACACAACCAGCTAACATTAGCAATGTCGAGAAAAAACAGAGAAGCCCAGATCTTTCAAACAGCCTCCAAAGCACTACTCAGTCGGACCGCACAGACAGATTTTTATTCACTGACAGTAAAGCAATGCTTTTAACTGAAGTCAAAGAAGAGAGTTTTGATGGATTTATGGCCATAGCATTTACTGAGGAAATATCAGAGCATTTTTTGTCAGGAGATCCAAGTCCCCCAGGGTTTACTGTGGCTCCTTTCTCCGCAGTAATTCATGGGTCTACAAGGTTTGTCGCTAAGACTGTGATTACTGGTTCAACAGTGCAACCAGAACCAGATGTGACAGGAAAACAGATGTTTTTGTCCCAAACCTCTGCAATTACAGTTTCAAAAGAAGATGGTGATGAATCATCAAAACCAGTGACAACCACAGTAGAAACTGCAGAAAATGTATCTTCATCTGTCATTGTGTTTGCAGAAAAAACAATACCTTCAGAGCAAGATATTTATCACCAAAGGGATCCACATTACCTGTCTGGGTTAACACCCCAAGAATACTCTTTAAATAGATCAGCACAGTTGTCTTCAATAGATTCAAATAATACAAGGTATCAAAATGAAGAGACACAGAAAGAAACCAACAATCCAGTTTCAGGGTTACTGCTGGAGAATAATAGCACTGAAATGATGGAAAATGACCCATCAGATTTATCCGTTCAAATAGAGGATCATAATACTAAGAGGAAATTCAATGTAATTGATAGAGATGAGTCAAAGCTTTTAACAACAGTCTGGACACCCAGTGAGGATCTTCTGACACTTTCACCCAGTGTAGATACAAATGTACAGTCGGTCATGTTGACCACAAACAATGCAGCTTTGCCAGAAACACCTCCTACGAGGAATCATTTGCAGCCTGAAGCACTGAGAGTAGAGGACACAGTACATCTGTCAGAGAAGATGCAAGGATATCATGGTACAGTTCAGCTTAGTACAACCGGCAGAGATGATACAATCCTTTCAGGGACAGAAAGTGATTACAGGACAGTTGCGATACAAGTGCACACACTTGCAACACCAACACCAGAGAGCAAAATACAGCTGGGCATATCCAGCCACAATGCCATAGCTTTTCCAGAGACCATCACTTCAGGTAGAAATGAAGAACTTGTGACAGTCAATGTAAAAGATATTTCACAAGAAGCAATTTCTAATGTAGACCAACTGGGAACAAAATCACACATGACTTTAGATGATGAGAAAGAGCCATATGAATCTGGAGCAATTGATGATATCAGACAGTCTGAATTGATTCCAGAGGACACAAGACTAGATGTAAGAGTCAGTACAGAGATGGGTGGACAGGTTGTCACTGCTATCGAAATGAATACGGAGCAGCCAGTTACACACAGTATAGATCATACATCTGGAGCAGCTGTAATTGCTGATAGCTCAGTTATGTCAGATATAACCAGTGATTTAAACATCTCTTTGCAACACACAAACAGTGAAAATCATATCTCAGAATCTACAGTATCTGACGCAGAACTAACTACACCCAGTGTGGATGTTATCAAACTGCAAAATACTGTGAGCACAGAGAGAGCCAAACAAGGAACATTAAAGAAAGACCACAATAATCAGCTGTTTGTACAGCCCATAGCTGAGGTGCTGCAATCCATCACATCTCAGGGAGAGAATCAAAGCTCTGCCAGTGCAATAACCAACAAGAATGATTTAAGTGCAAACAACACAGTCCCAACAGATGATAAAGTCCCATTCCTGATATACAACGGTAATAGTACACTCCAGGAAGTCACAACTGTTCCTGGTATGTCAGGGAAGCCTTTCAGCCACAGTGCACACAGCTCGTTGGAGCAAAGCTCATTTTTAGGTGGCAGGACTGACTTTTCAGGCACATCCACCAGAAGTCACACACATCTCCCAGCCCCAGTAACAGGCACCGAAGGCTCGCCCTTATCAAAAGTGGAATCTACTCAGCACTCTATCCCACCTTTGATAAATGTTCAGATTTCTTCGTCATCAGCTTCAACAGGTTTTGTGAACATCACAGAGACTTCCTCCTCTGCAAGTCTAGGTTCTATGCAAACTCTTGCAACAGAAAGATCATTACAGCTTCATCTGCCAGCTACATTATCTTCTCCTGTTGCTACCACTGGAATATCAACAGAAAAAACTTCTGCATCACCACCTGCTTTCTCATTCGTGACTTTAGGTAAGTGCATTGCTCAGAGGAGACCCTCAACAATTCGTATTGGTAAACCCATGAACTTTTGTCTCCATTGTATTATTCTCATAAGTAAAAGCACTTAAAATTGATAATCATTCGTGAGACAGTTAATCTTTTTAAAACAGGTTATTCACCAGTTATTCATTTAAATTTTAATCATGGAAATAGAAATAAAAATTCAATTTAAGAGTAGTGATTCAGATCAAGATTATTCCACTTATATCTTATAGGATGTAAAAGCATCCTTTGAGTTTATAATTTATTTTGTAGGATTTCAATTGATTTAACAAACTTCAATCCTCATACTCCCCAAGGATATTTATACATGTATGTGAATTCTTACCAAGTCCCAGATTTCTCCTCTATCCTGTTACACATGTCTTTGTCTCAACGTAAGGCAAAGCTTTCTTCCTTTATTTGCTTACAAAAATGGCACAAACTATTGAAAAGATCTTACAAGCATTTTAGGACAATATTTCATAGCATATTTTGGTCACAGTAGAATGAAACGTATAGACAACGTTTTGTACATATATTTTATTGCATTTCTGTCAGCAAGCATTAACAATGCATCTAGTTCAATGCCTTGGGACATCCCAGAGCTTTAGAATATCCTCCTGATGTGGAAGGCCCTCCTACTTCTCTGCCCTCTCTCATCCCAACTCTATCCCCCCCATGCTTGGGTCCTGATCCCTGACTCTTCAGTGCCTTGGGACATCCTCCTGAGGTGAAAGGCGCTTTATAAATGTAATTTTATTGTTTTTGTATGGTTACATACTGTAATTTGTACATGATGTTTGGCAACAAGTGAAGGAAATATGCAGTGCATTGTGCTTCCTGATTCAGATTCATGTGGTGATGTGCCGAAAGGAACTGCAGGAACCTTTCAGTCTCCAGGATATCCACAATCCTACCCCAGTGACATGGATTGCATTTGGGTCATCGAAGCTCTTCCTGAAGACCTTGTTCAATTGGAATTTACTGTCATGTCAATTGAAAGACATAGGACATGCAAGTATGACTATGTGATTGTCTATGATGGCAAAGGACCCAACAAAGTGGAGATGGGCAGGTAATAATGGGTAAATATGAATGTAAATATAATCAAGATCGATGAGGAGATAAAGTCATTTCTGACGTACACAAAATGGAATGACTGTGCTATAACATGATAGCAATATATACAGGAAATGATTGTTAGTTATGAGAGATTTGAGGAAATTAATTTATTGAATTATGTGAATCAAGATCAAAGCAGGCAATGTGAATGAATAGTTTACATGTGCCCTCAGCTGCTAACCATTTCCTAAACTTGTTACCAAAAATATTCTGGAATCTGGGCAGACAGAAAGTTTCTTTTCTCACTGCTAAACAAACAGTGGGATGAAACTGTTACAGTTAATTCAGTGATGTCATGGTCTCATTTGGTAAACATTTAGTTCAGACCTGGTACAGTTCCGACTCGTGTCTGATTTGTGTTCGGGTCAGATCTGTTTATACATCTGGCTCATGTCTGGTTCGTGACTAGTACAGACCTGGTTCATATACTTTCATATGAATAGCTTTTCTTGTTTTACCGGTTATCAGTGAGGAGATGTTCTGGAATAGGGAGCATTTATGTGGAGCTTTACCCTAGGAAATTGAGGGTGTGGAGTGGAATCTACAATAGGGTATTCTGCTTTACTACTGGAATGTGATTGCTGGATCAAATGGCCTTTCTTCTGGTTACTTACATGAGAGCACTGCCTACCAATGACTTGCTGATTTTTATTGCACCGCCTCATTGACTCAGGTTCTGTGGATCGGAAGTTCCAGCAACGCTCCAGACGTCATCCAATACCATGACCATCGTCATGCAATCCGACTCCTCAGTGGAACTGGAGGGGTTTTCAGCTCAATTCAACACATTTCGCATCCCATCAGGTAACGGTGAGCACCCAGTCTGATCAATTATAACATTTGACATGAATTTGTTTTGCACTTTGTCAACTATTGCTTTTGATCAAGTTAGTAGAACCCCAAATCAGTGACATGTTGACTATTTCACTCTCTCCACCATCTATAGGTCAGACACGTCTGGTTGGGGGAAGGAGTATGTATAGCGGCCTGGTAGAAGTTGAATTTGATGGGAAGTGGGGAGGAATATGTGCTAAACAGTGGGGCAGCAGCGATGCCAAAGTGGTGTGTCATCAGCTTGGCTTTACTGGGCCTGCTTTAGCCACAAGGTAAGTACTTCATCTTGATTAGGTATTGAGTTGGGTATGGAGTTACCTAAAACTTTGGACATGCTTCACTGGGTGTTCTGTTAAGGTTGGGTGAAGGTGTCTTACTAGAGTAGACTAGAGAAAGATTTCCCTACTCTCAGCCTGTGCTGTACCTGACCTGGAATTATTTCATAATGACATTGGGAGCAAAATGTGGAAAAACAATTTGTTCCCAGGATTGCCATTCCTTACCTCCCTAAATATAAAGGCTTGCTTTCTCAATGGAAACAAGACCTTGACATATGCAATTGGTTATTATAGAGCATGTTATGCTGTAAGGCAGTTTGAGAAGAAGGGGATTCGATGGCAGTGGGTGTAATGAGTGTGTTTCTGTCCTTACCACAGGATTAAGGTGAGTGAGCGAGGCACCCCACTAGCTGTATCTTACGCTAAATGCAAGGGAGATGAGAAGATCCTGCAGAACTGTGATATCAGACGGACTGGCAAATGTACATCCAATAAACGTGCAGCAGTGATCTGCCAGGGTGAGTTAACCTGCAGCTTGCCCCAGATTTCCAATCTTTACCATTCAGTAGATGGTCATTAACTGAATTGGGATCAAGGAGGAAATACCAACAAGAACACTAACTAGCATTTATACAGTGCACTTCACACAGAGCAGCGTCTCAGAGCCTGAATCATAGTGGAGCTTAACTCCAAGCTGGGGAGAAATGAGAAGTGACAATAGGCACAGGGTTGAAGAGGAAAGTCTTGGAAAGGAAGAGGAAAGCGGCTGAGACTATCCTGCATGAAGAGCACTATATAAATTCAAAATTGTTGTTGTTAAATGTGGAAAACTGAAGTATAAGCATGATCCATCAGCATTTGAAAGACAAGATAAAGTTTCGGGTGGAATCCCAAGTTCCTGATTTTAGTTTTGTTTTATATGCTGTGCAGTAGAAGATGCAGTAGTGATTTTGTAATTTGAATTTGAATACAATATTGAATAACACAGAAAACTGCTTAGTTTTTTGATTTTTTGTGGGGGGTCAGTAGATGTCTAATACATATAGAAGAGTGTCCAAACCGGACTGATAGTTCCACATAGTATGTCACCTACATATAGAAATTGCCAGTGTCTGGAATGGAATGCACAATCTCTCCCTGGAGGACAAGTCCCTGTTTACCTAATTCCGGAAAGTGATAGACGCAGATTGGCAAGAGCTAAGGGTTGGGGATCCCAGAGTAGGTGTTGGGGTACTGCTGGGGTCTAACCAGCTAAAACCATATAGCTTGCTATTGATAGCACTGTCTGGTAGGCTTTCCTGCTGGTTTTCCAGCTGGGACCATGCTATCCATTAATAATACTAAAGGGTGTGGGAAAAGCAGGAGATTAGTAATAGTAACATTGGAATGCCTAGGACCAGAAAGGTTCACTGTGGTCTCCCTGGTTGGCTCCAAAATGAACAGAATGCCAGATTACTCCTCTAAACTCTCACACTTCAATTGAATTTTTCACCAAACACTTATCTAATTCCATCAGGAATTGGTTGGCACTATTGGCCTCCCGCACCTCTCTAGATTGTCTGTTTGACATATTCCCTCTTTGCTGTTCAGAGGTGAGAGTTTGGTTAGAGTTTGCAGCTCCAGGGGGGAAGCTTCCTCCCCTCTCAGACAAGATGGGCTGAATGGCCTCCTTCTAGGCTCCTAACATTGTAAGTCACAATTACACACAGGGCTCAGTTGAAGAGTTTTCATTCCCATTCATCACAATATCATCAATCATCATTAAAATGTACACAAGTTAGCACAATTTTGATTTTCACATGGGTTGGCGGGGGTCCAGCAATTCATGGGGCGGTAGGGATGTTTATAGGGATAACAGTAGGATGGAAAGTTATTGCTGACAGCTTACCCTGATATTTTGGACTTGACACAGTTGGGGAGTCTTGTGCAGCCTTGAAGAGTGCAGGTGTCCTGGAGTCTGGCCTCTTCATTGTGGACCCCGATGGCACAGAGGGTGGAGTGGATGCGTTCCCTGTAGAATGTGACATGGTCTCTGACCCGACAACAGGTCAGTCATTCTCTATTGTGCTTTATTTTAATTTTAATAATAGACCAACTCTCAACAAAATCATGCATTGCTAAATTGTGATTGCAATGAGCCAGAAATGGTGGATTTTTACAAATAGTAACTGGAGAAAATCAGTTGGGTCTGAATTAGAGGATATGATATTTAATAACAATAATAATCCTTACGTTTGATACAGCGCCTAAACACATCATTGAGACGTCTCAAAGCGTTTCACGGGATATATTGTAAAGTGATGGTGACTGTTTGTTAGGCAAACGCAGCAGCTTTGAGCCAGGTGTTGACCCAGGACTTGGGGCTGATATCCTGCTTGTCCTTAATTATAATGACTTAATATCGCACTTACAATAGGATTCTATTATTCATAAGTGCATGTGGTCAATGTGTTAGCTTTGCTTAGTGTCTGCACTGAAGATCATGTCCTGGGCTTCATTGTATTGTATGACCTTTATCACCTCTGTGATTTTTTCCATTTAAATTATAACAATTATAGCTCATGCATTTGATATAGCTCTTTAACATGTCGGCAAAACATATGATTTGTAGGCAAATAATATTCATGGATCAACAATTAGATATAAGAATGAAGATAAATAGTTTGTTATACTAGGTGTCTGTGCTCAAATTATGCTGAATTCAGGTCGGTCTTTACCTGCCATTGAATGCAGCAATTTAATGCTATATTCCTAATAAAAATAATAATTCTTGCATTAGATTTAGATTCTTATCATGAAATGTCTCAGAGCACTTCACATGATTTATTGTACAGTTCAATGACTGTTTTTGTAGTGAATGGTGAGACTTGCATACAGCAATGTCCGCAAAGCTATGAAGTGAATGAACAATTTTATCTGGAGATTTGTTGGCCAGGGCACAAGCTCTCTATTTTTAACATCCACCCAAACATGCAGATGAGACCTCAGTTTAATGCCTCAACTGAAGATGAGATCATTCATAATGCAGTAGCCCCTGGGGTGTCAGCGTAGACTATGAGCTCAAAGTCCCAAAGTGGGGCTTGAATCCACAAGCTTCCAACTCAGAGGCAAGAGCTACCGACTGAACCAGGCTGATATCTATATTATATTATATTTTTAACCGACAATTCTAATTTCAGCTCAGAATAATTATTGAAAATGAAATGTTTTGGCTCTTTAGGGATCAGTATTATAGGCCATGATTCAGAGAAACGAATGCGAGTGACGCCCTGTGAAGAAGCTGGGTGCTACTCACATACCATCAACTACAATCAAACATCACTAGATCAGCTGAAGGTTTTGATTGAGGCCTCGGAGTCCTGTGAGCAGTATGTCAGTGTAAGTAATTAACATTCCTCTGTGAAATGCCAGCAAGCCAATGCCACTGTGAGCCCAACTGTTAAATTCTCTGCCTTTCCAGCCAACCAGCAAATAGGGGAAATTGAGATAGTTCCTCGAGATAACAGCAGAAGCAAAGATGAGGAAGGTTCTTCCACCATTTGATTTCATCCTTCCAGAATACCCACTTTTTCCAGTGCAGCTCCAAGCTTTTTCTGTGTCCAGGGTTCCCAATAAGGAAATTCTACTTGGGTCTAGTCTAAGACGTTTTCTTAAAAGAACCTGTGCAACCCATGGTTTCAAAATTAAGAGCCAAATCCCCTGTGCTGTTATAGCTGTCACTGGTGCAGTTAGTCTGAATACACTGTGCTCTTCATCTTCACAGAATGTATCTTTGGAAACAGCATTTCTAACAGGAATGTTTACTGTGATGTCTTTAGGTGGAATGTCGACACATTCGCTTCCTTAAGCAGCGCTGGGGCTGGTGGGTATCTCGTGATGGACGGCAAATAAACTCCTGGGGTGGAGCTCCCACTGACAGCGGCAAATGCTCTTGTGGGGAGAATGGTAAGGTGGGTTCCACAAGAGCACTAAATACACTATTATCTCAAAGATCCCTGACTTCACATATAATGTATATTGTCCATAATATTATGGATGGAAAGTTTAAGCCCTCTTGAGACGCTTCACTGCTTTAACAGGGCTACATAAATGCAAATTGTTGTGGTTCTCTCTTTCATTTATAGAATCTGGATATTGAAATGTTTTATACTCAACTTTCTCCCCCATATAAATGCACTGTTTCCATGACTTCCTGATACTGTTAGCAAAGTGACGGATGAAGTCTTATTACAACATTAGTCTGTAGTGGGAAGCCTTTCGAAAAGTCAGTCTTCAGCCTCTATACTTCCAAAACATTTTGCTTTACTGCCCTCTCCCTGCCTTTAAAATCCTCCTAAATACATGTCTATTTGGTCACGTCTTTGGTCAACATCGTTAAATCCCCTTTTCATAAATTATATGCACATGTGAACAATATTTTCAGAGTAAACTATGGATGCATTATTTCAAAAGAGTTTCTAAAGTTACTTAACCAGTTTATAGTTAATAAATGAAACCTGTGTTTATTTTGTAAATTAATTTATGAAAGGGATTTAGATTGCTGACATTTTACAATGGGATTAAAAAAGATATCTTTCTGTGCAGGTAACTGTGCTCTGGCTCTTTCGACATGCAATTGTGATGCAAATGATGGCGTATGGCGACAGGATGAAGGGTTTTTAAGAGACAAGTCCACTCTCCCAGTGCGAGAAGTAAGGTTTGGAGACACACAAGATGTACCTGCAGAGATGGCCTTCCACAGGATTGGTGCACTTCACTGCTCTGGACATGGTAAGGTTATCCTTTTAAACAATTAACACACTATCACGCTTTTACTTCTGAAAACATTTGAATGAAAGTCAATGCTGTATCTGAGTAAATATCTGATTACTGAATTAATGGAAGGTAATGGGATGTAAAGCAAAGTCACAGAAAACTGAATATACAATAAATAAAAAATTGCATTTATATAATGCCTTTCAAGTCAGGAGGATGTCCCAAGGTGCTTAACTAATAATGGTTTGGCACCTGAGCTGGGGGTGGCAGCTGAGGGGGCTGGAGTGGGGAGGGGAAAGGTGATGGAAAACATGGTCAGAAAGGTACGTCTTGAGGCAGATCTTGAACGACGTGAAGGAGGGAATGGCAAGTTTTAAAATGTCTAGGGCACTGGAGATTGAAGTTCTGGCTGGAACTAGTGGGCTAGTTTTTCATCCTATCGTTTTTTCTTTTGATGACATTTATTTTATTTTTCCCCCTCTCCACTTCGCTCCTGAAGAAACTGACCAAATGCTAGAGCTGTTATCTGACCACTGGCCGCTCTCCATTACCTCGCACGCCCACCCCACCCCCCCGTGGTTTATCAGGCCTGTTCCTGCCCTCACCTGACATGCAGGACACCTATCAATATAAAATAATAATCCTTTCACTTCTGGTTCAGAATTTGATGGATGGTTTATTCCTACTTAGAAATACTTGTTTTTAATGTCTCGAATCATTTTTCAACTATTACATTCATCCTCACCAAGCTCCCTTTTATAACTAACTAAACAAATAAGCATAATCCATGACTATTTGTGGGATACTGCTGTGTGCAATTGGCTACCATGTTTTGCCCACAAAATATACAGTGAATTCACTTTACAGAATACCCTGTAAAGTGTTTTGAGACGTCTCAACGATATAAGGCGCTAAATCAAATGCAAAATTATTATTATTACAACCTTCTCAAACCGCACAAATCTGCTGATCCATCCACTGGCCTGCTTTCCATGTCTCCCAGACTTCGTCACATTCCCCTGTCCTACCCATCCCACTATTGGTCAAGTTTTCAGCCAATCTTCCCCTGTCTCTTGAAATCCATCATGGAGTCCCTTCAACACGCCCTTCCCTCACCTCCTTTAAATTCTGCCTCAAGACTTTTCTATTTGACTGTGCCTTGGTCATCTTTCCCCAACCTCTCCCCCAGCACAGGTCCAAACTCTGGCATGTCCTCCCAACATGAAAGGCGATATATAAATGTAAACTTGTTGTAACTCTTAACAATAGAGCCAAGTTTATATTTCAGTAGTAAAAGTCCAGCTTGAGGGGAAAGAACAGTGAATGTTTTAGAATGCAGAAAGGAAACAACTACAACGTTTAAATTAACAACAAATTACGCTTGTATAGTGCCCTTCACATTGGAAAGACAACCCAGGGCGCTGGGATACTGTCAAAAACTGGAATACTTAAAGGAACAAAGGAACTAGACTTGATTTGAGTGGGATTTTGTGTCTCCGCTTACCTATTAGCTAGTTCAGAGTTAATTTTTTCTTTGTGTTGCTGTTAGTTGCTCTGGTTTAAGATCTTTACAGTATGAGCTATACAGATGCTTCCCAGTGAGAATCCCCAGCTGCATTCTTACTACAGGCAGGAACACATTTTGAATGAAATTAAACTAATGTTGCATTTACCCTCGGTGGAATAGTTTCTGAAATTTTGAAAAAACGTTTTGCTGTTGGACTGTTACGAATTGCAGATGTTTCTTGTGAGTTGGAAAATTAGTAACAAGCTTTAAACCACACGTCTCTGTAATTACTTTGCCTGTTTCTCAATCAGTCATCAGGATATTACTGTGATCTCAATAATGAAGCTACAGATTTTGAACAAGAACGTTTCATTTTAAAAATAACATTTATCCATTGCCCTTGACCCAGTTTACAAGACGACTCTATTATGATGGGGTCCATAAAATTAGAACCCGCATTATAACAGGTCCGCAAAACAAATGTCCACTTGCCCCACTTCCGTCCTGGTCAGCAAGGGAGACAACCTGTTGGCAGCAGGCCTTTATCTATCCTGACCACTGAGAAATTTCCCACTGAAAGGCACATAAGAGCAACATAAGTTTAGTTGCTCTTTGATCGCCCTTCCTCAAATGGGGTGGAGGGGGGAGGGAAGCAGTGTCTCCTTGGAGCTGAATTGGCTCCAAGGTGACATGCTTGATGAAGCTCTTTGTGGCCATCTGGGTAGTCCAGTTCCTGAGCCAGGCGGATCTGCAGTATTCCAGGGCACTGCTGATGACAGCACAGCCAGTCTGGCACATCGGCAAGACACTGGAGGCAGGGACTCATCCCACTCAGCTCCTGTTAACCCTGCAAGCCAAAGCACCAGAGTAAGGTGGTCCTAGCTGGACAAACAGCAGGAAAGCTTGCCGACAGCAATATCAATGGCAAGGTATGCAGTTTAGCTGGTTAGACTCCAACAGTTACACCAACACACACTCTGGGGTCTCCAAGTCTTGGCTCCTGCCAACCTGCACCTAATACCTTCTGGAATTAGGTAAACAGGATGTGCCCTCCAGGGAGAGAGTGCACATTCCATTCCAACAATCTATCTCTGGGATTTTCATGTGTAGGTGGGATGCACGGAAATCTCAGCTTAGTTGGGATACTCTTAAGCATGGGGATCAGTTTCCACATGTGTCAGACACCCAGTTGACCAAAAAAAAAATTGATTTGTTAATAATGTTAATAATTTGTTAAGAAAGCATACAATGAACCAACCATTTGCCCAATTTTTTCTTCAAACAGCATACTATCTGTCCGGTTATGGATCCCACTTACTTAATCTCTCGAGAGATATTTCCCTCTGACAAGTTAATGATCTTCCGAATATCTAAGTCTGCACTATTTGAGCCCTGGTTGTCTGCTTGCTGTCTGCAGATGATGTTTTCTTGGTTACAGGGTTCATTTGGGGTTCAATTTTTGGGGGTTTCTGAACATATTTCTTAATAACAAATGTGTAGTTATTGAATTTTCTAAATATTCTTCAGGGTATTCAATCGTTTTGAAATTTTGTTACACTATTTTATTTTTCTCTGTGCAATCCGTCACAGGGGGCAGGATCTATGGCATTTTTTTTGTTTAACGGGACATAAAATAGTGCATCTGATTGCAACTTCATACAGTACCCTTCCTACGTGCAACCTTAGGCGAGTTTCCTTACTCCACACACCTCTGTTTATCTAGTTTAAGTAGGAGCCCGGTTGTTAGTTGATTGGCATATTACTTTCCAGGGATAATAATTCCTTTAAAAAATTTGGTCACTCAATCCTCGATTGTTTGTGGGACACTGCTGTGCGCAATTAGCTGCTGCATTTCGCCCAACATTACAGTCAATTCACTTTACAGTATATTTAATCGACTTCAAGATCCTCACTCTTGTCTTCAAATCCCTCCACTCCTCTGCACACCTCTACCTCTGTGACCTCCTCTCTCCTCACAACAGTGCCCGTTGCCTTCGCTTCACCGGGTTTGGTCACCTCCTTGTCCCCCGAATCCTCTGCTCCACTATTGGAGGCCGTGCTTTCAGCCTTCAGCCTCGAGGCTCTGGAACTCCCTTCTTCACTCCCTTCGCCTCACCCCCTCTCTTCCTATTTTCAGGTCTTGGCTGAAGACCTTTCTTTTCGACCGCGCCTTTGGTCACCCACCTCCCCCTCCCCCTGGCTCAGCCCCGGGATCCATTACTGTAAAGCGCTCTGAGACGCCGTCCGGCATGGAGGGCGCTGTATAAATCCAAGTTGTTGTTGTTATTTTGGAAACGGTTTGAGATAGCTTGAAGATGTGATAAGGTGCTTTATCAACTGCAAGGATTATTATTTTAATAAAATATTAAATTATTAAAATTTAATAATCTCACTCGGTTTTGCAAGTGAGAGACCTGAGTTCAATTCCAGGCAGAGGGCGAAACCTTGGGCAAGTTTCCTTACTCCACACGCCTAATAATAATCCATCCAAACAAAAACAATAATAAATTGGTCATTTTCAATCTACGACTGTTTGTGGGACATTGCTGTGCGCAATTGGCTGCCGCGTTCGCCCACAAATATATAGTCAATTCACTTTACAGTGTGTTCTGTGAAGCGCTTTGGGACGTCCTCCCGACGTGAAAAGCGCTATATCAAATGCAAGGATTATTATTATTATTATTATAAAGCACCTTATCATGTCGATGAAATGTCTCAAAGCACTTAACAGAATATATTGTAAAGAGACTTCACTGTATACTTTGTGGGTGAAACACGGCAGCCAATTGTGCGCAGCAGTGTCCCACAAACAATCGTGGATTGAGTGACCAAATTTTTATTATTTTTTAAAGTTTGTTTCTTTGAAGGGATAAGCCTCACCCCCTCTCTTCCTATTTTCAGGTCTCGGCTGAAGACCTTTCTTTTCGACCGCGCCTTTGGTCACCTTCCTCCCCCTCCCCCTGGCTCAGCCCCGGGATCCGTACATTTATTTCCCAGAATTTGTGAAGCTGCATATAATTGTGGTATAAGCTAATCAAGTCCAATCTATAATAATAAAAATAATAAAAAGAAAGTACATATGGAGTTAGACCAAAAATAACCCACACCTCTGGAGAAAGAAAATCATCCATGTCTCTGGGGGAGAAAAAATGTTGAATAGCACAAAACATAATCTGCAGTGTTAGTAACCGAACAAAATCAGTGGCATGTTTATTATTATTACACTAGTTTCCATGTAGCACTCATTGAAGAGCACTGAAGTGGTAAATTATTTTGGATGCTTTTTTAGGACCAAAAGTGCCAGTACTGGAATCATGTGCAGCACTGAAGGAAGCTGGATTTCAGGAGTCCAAGGAATACTACATCGACCCAGATGGAACCAGACAAGGAGTTCTGGAGTTTGCAGTGTTCTGTGATATGACTTCTGACCCATTTACTGGTAATTCAATTTAATCAGAATGGTATTTAAGCAAGAATAGACTGCAGAGAACCAGCCCTCAATTCAACTGAGATCAACTGGGGTGGTGGGGGGGGTTCCATTAGACACAGTTACAGTACAACAAAATACAACATGGACTATCTTACACTTTCCATTGAAATGTGGGTACCTTCAGCTTCAAGAGGATGTCACATGTCATTCAATGTCCTTTTTCAATCTACAAATCAACTCTAACCCCATTCTATTTTCAATTTTTTTTTAGTCTATAGATTTATAGATCATTAGTGTTCGGGCATTCAGCATCTCTACCCCCAACCTCTGTAACTGTGTCCCACAATCCCTCCGCCTCACCCCCTCTCTTGCCTCCTTCAAGCCCTCTCTAAAGACCTTCCTCTTCGACTGTGCCTTCGGCCACTCTCCCAGATCCACACTCCTGCCCTCCAATCCTCCTGACCCCAACTCCCAGCTCGGGTCCAAAAACCCCTGACAGACCAGCGCCCTGGGACCTCTTTCAGACTTGAAGTGCGCTGTACAAGTATAATTTGTTGTTGTGGTTGTTGTATAGAAAATCTTTAATTAATGAAAAACTTTAAGAATTTCTAAATTTAAACCACAAGTTGGATCTTAATAACCCAAGTTCAACAGTCCCAGCAAATGGCAGTTGTGAGAAATACATTTAGCACAACAACAATAACTTGCATTTATATAGCGCCCTTCACGTGAGGTAGCATCCAGAGTGTTTAAACACCACCTCTGCTAAGGGAAAGTCTACAAACTAAACGTGTATTCTGTAAAATGATTTTACTGAGAGTAACAGCACATTGTGTTCCTGCTGCAGCTATAACTGTTGTAAGTCACAACAGTGAAACCCGCCTGCGAGTGGCCCCCTGTGAGGAACCTGGCTGCTATAGCCGAGAACTAAGTTACCAAGCAGACCTGATCCAGCTCAATGCTCTCACACGCGTTTCTGAATCCTGTGAGCAACATGTAAAGGTGAGACTTAGCACACCATGGAGTTAAATTGAATAATTACAGGCCCCCCCTCTCAATAATTGCACTAATTTTAAAACTCTATTTACAAGCAGTTTTCCTCTGTACAGTGTATAGCTTCTCTGGTTTCACTTCACAAAACATGCATGGAGATTAACGCAACCCCAAATGACTGTCAGTACACTGAAAAATAATACTCCCCCAAGTGCTGAAGTTTCAGCTGGTAAGTGCATTACCCAGGATGGGATGTACTGTAACTATGCTGTAACTCACAGCAATTCTATTGTTTCCACAGCTGGACTGTCGCCACATTCGCTTTATCCAGTCAGGCTGGGGCTGGTGGGTTTCCTGGGATGGAAGAAAGATGTCTTACTGGGGCGATGCAAATCCAGACAGTGGAAGCTGTGCTTGTGGAATGTCAGGTATATGAGGGGATTTGAACAATAGCCTTAATACTCTATGTGTATCCTGGAACATACAACATTGTGTTTGAAGGATAATAGTTTTTTAAAAAATCTTTTCCGATGGTGTCTTCCGCCTCTCCCCCATTGCATCTACTTCTCTTCATGGCCCTTCTTGAGTATACTGCTGCTGTGGTAGAAAGGGTAATGTTTAGGGAAATGGAGAAATTCCATGTAACTGGAACATAGAGGAAGGTTCAAGCATATCAGGTTATAAGAACAAGCCTTAAGGTTTTATAATGTCATCTGAATCCCGATCCATTAAAACACACTACGGCCAGTGTTATCCCTTAGAACATGTTGTGTCATTTCAAAGGACCAATTGAAAAATCATAGGATTTTAAAACACAGCAGCCATTCAACAACTTGTATTTATATAGCACCTTTCATAGAGGGTAGCGTCTCGTAGCGCTTAACAGTGGAGCTTGATGCTGAGCCGAGAAGACGGAGGTGGTAGATCACGGGGTGGGGAGTAAGCAGGTCGGAGATGACAGGACATGAAGTGATTTGTAGACAATTGAGAGGATCTTGAAGTCGATCTGTTTTGTGATAGGGAGCCAGTGGAGCCAAGCGAGGACTGGGTGTGATAATAATAATAATAATAATAATAATAATAATAATAATAATAATAATCCTTATGTGATGTGGGTATCGAGCTTAGAGTAGGTGTGTATATGGTCGGAGGAGTTCTGGATTAGTTGGATTTTGTGGATAGTGGAGCTGAAGCAATGAGGGCATTGGAATAATAGAGGTGGGAGGTAATGAAAGGGAGGTGATGAGGATTTTGGCTGCATTGGGTGTGTCAGAAGGACTTTCAGCACATTGAGTCTGACCCGGCATTCTGAAAGCCAGTTCCTATCTGCCCCTTCCCTATGCTCTTTATAGTTTTCTTTTTCAAATATTTGTCCAGTTCCCTTTCAAAAGCTATAAGGATCTACTTAAACCACAATTTATGGCAGGGCATTCTGCGCTTAGCTTGGCATTTGCCTGCAACATGTCACTGAATGGACATGGCAGCTGAAGACAGAGATCTGGAGGACATGGTAAATGTGAGAATTTCTGTACCAGGTAAAACATATTTTGAGGGACCACATTTTTTGCTTCTCAGCTCATGGAATTCTTTGACCAAATTGATTTTTTTCCTGCTTTAAAACATAACAAATCAGCAGCTATGTGATGAATCCATGATGTTATATTGTTTTAAACTTTGACAGAAAACTTCTTTCAGCTAGCTACGCATTATTATTGCAGTTCTTATTTACATTAAGGTCTGTTGAGGAACTCAGGACATCTGTTATTAATTTGCTAGACTAGAAATCTTTAGAGATGCCAGGTTTCCTTGTTTGGCTAAATAATAATGTTTGGCAAGTTTTATTTTGACTGCTGGCAGGTGTCATGGTGCACATTTTGTTCCAAGCTCATTTTCAGAGTTCTGTAAAAATCAGAAGCAATGCAGGAATGACATAGGAATTAATCAAGTTAGTTTTATCCTTCTTGTGAAAGTGTACAAATGCTGATTGGTACATGTTCACAAAAGTGGTCCTGTGTTGCAAACACAAGGACATGAGACCTCTAAACATCAGATTCAAATACAGAGTTTTTACCAGACGACAGCTATGAAGTAGGGAAATCACTTTTTTTGCAAAAGATCATGAGAGATTTTGATCAAAAGGGCTGCCTGGTCCATTTGATCTCATCTTTGTAGAAAACCAATCCTATATCCTTCCCACAAAATCTTCTTAAAGGAGTCCAGTGTCCTGGCCTCTACCATCCTTGCTGATAATCTATTTCAGCTACTAATTACTCTTTTTACTGGTGTAATTAATGATTCTCAATCCACAACTCTGGTGTATTATTCTCAGCCCAACAATCCACTACTCCAATCATAAATCCACAACAGCCATTACCTGCCCAGAATCCTTTTTATGCTTCCTGATCGTATCTCATATGGTTATTTTCTATTTGTCCATTTACTTTTAAAAGAATATCTAACTGGTGTCCATCCTAAAATTATTCTTTACAATCACAAGCCGATGAGCTCTTGCCCCATTGCCTTGACATGCCTGAAAAATATGCCTCTGGATTTCCTTTTTCAGGCCATGCTAGATTTTGTGTATACAATGCTAAACTTATTTTAGGTGTTGGGAAGGATGGTAGGTGATTGTTTAATCTAAAATTGAGTTTGTTGTGATGCATTTACCATCAAATCACTTCTCTTGCACCACAGGATCTTGTTCTGACCCAGGGAAACTCTGTAACTGTGACAGCAATGATCACATATGGAGAACAGATGAAGGACACCTGAGGGATAAATCCACATTGCCTGTCCGATCTGTACATTTTGGAGATACAAAGGGTGCACCACTAGAGATGGCATTTCACACCATAGGAAAACTGATGTGCAAAGGAATAGGTAAGATACTGTTCTACCGATTGCTCTGAAGGTTCAGCTCATGCTCAGCTGAGGTGTATTAACCTGCCTGCTACATATGCAGCCTCACCCCACCTCACCAAGCCAGTCAGGAACCTGGGCATCTTGTTCGACCCTCAACTGTTCTCTCTCCTCCATATCCGTGCAATGACCCGCTCTGCCTTCCCCAAACTCTGCAACATTGCCTGACTCCATGACTGCCTCACCCCTCTGGCTGCCGAAACCTCATGTACGCATTCGTCACCTCAAGGCTCAACTACGGAAACTCCCTCCTTGTCAGCCTCCCCAACTCTTCCCTCCACAAGCTGCAGATTATCCAAAACTCTGCAGCTCGTGTCCTCGCCCGCACTAGGCTCCGTGACCCCATCACCCCCACCCGACTCCACTGGCTCCCCATTCCTAGAGGATAGAATTCAAAATCCTTGTCCTCACTTTCAAGGCTCACCACGGCCTTGCCCTCTCCTGCTGACCCCCATCAACCTGTCCGCTCCCTCCATTCAGCAAGCTCCGGCCTTCTCTTTGTCTCTCACCCGACCTGACATACCATCGGCAGCTGGGCTTTCAGCCTCTCTGCCCCCACACACTTTGGAACTCCATCCCACGATCCCTTCACCTTGCTCTCTCTGCTCCTTCAAGGCACGACAAAACCCTCCTTTTCAATCATGCCTTCAGCCACCCTCCTACCCCCCACCCACTGGTCCTGATCCCTGACTATTCAGCGCCTTGGGACTTCCTCCCAACATGAAAGGCATTTTGCAAATTTAATTTTGTTGTCTTTGTTGCTCCATTTCACCAACGATGATGGGTGAACTACTCGGCCCCTGCTCTTTGGAATCCCCCATCTGAGTCCCCCCACCTTCCTGCCCTTTTCTAACTTTAAAACCTACTTCAAGACATTACTTTAGCTATGCTCTCGGCTTCCTTTCTCCTTCCGTCTGCTAAAAAATGAACTGTAATCTATATACAAATTTAATAATGAAAATGTTTCCGTCCATGGTTGCTTTCTTTCTGTGTATTTTCATGAAATGTAAATGCTGTGTAGATACAGCTTTTTAATCATTCTTGTGGCTTCCCATCACACGGAGGATACAGTTCGAGATCCTGGTCCTCACCTTCAAAGCCCTCCATGGCCTTGCTCCGTCCGCTAAGCGGGCTTTGGCCTGCTTCACTTCCCCCGCCTCGTTCACCCCACCATTGGCGGGAGGGCCTTCAACCATTCTGCCCCCACCCTCTGGAACTCCATCCCGCAGGCCATTTGCCTCACTCCCTCCCTTGCTTCTTTCAAGCCTCTCCTCTTTGACCGTACCTTCGACCACCTGGCTTTCCCCCCTCCCCGATCCCCAGCTCGAGTCCAGCGCCTTGGGATATCCTCCCGACGTGAAAGGCGCTATACAAATGTAATTCTGTGGTTTTGTCTTATTACAAAATGTCATTAAGTAACGGGTCAGCAAATCAATCAAACTTTACTTCCTCTTTTTCAGCTCTGCAGAGAAAACATCTAAATCTTGCAAAATGAACATGGTTTAATATCTTAAAGCGAAGAACGCATTAGTTCAGAAATCAACAGAACATCAGAAATACTTTTTCTTTTCTTTTACAGGCTTCAGTATTTCTTAACTTTTGTTCAAGCAATGTTGCTTTTTAATTTAAAGAAGCAAATAGATAACCATTGTATTGGTAACTCCAGTAGAACTCTGTTATAAGGCAGATAAGGTGGTTAGGACCACAAAACTCCAACCAGCCTTATAATGGGGGCCTGATCAAGATCAGCCACTGGGCATGTGTGCTGCTAAATAACGGCCAACTTCCAACTCATTGGATTGCTGCTGACACACTTGCTGTGCACCTCAACCTGACTAAGCAGAAGTTGACTGGGTCTGCATACCAAAAACAAAAGTGGGTCCACAGGGCACCCATCTTATTATACCTGCTTTATAAGGGAGCAAGCACCTAACACTGTTTCACACGCAAGGTTGGTGCTCTGTGGACAAGCTGCTGGTTGCAACTTCTGGGTCCCACTATAGATTTTGTGAGTGAGTTAAGCATTCACCTTACAAATTAAAATTTACATGTTGACTAAATTTAAATTTATGGACTAACAAAGTGAGCTGCATTATCTTATGAGCATAATAGCTGCAGAGTCTGCTTATAAAACTATCTCTACATTTGATAATTACTGTAAAGTGCTTTAGGATGTTCAAGGTGTAAGATGCTATAAGAATTTGTTTCCCAGCTTTGTTAATTATAGTTAGGGTAGGGTGAAAAATGTTTTAATAAACTCAATATTCTCATCTTTTGGGAAAGAAATAAAAAATAAAATGCATTATCCCCATTCTGTTGACAGAGGACATCTAAAAGCACTTTACACAATATACTATAATGACTATTCTTGTAGGCATAAAAAGGAGCCAGAGTAATTAGTTTTGTTATCTATCCAAAAAATGCATATGGGAACTGCATCAAGGTCAGGTGACAACCCTAAAGGTTCTCAGGGGCAAATAAGCTGCTGGTGCTAACAGCTCAGCCCTGCACACAGTAGCAAAGAGAGAATACAAATTTATTCAATTTATTCCACAGTGACCATCATTCTGCATCTCATTTCTTTCCAAAACATAACCGAGAAGTGAAAATTAACAAAATCAACTGATCAGGACTGCACAGCATTTTAGAACTATATTGCCTACATAATCCACTGTATGACCGTTTATTACTTTCATTTCTTATTGAGTTTCTCTCTTAGTGAGAGGCATTCTTTACAGGGAATAACATCACGCACTTAATTATGTCGACTAAATTTAAATTTATGGACTAACAAAGTGAGTCTTCCTCCAGTCATCAACCTTTGCTGACTTGTTTGTTTCCCCTCATTGATGTCGATAATCTCTGCTCCCATTTCCAAACAACATATGATCCAAACTCCTGGTGTGTTCAGAAACAGAGCAATGCACTTCTAGTCTTGAACATCAAAATAATCAATTGTTGGTTCTTCCTTCAATGGCTTCTGCAGGATGATTGTTCCACTGTCTGCCCTGAAATATTACAAGAGTTTGTTTTATTAATTTAATCAGTATAATGGACTCTGGAGACAATATATATTGCAGAACAATATACAAAGCTGACTTGCTTTATGCATTATGTAGTCCCCCCACCTCCCAAATGTTGGGGTTTGCGATACTACCTGTCAGTCAATCCTGAGGTCCTGGATTCAAATTCAACCTCGAAGAAAAAAAAGTTAATTCACTGGAAGGTGATTCAACATTGTCAGTGAGTTGTGTTCGCGCTCACTGGTTTGAATTCATAAAGCACCTTGTGTTAGCTTGCCTCAATTTTCACTTCCTGGCTAGAATGTTGTGCGTTCAAGCATCACAGTGGAACTCGAGTTTCTCATCTGAGATGATCCAGTGCAGTACTGTGAAGCTCTATTTATGGTAGTGCTTTCTTTCAGGTGAGGGCAAAACCACTGTGTTTTAAGTGGGTGTTAAAGATCCCATGATACTACTTGAAAAGTTCGCCCTATACCGTGGCCAAAAAGCCTTCATATTAAATGGTCATTTAATCATCCTATAGTCTGCCTATAATCACTATATCTGACAGTAATTACCTTAAGATATTTTGACATTTAGGGACTATATCAAATGCAAGTATCTAACTCCTCTTTCAATTTCTCTGAAAATCTGCGAGGTTAGTGAGTGCACAAAATGCACTGCTCTTCCATGCTATATTTTACCTACACAGGAATTTACAGTGGAAAAGACCACTGCAGTTTATTTGGGCACCTCCAAATGAAATATGTTGCATAGTCGGCAGTCTGCCACACTAAGCTGTTTTACTTAACAAACTTAAAATTTATACGCAGTTGCATTGTTCCATCTTGCTTTTCATATCATATTCAGATCTAACAACAACAAATTACATTTGTATAGCACCTTTCAAGTCGGAAGAACATCCCAAGACGCTGGAGAGTCAGGGATTTGGATCCGAGCAGGGGACTGGGATCAGGTGGGGTGGGGGCAGGGAGGGTAGGTGTAGGCGGGTGGTCGAAGGTGTGGTCAGAGGAGGGTTTGAGACATGGCTCGAAGGAGGCCGGAACCTGCTGAGCAGAGGGAGCGAACAGGTTGATATGGCATCAGCAGATCATAGAGGTAGGAAGGAGTAAGGCCATGGAGGGCTTTGGAGATGAGGACGAGGATTTTGAACTCTGTCCTCTGTGGAATGGGGAGCCAGTGGATCTGGGCGAGGGTGGAGGTGATGGGGTCACGGAGCTTAGTGTAGGAGAGCATACGAGCTGCAGAGTTCTGAATGATCTGCAGCTTGTGGAGGGAAGAGTTGGGAAGGCCGACAACCAGAGAGTAGTCATAGTCAAGCCTAGATGTAATAAATGCGTGATGAGGGTTTCCCCAGCCTGAGGTGAGAGGCAGTGGTGGAGCTGGGCGATGTTGTGGAGGTGGGGGAAGGCAGAGCGGGTCATGGCATGAATGTGGGGTAGAAAGGATAGTTGAGGGTCAAACAAGACCCCAAGCTTCTGGAATGGCTTAGTAAGGTGGAGTGTGCAACCATGGATGGTGATGCTGTCAGTGCCTGAGGTGTGGAGCCGCTGACGAGAGCCAATAAGGGCCTCGGTCTTGTTGACGTTCAATTGGAGAAAGTTAGGTCTCATCCAGGACTTGAAATCTGACAGACATTCTGTCAGGACAGCAGTGGTCCTGGATTCAAGAATGGAGGCACAGAGATAGAGTTGGGTGTCATCTGCATACAGGTAGAAGCTGATCCCATGTCTGCGGATGATGTCACCAAGAGGGAGCATCTAAATTACAATAGTACTAATTAAATTAGTTTCCATGGTTAATTGGTTCATTTTAAACTAAATATATTTCAGTTATTAGTTTCATTTACTTTTTATCCCATGGATGTATTTCCATCAAGTTTGCATGGAAGTTTTATCTGGACTTGAATTCTGTGAAATCACAAATTACATTCAGTAACCAGCAACACAATATTTACTTAGATGTTTGGTGCCTGTAGTGGGCGATCGGTGGTGGTGGTCTGGTAGCTACTTCTCTTTCAATCAGTGAGGTCAGTGAAGTATTTGGAGACAAAGATTTTCCTCTGGGTAAAAAAAATACACAAGTATAATTGAAACAATTCAGATAGGAAAAATAGGATGAAAAGAAAGTACAAGCTATGTTTTGCATGAAATATTAAATATTACCCCCTCAAATGGTACCCCATCCCTCTTCTATCCAACCCCCAGCTCAGGTACAAACTCTTAATTGTCCAGCTCCTTGGGACATCCTTCAGTCGTGAAAACCGCTATATAAATTCTATTTGTTATTTGTTGTTGGAAAGAAATAACTGACTGTCTCAACTACAAGAAAAAAATCAATAGTGTAGTGGGCTGGAAGGTTGAGAGCCAATTTTGGCTGAAGCAGCAACTGAATTAATGTTAGTAACCTTAGTGTCTCTGGGTTAGGGAAGGGGAGAGTGCAGAGAAAATCAGACAGGGTTTCTGATCAAGGTGTTCACCCAGAAGCTGCTTCTGAAAAGTGCACAAGTGTGGATGTCAGATGAGAGCAACAGTGGGATCAGCAGTGCTGCCCTACAGTCAAATAACCTGTCAGCACTCACACGCAAAGCTGAAACATGAATAATTGACACTTGGCTGAAGTCAGAGCGCAAACACCACCTTTGGAACTTCACCACTCTAGACTTCCTGCCTCTGATTGTTATTGAGTGATTTCCTATACAGGAATATTAATAGAGATGTTCAGTTTGGTTGCAATCTTCCCTATGATATATCCCACTTGTGCCCACTATCATGTCTCACACATGAAATATGATCACTTTTGGGATTAAATAACCAGAGAGTAGACTGATGGCCATGGAGCTCCAGAAGGTAACCCAGAAGGTAAAATGAAAACCAACCCTAACAGCACTCACTTCACAGCAGTGACAACAACATTTCGCTTGGGCTCACTGTCATAGCTGATACTTTCAACACCATAGGCCTCAGCCAGCTCGTGAATAATTCTGCGATGATCTCGGTTCATCGGGGGATAGCAACGACTCCTCTTTGACTGTTTCCCCTGGAGAGAGAAAATAAAATTAGTACAGGATTTCCAAACCCTTAAGAAATAGAAGTTACAATACAAAATTACATTTGTGTAGCAGTCGGGAGGACGTCTCAAGGCACTGGACCTGTATTTATTATTGTAATGGGTGGACAATTATTTTCAAGCTTATTCCAAGAAAATCCAATTAAAAAATGGCACTGCTTAGTTTTACCCATCTCACTTTCATTGTAGGCATTTTGAAACTTGAAAGTATTTAATTCTTCATCTTGATAAATTCTGGAAACATGCTGAAAGGCTTACAAAAAATCTAATTTCCTCCCTTCTAATACTGCAAAGGTTTGCCTTCTCGTACACCATTACTCAATTGTTTTCAGGCTGCTGCAATGTATTTTTGGGATTAGAGATACGACACAGGGTAGCGTGCCCAAGCATTATTCCTTTCCTCGATCTCATCTCTTCTTCACCTCCCCCCCTTGACTAAATTGGACCAATAATGAATCACAGACAAGAACTCATGTAACTAAATGTACTCATGTCACTCTGTAACTAAAATACATTATTGCACTAAGTTTATGGAATTATAAATCCATAATTTAGGAAAATACTGTAGTAGTGCATTTGCCTACAAAATAGTCACTAGATTTTATACAAACACCATCTTGCAATATATAGAGCCCTTCATGTGGGTTATTGTCCTTAAAACCCATGAAGCGCTTTGAGATGTTCTCCGGATGTGAAACGCGCTACATCAAATGCGAGGATTATTTCTTACTGTGATTATAATTGCAATAAGCTTCATTGACAAAGGATGACAAATTTTATAAAAGTGCAATAGCTTAAGCCCGAGGTAGAAATTTCCATTGCATCAATTCTACTGTAACAAAAAATACTTTTTCCTTTCAACATCTGCTTTTTGGTTTGAAGATGAAAGGAACAAGAATAGAGGGACACATTATTGTAGCACAATCAGCAAGACATCCAACCTTCTGACTTATGAACCTTACTTCCAAAAGGGCAAAATATGCTGGAACGCATTGCCTGAAAGGGTGGTCGAGGCCGATTCGATAAGTACTTTTAAAAACGCGGGAGACGGGTAGTTGAGGAGGACGGGTTTGCAGGGTTATGGGGAAAGGGCTGGGGAGTGGGACTGACATTTATTGCTCTATTCAAAGAGCCGGCACAGACTCGATGGGTTGAATGGCCTCTTTTTGTGCTGTACGATTCTATGCTGTGCTATGCAGATCTGTCACCAAATGCCATATGCTCTGCATTGGTTTAAAAAACGACATCCTCTCGGCCCTTTGGTACAGTATTTTTTTCCAAGACTGGACTGCAGAACAATTCATCGACACTATATTTAGTGATTTGAACTGCTGAACTAACCTTATTCACAGCTTCTACAAGAGCTTTGATTTCTTCTTCCACTTCACTCACGAACTTCAGGTCCTTTCTGCAACCAGTAAGAAAAAGCACATAACTTAATGCAATAGAAATCTTAACAGTTTTTTTTATTACACGTAAGTTAAATGTATTTAGCTGTTAATTCCACTTTACTTTTGCAGGATGGCTAATTTCCAAATCCCAATGAATTAGCGAGGTTACACGTGTTTGTAAGTCCTTCTATTCATATCACTTATCTACATTTTTGACAGTTTCAATTACATATATTTTCTTTAGCTGTTCATCTTCATGCAAACCTCGATTTACCCTTCAACTTGGAAAACAGGTAGATACATATACAGCTTGTGAACTCTTTGGAAAGCTGCTCATGACACATGGACTCGTTATACAATGTCAAATCTTACTACGGATTAATAGTAAAATATGAAAGTACGATTTTCAGAACATGCCTGAATATTCACAAGATTAGATGGGGCAGGGGTTGGCACAAACAACTTATCAAATAAAAATGAAGATCTCAGAAGAGGAACGGCTCACATAAATATTCAAAACTGCACTTGTGACAGTGGTTTCAATGTTGGTTCTTATTTACTTGACAATCATAATCTACCTGGCATCTTCCTTCAGAGTGTCGCTGTACTTTGATCCTGAACCACGAGTGTGAAAGGGATCTAAAGCGGGGTTGATATGTAAAGCCTCAGCGAATTTCCTTGAAAGAAAAAGAACATTCATAACAATAGAAACAGTTGAGAATAACTGACTGGACAGATAGAGTTTTTCTGTCTCTGACAACTCTTGTGGATCAGATGTAAAATGTTTTCCAGAAGTGGTAAGCCAGGTCAGTAATGAACTCACAACACATACCTTCCAGCAATTACAAGGTGGGGGGCACAGTGTTATAAACAAAGTGTGAAACGACGGCAAACTTCTAGGTTGCCATGTCACCACTACCTGTGCACTACCCATATGCACAACATGCAAGAAGTGCCACTAATAGCATTTCCTTTTCAAAATGACAGGTCAAATTTAGCATGGATCACTTCTCTTCGACTGTGCCTTTGGCCACCTTCCTAGCCCCCGATCCCAATCACCCCCCCACCTCCCCGCTCAGGTCCTACTCCCTGACTGTTCAGCGCCTTGGGATGTCCTCTCGACGTGAGAGTCGCTTTACAAATTTAATTTTGTATTGTTGTATTGTATTGTAGATTTAATTAGGCCAGTCGGAAAACAAAGAAGCTTTTTGTGTTATTCCTTCTCTTGCAACCTGATAATATTAAGCATTGACGAAAAGCTCCTGAAAGTAATACAACACAAATTTACATTTTATATATTTCACATTTGGATGTTGTTCCAAAAATGCTTAAGAATACTAGCATGACACCTGAGCTGGGGTGGGGGAGGGGAAAGATGGCTGAAAGCATGGTCATAGAGGTAAATCTTGAGATGGACCTTGAACAAGGTGAGCAAGGATTCAAGTCAGAGGGAGGCAGAAATTGAAAGTAGCTTCTTAAGATGACTCAATAGGAAATTATATGTAATAGAATGCCATAGAAAAGAAATTTTGCTTGAATTACTGTGATTCTGTAACAAAAGAATCTCATCACTACTCATCTCAGTGTCTCACCTATTTCTCTCCAGGACTGCACATTCTTCATCACACTCCAACCTGCATGAAAATACATCAATTTGATAGTACAGCCTGGTATCACTGTTTTATTTCAACATCACACATTTGCAATATGTGCGATTCACACTCAAAACACACACCCAATCTACTGTATCAGTATCCACTATTACAGTATATTCTCTGAAGCGCTTTGAGACATCTTGACAACGTGATCAGATGGTATATCAAATGCAAGGATTATTAATATTGTACGTTTTAAAAGTATTCATTTCTGAGCAGCATATTTAGAACACTTATTTAATAATAACAGCATATTTATTAATAATAAATAATAAATCCACAACTGTTCGTGGGATACTATTGTGCGCAATCGTCTGTTATGTTTTGCCCACAAAATACAGTCAATTCACTTTACAGTATATTCCGTGAAGCGCTTTGAGACGTCTCAATGACACGATAAGGCACTATATCAAAAGCAAGGATTATTATAACACGTTACTATAGAAACCTTTTAATAAACAATAACCTTTATACTTTGAGATGCGTAAAGTAACATTGCAACTGTTTATTCAAATTATATTGGTGGGCTTCCTAAAAAAATCATCTTTTGGCATTTCTAGATTATAAATTATATATTTTTTCCAACTGAATTTTCTGTAGTGTCACAAATTACTACTACTGGAGTGGTACCATTCCTTGTTGTTGTCTTGTGCTCTAAATTTACAGATTAAACAAGATAAATTTCATTTACCTGGTCTGTTTCATCTCTTTCTTAGTAATGAGTCTGCTAATTTCCACGGTGTCTCCAAGATGGATATCAGAAAGTTTACTGGCCATGGCAATAGCAGCAATCCTATACAGAGAGCAAGCAAAGAATAAAACCCACTTCATACAACATTTAAAAAAATGCTATTCTCAAAGATCCAGATACTCGTATAATAATTTATGTTAATGAAATAAACCTCCCCCACACCTAAGATGTTGTCGTATGCACCTGAAGTTAAAACACATCTAGATGTTAAATGAACTTTCAAATGCATCAAAATAAAGCAGAATGAGTATCTATTGGATGGTTTCAATGAAATTTGCGCCTTTTGCTATTAATGCATTCACCACACCAACACTTAAGTTTTTATGCAAATTTTCTTCACACTTATAATAGTGCTTACATTTGATATAATCACTATCCCATCGAAACATCTCATAACACAGAAAATTGCTGCCTTGTGTGGCGACTATATTTGCAGGCAAAAGCAGCAGCCAATTTAAAACATTGGGAAAAACTCCTTTTCCGTTTTGAATAATTCAATGTGATTTTTGATATCTACCTAAACAGATAGATGGGTCCTCGGATTAACAGTTTAGACAAAAGATGGCATCTCCGAATCAGCAAATCCCTAGCAGTGCATTGGAATGCCAATCTAGACTATGATCTTAAAATCTCAATGTGGAATTTGAATCTACAAATGTCTGACCCAGAGATGGGCATACTATCAACTGAGCCGTTTGAATCACAAACACTTTCAAAGATCTGGCACTCTAATGCTGTATTATCAGTGGTGGTGTCCTTCAGATAATAGGTTAAACTGAGATGGCCTCCCAATGTGAAAGGCACTATATCAAATGCAAGGATTATTATTTTAAAATGAAAAAAGTGAAATCTGTTCAACACCCCTTCCCAAATGTAATTGCTGAAGAATGAAAATGTTAATAGCATAATCTTACATCTGTGAATCGAATTATAGTTGACAAATGAAACTCTGAACTCGAGAATGAATTGCCTACTGAAATAGTGCTTACCTCTGGTAATTACTGGATGCCTCACTGCACACCATTGTCTCTTTCCTACGTCCACAGCTGCAGTGCAATGCCACCTGCAATACAATAGCTGACATGGTGAGTACATTTCATTTAAAGAATACTTTTCCATTTCAGCACTGGTATTATTAAATCCTGATTAATTAATTTGTTAATCTGCATCAATCTTAAATTCCTCACTATCCAATTGATAATGATTTTAGAATGAACTTTTATTATATTATTATATCAGATTTGGTTAAGAGCTATAAAGTGCAAAGGGTATCAAAATAAAACCGGCTAAATTACTGTCAACTAAAATGACTCAGGGCTATTTGATTTATATAAGGACACATTGATGGAATTGTATGGAAAATTGGGCAGTAAGCTACATGCACTGATGACCAATGGTGGCTTAAATTACCAGGTCAGTGTTTATTAAATACATGCTTCACAAAGCCTGCAAATAATAATAATCTGGTGTATCTACTTGTAAAGATTCTTACTCTGTTACTAGTCACTCTTATACAATTACTATTCTTTTATATCTTATATCGTACCTCTGCATTGCACGGGCTCTTTGGGCAAGGTGAACCTTGATGGCACTGAGCCATACATGGATGATTGCAATCGGATTTACGGATCATACACATCTGTTTACACTGCTCTTCGGTAGCACAGTCCCCTTTGTGACAAATCCTCTTACACTTATGCATGCTGCAATCAAGGAGTTTGTTACAAGCAAGACCGCAGGAGATGTCAGTGAGGTGACATGGTATATTGTTCCGCAACTGAAAAAGAAAAAGTTGTGTTAAACCTAATTAGAAGTATTTTCAGTGAAATATATGCTGCCCAGACATAGGACTTCAAACCGACAAGTTAAATTTTGGCTTGCGAAATCTTCACTTGGCTTTGGAAACATGTAATTACAACTGATGAAAAAGAAGGATGATATTCATTGTGAGCTTTAAATGCTGTGGAATCCGCCCAAGTAGAGCTACAAGACACTGGAATGCAAACAGCCACAAATAAATAGTTCTGAGTTTCCCAGAGCCAGTAAATTACAGGCCGTGCTCAATTGAACAAATTGTATTTACAATTTACATATTCTAGAGCTGAGCCAATGTGCGTTTAATGTGTTTGTAAACAGTTCTAAGGCACTGTAATCTAATGTACAATATTTGACAATTCAGGAGTTTCTCTAGTCATCCTCTTATGATACAACACGGAAAGAGACTTTGATATTCTATACTGCCTCAACATGTTCACTAATAACCCACAATTAACACTCCTAACATTTTATTGCCATTATACAAATAGGCCTATGGTGACTCAACTTGCTGATGGGAAAAAATAAATGATGCAACTTATTGAAGACGCAAATGAAAGAAATAGCAGTTTTGTTATAATACGACTGCTCACCTAAAATCCAAATGAGAAATCTTAAGTGTTTAATTCTTAAAAAGCAATGGAATGCACCTCAGACATCAATGATATTCAGTAATTATAGAGTTGTTATAAATGGTTATCTAGGACCAATATCTCAGTGGTTGGATAGAGGTGACATGACAAAATCCATCAAATTTCTGGGTTGTTATGTCACCACCAACATTACTTTGTGACAAAAATTAATGAATTATTTACCCACTACTTTTTGTGACTGTTAAACTTTCAAAGGACTCACTTGTTCGGTTACAGAAAATAAAGTAACGTTGGGGCTACTAATATTTTCACGTACGTGTACAAGATAAATATTTGAAAATCATATACCCATTCTACTCTGGAGGAAAATGCAAGTATAAATCATCCCATAGAATTATTTTTTGAATTAATACAACAATGGTAGGTCATTGCAGTGGGAAGCCCAGAGGGGCAGGAGTACAGTTGACTCCAGGAGAGAGGGAGTGGGGGAGATCTCTTGCGGAACTGAGACACACACACAGTTTCTTTACTTAACCATACTTACTTCATGTTTTCCCATGCACCATTTTTGGGTGAGATATGTACAAGGTGGGCACTTCTCATCACTGTGACAATTGTGGAACACTGCAGCAATGTAATAAAATGGACATTAACAACATGATTAAATACTTATAAAGTTTCATAAGTACATTTTAAAATAAATGATTGTTAAACAATTTGAGATTTGCAGAGCACACTATGGTGCAAAAGGGGAAATCATGTACGTAGAATTGGAGTAAGAATAAAATCTATGATATTTACGAACTTTGGAACAAACCAAGGGTTTTACAGAATTTAAACTGCCATGGACTCTCTTCCATAACTTAATTTCCTAAAGTAGGTGAGCAACAAAAAGTAAACAAAATCTCAAACATTTACCTGGATGACTAAAGGGAATTGTGCAATGTCAAGGAGAAAGAAGTGAGGACTATTAGTACTTTTTTTTCCCCCTATTTTTTTCCTTTCCAAGAAATACTTAAAACAAAACTTACTGAAGAAAATTACAGCACCAATAAATGAAGCATCACCCTGTGGAGAATGAATGAATAGCAACCCACTGATAATTGGTGCTGTGTTAACCTGTACTAACAGAATAAAAGATGTTATGGTGAAGTTGATCTTTTCTCACCTGGATGATCACATTCATGAAGTCTACAGCAGGGGTTTTTGCACTCTGGAGGCTTGGTACCACATGGTACTGGAGGATAGATCACTGATGCTCCACAGTGACATGTCAGTTCATCAAAACCTAAATAGCAAATGTTGAACGGATCGTCACATTATATATCTTAAAACTGCTTCCATCATCAAACCCTGCAACAGTTTACACATGAAGGAATTTTGAAGAACATGATTGATTCTCTGAGAGGGGCAAAGAAGCAATCCTTTAATCCTTTAATGTGTTTAGCTATACTGCACGTTTGTCACAAGCAGTAACTTTATTTATAAATATTTGGGGTGAGGGGTAGTGTCAGAAGCAACAACAACTTGCATTTATATAGCACCCATCACGCTGGACAGTCTCGGAGCGCTTAATAGTGGTAGAGCCTGACACCAAGTCGGAAGGTGACCGTAAGCACGGTCGAAGAGGAAAGTCTGATCTGAAAACTATCCAAGTTTGCTGAAGATACTAGCTTTTCTTTTGAGGGGAGGGACAATTGCAAACAATAGGAATGGACTGGAGTTGGGCTCTTTACAAGTGGTAAATATCATAGTTCATTTAAGGCAGGTAAATATCTAATATAGACAAATGCAGTGATATGACTGAGGAAGTAAAATAATCAATTGTAACAAACAAAAATGGTATTAGTGTTTAGAACATAACACAGGAGAAAAACTTACTAATTGGATAGATCGCTAATACCATCTGCACAGCAATGTGACAGCAGGAAAGAGAGTAAGTACAATCTTTGGGTGTATAGCATGTTACAGTAAGTGATAGTGAATTTGTGCAGGGATATTAGAGAGTACAGCAATAACAAATAAAGCTTGAATTAGAAAGGGGCTCTGAGAATGCTTAGACTGAAGGTTGTCAGGGGGCGATTTCAAGGAAGAATTCAACATCTGGTGCTGGCCAACAATTCACCAAATAAAATTAATCATTCACTTCATGGCTATTTATGGGGCATTGCTGTGTGTAAATTGGCTGCAACTTGCGCTTACGAACTAGTCACTACACTTTACAGATTACAACAACAAAATTACATTTGTATAGATTATTGTATAGATTATCCTCTGAATCTCTTTGAGACATCCTCCAACGTGAAAAACTCTATTAAATGCAAGAATTATTATTATTTAACATAGCAACACAATACAATCAACTAAACACGTTCACAAAGGGAAATTAACTGACAGTTCAGATTTAATTACTTCAGAGTAATGATGACAATATGGAAAGGAGTCCCAATGGAGGTGGGAGAGGCAGGTTGTGTCTGTAAATTTATATTACGGTCGCTAGATGGACCATTCCAGTTTTTCCAGATCTTTACATTCTTATGTTCCTAAAGTATTGTGAGTGTTTGGGCAAAACCAGATCTATCATATTCACACAAGAGTGTCACACAGCTACAAAAATTATGCCACGATTCACATGAAAATATTACAAACTTGGTTTACAATAGTTTACAGGCTTCCTTAAAAAATATTACACATTTTAGTGGCCGTCTCTTTGAGGAAGTAGGTGGCGTCTCCTTGGGGCTGGCTCCAGGGTGATGTATTTGGCAATGGAATGTGAGAATTGTGCCAATCCTATGTGGCAGTCTCAGTAACCTGTTTCCTGAGACAGGTGGGATGCAATATTCCAAAGCACCGCTGACCACAGACCAGCCAATCTGGCTCTTCAGCAGAACTTGAAGAGGCTGACCAGACTTCAGGCAGGGCTTCTTTCTACTTAGCTCCTATTAACTGCGCAGCCTCAACCCTTATGGGTACTACAGTCCTAGGTGGATGCAGCGGGAAGCTTCCCACACAGTGCTCATAATAGGTGTTAGCAGGATCAACCCTAGACACAAGGCTGCCCCCAAGAAGTGTAAACTTGAAATTATAATTTAAAGACCAAATCAACATATTACACAACAGCTAGTTATAGTTTTCTACTTACCACTTTGCAAGCAAGTCTGGCAGTTCCCACGGTGACAAGGCTCCTCACACTTGTGCTGTCCACAGTTGAGCTTGCGTCCACAAATGAGAAGACATTTGTGCTCGGTGTCCTTGCAAAAAAAAAAAAGGAATAAATGATTAAATGAATTGCAGCCTCTAAACCCCTTCCAAACAGTAAACAGTTATTAATAATAATCCTTACAGTTGATAGTGTCTTTCATGTCAGGAGGACATCACACAGCGGTTCACAAGATGTAAAATTTAGTGATATTTTGTAGGCAGGTGCGTAGCTAATTTGCACACGTCAATATACTACAAACAACCATAACACGAATGACCAATTTTTATCTGGGGGAATTATTTGCCAAGACACCAGGAACAACTCTGCTCTCTTTTTGAATGTTGCCAATGGACCATTAACATTCATCTAACCAGACAAATATAGACATATTTCTCTGTTCAGCAAATATTTGGAAAAGTTTCGTGCTAAAGTTGTTTTTTTTTGGTGTTTCACTCATATGAAAACTCATTACCATGCTTAGGAGTATCCAAACCAAACAGAACACATTCTATGGCCAAGCATGTCCCATTAAAGCCAATTCAACTTCAGTCTGCATAGAGTGTACAGTATAGAAACAGGCTATTTGGTCCAACTAGTGCAGTGGTTATACTTCACGCAAGTCTCCCCATTCCTTACTCATTCCCATATCCTTTTGTAATAGTGTGTGGAATTTGCTTGGTATAAGAATTTCAGAATTATTTCATTTGAGCTTTTATGAAAATACATGAGTAATGGTATGCTCAACACTTACCACACAACAAACTTCATTGCACTTATGACGGCCACAAGAACGTTTCTTATTGCAGCGTTTGTCACACAAAAACAGCAGATCAGCTGCACAAGAGATTTACAGCAAAGAGAGAGGATACTGTAAGAGAGAGGATATTTCACAGCAATTCACAAAGACGTGCATCCATATACTTAAGGCTGATTTCTTGTTTTGGAAATACAACCACACGGTTACCCAAACATTAGGCTCTAGCACTGCATTTAAATCCAGGACCATTTTCTTCTTCACTTTTAGAAAAATATTAAAAAAAGCAAACTTTTTCAATTCTGAAAATATGACTCCCTTCCTTTCTTTGACTCCTTAAAGTTAATTTTCCATTTATGATGTGGCTTCATTCTTGGCCATTCTTTTACCATTGTTTAAGACAGCATTTAGACCAAATCATAGATGGTTAAACTAAACTCCATTTGTATCTGCTACTTGCTATTTTATATTTACCCCATTGGTTTGGCAAGTAGAAACAGCTTTATCAAATCATTTCATAATTTTAAACAACATTATAAGGTTAAAGGATAACTAAAATATTTTGTTATGAGTGGTTGAAAACATTGAAAAATGAGGACAACCATTCAAAGAACATTTTTTCAGGATCTTCCTTTTTAGGATCTATTCTATGGAATTAAATTCCAATTTAATTCTAAGCAATTGAAAGTAAACCAGTAATCTAAATTGATTTATTTACTATAAAAATCCTGAATGGTCAACAAAAGAAAGGATAGTTATTTATGAAATGTATTCAGAATGGTAATGCAACGGTAGGACTCAGTGAGTTATCAAACTCAGCCAAGGTGCTCTGGGCAGGCATGGGGTGATCATCAGATGGAGAATCATCTCAAGGCACCTCCTGGTGACTGATCTTACAGTGATGATGGTGAAGGTCAGGAGCAGTTTCCCACCTCATCCTCTTATACAAAGACAATGCAAGATATGAGGTGATTCAAGCAAAGAGAAAATACTTTATATAATTTTTCATTTTTATAATTTTTCAGCTTTTACCTCTACATTTAATGATTTGAAAATACTTGAAGAATTTAAGTCATTACCTTCTTTAGTGATGTCAAGACAGGGAACATCCTACAGAAAGGACAATCAATCATTATGCAAGTTAAAACTGTCATTAACTCAAAACTCTGCTTAGCAGTTTATTCCCAAATGTTATGAGGAAATAGAATAAAACACAATGCACAATACAATAAACCCTTCCCACACTCATTGAAGATACGGGGTGAACAGCTCCTTTCAGATTGAAGGTTCAGAACAATATATACTCAGCAACATGGCACGGCAGTGCTCAAACACAAGCCTGGAACAGCTGTAATTTTATAGCAGTGTGCTGAAAAAAGTAACATCCTGTGCCCGTTAGCCAGCCAAGTACTCACCCTCTTTTTAAAACCACACCGACAGGAAACAGTTGAATTTCCAGAACATGGTCCACATTCACCTTCGTGGCAAAGATTATTACAAGTATGAATCAAATCTAGATTTGAAGAAAAAAACTACATTAATATTGCACCTGAATGGTCATCTCATACTTTCTGTAAAGAAAAGCATAAAAGTAACTACTGCTGTTGAGTATCAAAAATAAACGATTGCCTTACTTACTGGGCACTGGAATAAGCACGTCATACCAGATCACTTCAAGCAAGTAAAACAAGTCAAGCAGCTAATGATCACAAGAATCACAGGAAATGAAATTCTTCTGTGCAAACAGTGACAAATCAAGTCTACGTTTCCTGCGATTCAGTGCAGCCGGCCATTAAGTGCACTTGTGTCGATAGGTCAGGACGTCAATTCTGGTGATTCAAGGCAATCGGTAATTGCGAGAGTAATGGAGGGTAAGGAAATGGCGTTACAAGTTAGGAGATGATAAATACAACTAGTGCAAATAAATCTAAGTAGCTTTGTTAGGAAACTGAATGGGATTTGGGTGCATGTATGACTTGAGCAATTATACGGTAAGACTTATGCGTGTTTTACTGTACTGGTGATCCACGGTTTTACTGATTTTATTTTAGAAAAACTCTTCTCAAGGTTCATTGGTAAACCTCCCAAAATAGCAAAATCACGACGTCTAAAATAATTTCTAAACATAATCTGTTCCCAATACATTTCTTGCGTGCACTGCTCACAGAAAACCAGAACACTGAATCTCTGGAACTCCTTGCCTCAATTTCTCCATCTTGCCCACTCTTTGCCCGCCTTCAAATCACACCTGATGCCTTTTCTATTCGACTGTGCCTTTGGTCACCTCCTGTCACTGATTAGCATTAAACCACATTGCTGTTGAGCATTCAGAGATTCTACTTGAGTGAAGGGAGCTAAATATACATTCAATGCACTTCAATGTATATTCAATGTATATTCTGTGAAGCTCTTCGAGACGTCTCGAAGACATGATAAGGCACTATATCAAATGCAAGGATTATTATTATGTAACTGCAAGATGTTATTGGTGTCGAACAAACTAAAAATGTCTTCTCCTCACCATCTGAACCACATGGTAGTATCTTGCCACATGTCTTCCCGCAGGAGGGTACTGGATCGGTGCAGCTTTTGCGCTCTGGATAACCAAGCTCTAAAAGTTTGCACAGGGGAGTCTGCTTACAAGGGCAGGTTTGTACCAATTCAGGCAGGCGAGGGCAGGGTTGGCATTGAGATGAATGGCAAAGCTGAAGACAGTTATGGTTGCCACAGTTGAGCATTCTAAAGAAGTGAACAGATTTGAAATATTTAGAAATATTACACAGAACCATACAAATTGACATCACAGAAGACCATTTGGCTAAATTAAGAACATTTTGTCTGTGCTGGCTCTTATGAGAGTAATCGTTTCAGTCCCATTTATCTGTCCTTCTCTCATACTCCTGCAGTTTACACCTTTTTAGATACCTACCTAGTTCCTTTTCGAAACCTAAATTAGATTGTACCTCAACCCACCCCTCCTAACAGGGCATTCCTTACCGTTACCACTCTGTGCCTGAAACGAATTCTCCTAACCTCCCCATTAGCTGATTTGCTAAATCTTAAATTGATGCCCTGTAACAGAATCTGATTCACATTTGGTACTGAAATCACAGATTAGTTTCAAAATAAAACAACTTTTTTTTAATTTGACAAATGTGGAAAGCCACCTCCATGCTGAAGAGCATCCAAACCAAACCGAAAACTCCATGCATCCCATCTACACACGGAAATTCCTGAGAGAAGACTGTTGGAATGAAATGGCACTCTCTCCCTGGAGGGATGCATCCTGCTTACCTAATTCTGGAAAATATTAGGCATAGGTTGGCAAGAGCGAAGGCTTGGGGACCCCAGAGTGTGCGTTGACCAGCTAAAGTTGCATAGCTTGCCATTGATAGCATTGTTAGGCAAGTTTTCCTGCTGCTTGTCCAGCTAGGACCACCCTACCCATTAGGGCTTTGGCTTGCAGGGTCAACAGCAGCTGAGTGGAATAATTTCCTGCTCCCAGTGATTGGTCTGCCTTTCCAGGTCCTGCCAACTAAACTCAGCAACTTGAAGCATAACATACAAACTTTCTACTTCTTAAATTTCTTCTATCAGAAGGAACTTAACTTAAATTTAAACTGATTTTCCGTTCAATAATCAGCATGAGAACTTGGGTGCATGAGCGAGGAACTCCAAGGGATGAATATTTCCTTAGTTTATCTAGCTGGTTGGCAATAAAACAAAAATGCCTTGCACTGCAGGTACTACTTTACAATGGTCTTAACTCATGTGTGTAACAGAATGTGTTGTAAATTGAAAAGCTCAGAAAATGTTTAAGGCACATAGGTGTCATTTTGCCCATTAATATGAAGAATTTCAATAGATATCAAAACTGGTCTGTCATAAAATCAAACCATTTATGTAAAATGTGATGAAAATCACTTACATTGCAAATCACTAATAACAGATTATGTAAGAAGATAACATCACAAACTTTAAAAGGGTACCTGCTGCATGGCTTCTGACAAGAAAAGTAGCCGGTGTTATTATATGCTTCATTATCAGTACCACAGAGCACTTCTCGTGAACTGCTTCGACAATAGCAATCTAAAAGATAATAAATGAAGTTGTAAAAAGCAAAGTCGGTCTTGTGATATATTTGTACAAAACGTGTTTTGTGATAGTCAGGTGCTTTTCTAAATTCCATTAACTGGCTACTTAACAGTAAATATGTACTTGAATTTTTAACAGCGAGGATAAACAATTAAGCGTGCCAGAGAACATCTCATAAATTCTATGGCACTAGTAAACAGAAAGTCACAAAATCTATTTCCAAACATTGGTGATACTTGAGAAGACTGTGCACAGCAAGCAAAAAATATATAAAAAGCCGAACACACAAACATAATTTCAATAACTGTGCTTTTAATTCACAAAATGAGTTTGCTTCCACAAAACTTAAAATATCTTTTCCCTGGTGCCATATATCTGGAACGTTTACTACATTCTGTAAGCTTTGAATTGTTACAAATCAAAATTTATCATATTACCTTTTTAAAATAATTCAAATCTAGTGTCAATGAAAGACATTAATAAATTGCTTAAATTCTAATGAATTCTAATTCCAAGTTCAACATTTACAAAAAAAATAGGTGTAACTTTTAAAAGCTGTACAATCTCACTCTTGACCGTATCAAAACCTGCCACACCTACCCGGTCACCAAGCCCACCTCACCAGACTACACTTTCCAGCAGACCCCATCAAACCGACAGTACAGCACTAATACCCGGGTCCCCAAACAGTCTGTTCCTTTGCTTCTCTGTTCCTTCTCGTGTTTTGAACACCTTCCGAACTATCATTCTTCCAATCTACCTCAAAATCTTCATTGCCCACGACCCCTCCAAATTTTTGGCACATTTCTCTCAGACATTTCCTCTCCTATCTTCCCTTAGCTCCTATTCCAAATGCCTCGTTATTTTTGGCAATTTCAAACTCTACTTCACCCTTGTGCCCTATTTTGATGATCCATCTGCCCATCTCTTCTCCTTCACCTCACCTACCACATCAACTCCCCCATCAACAACCATGGCAATTGCCATTGCAGGTTTTGAAAGTGAGAGGCCATTACCCTCCCACTTTCAAAACCTGCCTCAGACCTATATTTTCAATTGTACTTTTGTCCATCACCCACCCCTCATCAGCTCCTCTGCCAGCTTGGGCTCCCAGTCAACTGTCTGAAATGTCCTCCCAATGTGAAAGGCGCAAAATATACGAAAATTTGTCGTGTTGAAGTCTGATTGTGGATAAGTGTATATGTTTGCTGCTTACCTTGCTGAACCGTAAGCAAACATGGCTGACACTTCCCTGCATGACACACCTGGGCACATGTATGTTTTCCACAGTTCAGGAGATTATCACATACGTTATTGCATTGAATTGCACCAGCCTGACCACAGCGGACTGACTGACTGTTTGTGGGAGAAAATAAATTAAAACCCCTCAGAAATTGTGTAAAATAAAACAAGAAACAAAACATATCAGATTCAGTACAATATTTTTCATGAAATATCCACAGAAATGATTTTACTCATTGATTCCAAAGCCTGAGAGTATCCCTACGAATACGTGTGGGTGTGTGTATAACTTTGTTGAGCTTATACATATATATGTTTTATAAATGCTTAATTTTGAGCAATTCTCATGCTTTTAAAGAAACAACTATTTAAAAGTAGCCAAGATCAACTTTCAGGACTCCAGCATTGAGAGCTATTGGCAGCAAACACGAAAGTCACAACAGCAGAAAACAATGTGCAAATGTCAAATTAAGCAAGCCTCAAAGCTGCAGGATTGATTTACTGGACACGCACACTGCTCCACATTTCCTACCTGGTTCTGCCACATTCACATGCCTTTGTTACAAATGCAGGACATGATGGGCATGGCCCGGGATGGCACAAGCTGGTGGAAAGAGAAGGCAAAACAAAATGCTCAACATTCTTGCATGTTTAAAAATAACATTCATTCTATTTTTTTTAAAAAAATCTTTTTTTATACCCCAAAACATTTGAAATATTCCCAGGTTAATTTGGCATTTTGCTCACAAAATATGCAGTCAAAACCACTTTACAGTATATCCTGTGAAGTGCTTTGAGATGTTGCGACTACATGAAAGAAGCTATGTCAAATGCAACAACAACAACAAGATTCCATTTATAGAGCGCTTTTCACGTCGGGAGGACGTCCCAAGGCGCTGGACAGTTGGGTCAGGACCCGAGCAGGTGGGAAATGGTGAGGGGAGGGAAGGGCGGGAGCGAGGAGGGGGTAGAGAGCTGAAGGCACAGTCAAAGAGAAAGGCAAGAATTATTATTGTTTAATACAGTTGACATTGTGTCTGCTTTTGCTTGTGGAACTACATTTTAGAAAATCCCCACTCAAACTATAAAAAGCTCAGATGGAGCTTAACCTTAATTCACTTAAAACAGGATCTCTATACGGAATGGACTTCCGCAGTGAGATTCAACTTTTTTCCCCCAGATACATTTACCATAGAATATTGTTTATCCCAACTATCTGTATTTAGGTTTATTTGCATAAGGCTCAGAGACAAAAAATTACATGGGTTGTGAAAATCCAACAACGTTTGTACACGTTTCTTGGGACACTCTGACCTCGGTTGCATCACAATAAGACCATAGGATGTAGGAGCAGGACATTCGGCCCCTCGAGCCTGCCCCGCCATTTAATAAGGTCATGGCTGATCTTCTAACCTAATTTCATTGACCCACCCTATCCCCATATCCCTTAATCTTTCTATCCTTTAGAATATACTAATACGCGCATCTTCACATATACACATCAACTATATTTACACACTGGTAGCAAAGTTGAGACTATATTTTTACAATATGCAGTTTAGGGATAGTTAGAAATACTGCAGAGAGAGAAAGGTACATAGAAAGACAGAAAAGCTAAGAGTGAAAGACAAAGAGAGAAAAGGCAGAATGAAAGAAGAAGTCTGAGAAAGTGGTACAATGAAACTGGCAGAGAGCGAGAAAGAGAGAGAGGGGATCTGGCAACAAAATCGCTTGTAATAGAATTATTTTTTTTAAATTAGAGCTGTAAACTAATTTGTATTTTGCAGATTCCGTGAAAAAATTGTGGCCGCACTTTTCTATTGGCCCAGGTAATAACCCGCTGCTTTAATGGGGACAAAACTTCCAAAAGCAATTTGACCTGCAGTGAAGCAACATTGCATAACACAATTTTCCATCATAAAATGGTATATACCAAGATATGGTGGACACATTCTCACACTTGGTTTGTGCTTACATATTACATGGATGAGGGCAGTCGTTGCCAGATCTTTTCTTTCCACAAAGTTCTCCACAGCTGTGAGGGATTTCATTCCTGTTCCACTCTGGATTGTTGACCTTGCCTTACAAATACATACAACAAAATGTTATTACATACATTTTCTTTTAATTTGCAATTATGGTCCTCTATAATTAATGGTCTGTTTAGCTCTTGGCAGCTATGGTAAGAAGAGTGCTATTGAAGTGGGGCAGAGAACTTACTGCCACACACTGTCCTGAAATGCTGGTTCCAGACCTGATGCTGCAACACATTCTATCCAATAATATCATACGTATCATGATTTATTCTGAAGTCGGCAGGAAATTCTGTCAGTTAGTCGAGGCTGAGAACAGCATTACATTATCAGGCAATTTCACACTTGTGCCATTCTCTGATCTCCACCACCTTCATTTTCACATCAGGCCCAATTCCCTGTGGGTTCTCGAAACAAATGCCCATGCAATTAAAGTGAGATGTCAGTTGTACGGACAACAATTTGCATTTGAACAGCGTCCCTCACTCGAGGCAACGTCTCGGAGCACACAGTGGCACTTTAACAGACTGATGCCAAGCCGTGGGGAAGGAGGAGTTAACAGTAAGCACAGTCAAAGAGGAAAGGCTACAGTCGGGATCTAAAATAGGGGAAGGAGGGATTGGGGGTCAGAATTCCAAAACTTCCAAAGTGTAGTGGATGAAAGCGTGGCTGGCGACGGTGGAGTGGGGAGAAAGCAAGTCAGAAAGCTAGGGAGGTGCCAGAGCATGAATGGATTTGTAGCCTCATAAATGCTGACACAGAAGCAGGTCAATATAACTGATAGAAACGATAACTACGCACATACAGGCCAACCTGGTATCTGTAAATACCTGAAATATAACTCGTACCATGATTCAAGAATCATCTTATTGCAAAATCCCTGGGATCTTTCACCTAAAAGTAGTCATCAATGTTCGATTTCCCATTATATAGAAAACACGCAACTAGGCATTCATTTTGTTTGAAGACTTTCCTTTTCAAAGCATTTTGCACCATAAGAGAATATACTTTAAAAAGCTAATTATTGCTAAAATCAACATCACATTGAATTTCTGTACTTACCACAGAAACACACGTAAGAATTGGGGACCCGCACAGATACATTCTGACAAGCAGGACACCTCCAACCACCATGCCCATCTAGCGAGTAGAAAAAGATAAAGACCAATCATCCAGTTGTCCTGCACATACAAACTTTACCAAGATATATTAACTTGCAAAGAGGAACAATTATTCTTCACTCTGTTCTTGTTTTTCACCACCCAACAAATTAAACAATAATTCCATTATTAAAGATGCTCTGAAAACATTTACTGACCATCCACTCTAATACTTTTAACTTTGGAAATGAAACATAAATCATAAAGTTAACACTCTGGATGATACCAGGTTAAAATCCTCAACTACTAGACAAACTGTTTAGTAGATATCATAGCACAACAAAAATGTGTAGTCAGATACTATTCATTTCTCTAGATGTGGATTCCTCTGAGCTGCTTCATTTCCTTCACTGTTTGCAGGATTTCTACAACACATCTCTCTACATTGTTAATATTGCATAAAATTACAATGAACGATTAAATTCTCCTGATACCTAAACTGTGTGGTAGTGTGGTTATTAACCCAATAGCCTAGGAATGTCACGCCTGCATTCAATTTTTGGGCTGTATTACTTAATTTCAGAAAGAGTAGGATTGGATCACATTGCTCACAGTAGCTCGCACAAGGGATGGAAAAAAATGGTCAATGCTCTTGTTCCCTATTGAGCGACTTTTTAAATGCATGTGAACGTCAGATGAGGACACAATCAAACTCATAATAGTAAAGCATTCCAGTCACTCAGGATTCACTCGTGAAGAATGGCTACTTGAGTGAGTTCTGCAGAACAGCCAAAGCCTGTGGAACCGTACATACCACAGTGAGAGTTAATCTTTTAAACAAAGAAAATGGAGGAGAAAATATTGGATTCTTGAAGTATAGAAATTAAAACATTGTGCCATAATGACAGGGCATCACAGTACTTAAAAGTTAAACCTCTTATCTTGGCACATGTAAATAGTTATCATAGTGTAATTGCAGTACTAGTTGAGAATCTTGCTATTAACTGTAACTTACAAAGGAAGAGGAAGGCAGCAGACTCAAATATTGGACTAACCTTCAGCCTGAGAAGCAGGTGATCTTGCCCATTTCTTAACACAATTCAAGTGAAATACATGATAGCAGCTTTGGCAGCTCCATACTGGTGCCATCAGACGAACCACCTCACAGCAAACCATACATTCATACTTCTCAGCTGTAAGATGCTCAATCAATAATCCTAATAAGGAGGGAATATCAGTTACATAATTAGAACTGCAAACAATAAAACTGCACTCAAGCCTGCAGACAAAACTAGGCAATGGTCAGTATGAAGGACGCTGGAACATATAAGTGTTTCAAAAATGATACAATAATGAAAACAACATTTGAAAGTTTAAATTTCACCTGCATTACATGATTGAAGCCACCTGTCTGCTAAAATGTAAAGGCATCGGGGATAAAACTGATACTTTCATTTAATATATACATTGGAAACTGCTTAAACCGGACGGATTCTAGATTAACTGTCATATTTAAAATAGCTGAGATTACAAATGAATTGGGGCTGGGTGTTCTGACCGATTTTAACATCTACCTGAACAAGCAGAGGTTTAACATCTCAGATGAAGGATTGCATCTCCATCAATAAAGCACATTTCCCCCCATGACTACTCCCATAAAGCACTGCAGTATTGGCCTAAACTATTTAAGTTCAAAGTCCCAATGTGGGCTTGAACCCACCATCTTTACATTCAGAGAAAAGAGTGCTAGAAGCAGAGCCAGACTGATTCCAGAGAGGCATTAAACTGCACAATTGTTTTTTTTAAAAATGGTATTTCAAACTCTTGGCTATAGATTTCATTATTCTTTAGCTGACTGGGTGTAGGTGACAGGGAGATTTTCAGCTCTGTATTTAATGCAGCTAATATTTTCATTTACATCAGTCAAAACACACTGAGAACATCTCTGTATGCGGATTTCCTGCTCTACACATTTTTTAACAAAGGCTTTTGCTATACTATACATTACGTTTATCAATACATCAAAAGACACTGTAGACACTAGGGATTCAAAAAAATATTTCAGGAGTTACTGAGCTTCAACCATTAGTGCAAAAAACATGGGGAAAGAGGGGTGCACTTGAGGTTAAATGCAGAAAAACATAGCTGTTCTAACGCTATGCCATAAAATCCACTAAAAAACATTGTATTCCTCAAAGTTAAGAGTCCTGGTTCAATCATCCATATTCCAGGTCACTTTTGCTTCGACTGAATTTCTTATCAATAAACAGATATATTTTTCTTAGATGCTAGAACTTTCAGGGCATACATTGCCTGGTGGGAGAGAAGGTTTTATACACTTGCATTATTATCTTACATTAAATGAATGGCTTAAATAAATACATTCTATAAGGACGGGTAATTGGGCAACGCTTCAAAATGGCTTTTATAGTGCACTGGTGGAAATCTGGTACTTTTCAACAATGCAGAGTTGCATATAATTAGTTTTAATGCAAATTATTATACCTGAGCATTGATTCCTTTAATTCCATTATGAAACTAACCTGTGTGAGTCTCCTTGCTCTTATGCACTTCCATCTGTTTTTTCCAAAATGGCTTTCTGTCTGAATCAAACAATTTATTTTGCACATCTTGTGGTCGTTTTATTCTTCTCCTTTCTTTTTCCATGTCATTCACCTTCCAAGATTGTGTTCTGTGGCTCAGCTGTATATTTTCCCTTAACCTTGAATTCTCTCTCTCATCCTTGGTATCTCGTTCAGAGGGGTAAATGGAGGAGTTTGATCCTGCTCTCATATTCTCACTTTTGTACACTTTGTCATCCGAATACTCTCTACCCCAGGTGGATCCTCTTGGACTAATTTTACTTTTGTAAAAAGACCTTCGTTGCAAATCTTCGCTATATTTTGTATTGTTTTTCTCTGCTCCAGCTATTTCAACAGGTGCTTCCGCTATACAATGTGGACTGACATTTTCCGACCTTTCATTGGTTTTCCTTCCAAAAGTTCTATTGTATTTTTCAAAAACTGGCCTTCCTCGCTCGTTCATCCCTTGACTGGGTTTGTGAACGTAGAGATTGTTCTTTTTTGGTTTTGCTCCTCCTTGGTTGTCAAGTGCTCGCCAGTTTTCCTGCTCTGAACCATGACTTTTCCTATGTTCCACGAATTCTGCATCCAACTCCATTAAATCCTTCTCAGGCACATTTTTTGCTGAATCTTTTTCCATGGAATCTAGTTGTACAATACTTTCAGCAGTTTCCTGTTGAGACAATTCTGCGGTCCACCCTTCTCCAGGATAGATCTTCTCATTTCTCATGCGGTGCCGGCGCTGGTTTTGGAAACTATGAATACCTGCTTTGTTTCGGTTGGTCCCATGCCCTTCATTGGCTGCCCTGGGAAAAGGAGCTGGGCTCTCCTCATAACGACTTCTTGGGTGCTGGTAATTTTCCCTCTTGTGTGGCAAATCACGGCAATAGTTGCGATAGGGTGGTGGTCTTGACGATGGTAGAGGAGAGGTTTTGTTTCTGGTAAAATCCCCTGGCTTCTTATTTTTCTGGGGTGCTTGATTGTCACGTGTTTCGCGAGGAATGAAATCTGCAGCATCTGGATTAAGTTCCAGTCCACCTGTAGATTTAAAACAAGTTTTCTTTTAAATACAGTAACAGAATCAAGTAGATTACTGGAACAAAGGAATGTAAAACACTGAAAAAGGTAATTTGGGATTTTTTTTAACCTAATTTACTCCTAAATTTGTTTAACCTATTTGTCTCCATTGTCTTCCTGGATAGTCTATTTCATATATTACACTCCTGTAAACAAATCTAAAGTGGATATCTTTACAAGTTCAAATTACCTTCCTGTACAAATTCAGTATCCCTTTAGCTACATATTCAAGATCTGAACTTATCAGACAGCTCCAAGGATTTTTTTTATGATTTATTAGGTTCAAATACCATGGAATGCAATGGAAAACCTTAAGTGGTCCACCGATAACATCTGAAATTTCTTCTTACCATTATATTAATTACCAAGAAACACAAAGGACAGCAAGTTGTTGCTGCTGTGGTTAACAAATCTTTTCCAAGATTACTTGGAAAGACAACAGCATTCATTGTGATACTCTAACTCCAGAATTGATTCACAATTCACAGTTAATACATGGGATAAAACCTTCTGACTATGTCAAAGTAAAAGAGCAAATTTCAAACAGTTCTGAAGCAAGGATCATCAGAATTCTGAGGTGACATTACAGAATAAAACACCTCCAAAACCTATGCTGTGGAATTAAATTACAATAGTTTTAAGACGATGGACATCTTATTCCACATAGTTCTTGCAATGGCTTTCTGGGGAAAATGTGCACTTCATAACAGAGAAATAGAAGCATTACATATATAAAACTATCAGTAGTTAGGTCTGGGGACTTAAGCATGGTAATGGTTTCCCTGCATGTCAGATACCTGACTAGTGCCTTTCACTATACAAATGTAATTTTGTACTGTATTGTAACCCCCCCAAAAAAAACGCTTTTTCTTGTATTATAACCCACCCAAAAATAATGCCTTTTTGTTTAACTTCCTCTTAATAAATGACTCGAAATCAGAATAAAGGTATTTTATTGGAGGAAGACGGGGACGGGGGGGGGACCTGCATATTTTGCACACAGCACTGAAATCAAAAGATTTACCAGAACCCAAATCGTTTTCAATCAGTGCAGCGCTATGGTATTCTAATACAGTAATATTACATCCTGATGAAACGCCATCTCTTTCTGGCAAATAAATGATTTGGCAAATAAAACTATATGCGCAATCGAATCTCAGAACTAAACGTCGGGTTAACTTAGCGCCGAGACAAGCACAACAGGACAGGGCAGAGCCACAGCTGTCTTTAGTCTAAATTATTTGCAGTTTTTTTTTTTCGCGATGACTGCGAGACGTCTGAAGAAAATCTTCCAACGGCGACTCCGGCGACACTGCGCGCAACTGGAAACACACACACACAAAAAAAAAAGCACATTGCTGCTGAAACTACATGCGGGAAAGTAAGACCCTCCTCCTCAAATCTCTTCAGGGTCTTTGCAGTCTGTATATACCAAAGCTGTTTTGTCACAAATAACAGCCAACAGCAAACTGTACTAAACTCAGGCAGAGGTGCCCACATGTTGGGTCGTGCGCCACAACACCGCCCTCTCAATATTGTTTCTCTCTCCAAAGACAAGTGATACACAGCAGAGAAGACGCTCATCGTTAACTAATTAATGAAGTCATCGAGAAAGAAACTACGCGTCGAGGACCACATCGGCGGAGCAGCTTTTTTTCCCAACACTCCCCCCCCCCACACTCCCCCAACAGCCCCCAATCTTTTTGCCTCCAAAAACCAGGCGGTGAGAGGCAGAGAGTGAGTGCCGGAGATCCGGGACCTGGAGCGGCGGGAAGTGCTGTGAACATACAAGTGGCCGAGGCCGAGGCCTCTCTCAGTGGGAATGACGGCCGCACCTGGACCCGGAGCCGCCGCCGCCCCTCCAGATGCTCACACACTGCGACTGAGAGCAGCTGCAGCAGCGCTCCCTGACCCGCACTGACCCGCACTGACCAGTCCAGTCCAGTCCTGACCTGATGACTGACTGACTGACTGACCACTGTGTGTGTGTGTGTGACACGGCGGCCGCTGCGCTCCTGGCGCTGTTGGTCACGTGAGCCGCCCCGCGCCGCCCCTCCCCCTCAGTGCCGGCGCTCCGGGCCTCGGGCCTCGCTCTCAGGTGAGGCCCTGTGGCCGCCAGAGCCGCTCGCACCCCCGCCTCTCCCTCTCCCGCCAACACTCGGGGATACAGATTCACTGCGCTCCCCGCCGCCCACCTACCTGCCGGGGCTGTCGCCATTGCCGGCCGCCCCCGGGCCCCCCGCCGGCCGCTGCCGCTGCCCGAGCCCCGCACCGTGGCGGCCCCGCGCCCGCGCAGGAGTCCCGAAACTCCCCGCTACCGCGCACGCGCGGCTCACACAGCGCAGACCGCCGGCCACTGGGGGGCGCTGTGACCGGGAGAGGCCGCTGACGACACCAGGGGAGGGGAGGGGGGGGGTTGCGTGCAGCGCCCCCTGGTGGATGAGATTTTTATAACGCTGAAGGGATCCCAATGGGGGAAGATACAGGGAAATCATTATAATAATAATAATAATAATCCTTGTATTTGATATAGCGCTTTTCACGTCGGGAGGACGTCCCAAAGCGCTTCACAGAACACACTGTAAAGTGAATTGACTGTATATTTGTGGGCGAACGCGGCAGCCAATTGCGCACAGCAATGCCCACAAACAGTCGTAGGTTGAATATGACCAATTTATCATTGTTTTGGGTTTTTGGAGGGATTATTATTAGGCTCTGTGTGGAGTAAGGAAACTTGCCCAAGGTTTCGCCCTCTGCCTGGAATTGAACTCAGGTCTCTCGCTTGCAAAGCGAGTGCTCTAACCACTGAGCTACAGGACTCCATTCCCTCTGGTGGGGCATCAGCTCATCATTGGATCTATATATATATATATTTGTTGGGTCAGTGGATCAGAGGCAAAAGGTGGGCAATTGGAGTGGAGGTACGGATCAGTCATGATCCTATGGAATGGTGGAACAGGTTGGAGGGGCTGAATGGCCTCCTGTTTCCATGTCCGTACTGACCCCGGAGGGCAGGTCGGGGTGTCTGCTGCACACGTGGAGGTGCTGGTCTTCAGACGACACATTAAGCCGAGCCCCCGCCCTGTACTGGGGGAGAAGAGAATGGAGTTTCTCCTGGTGTCGCGCCCAGCGACGCCCCACATAACATTGGTCATTCACTTCATAGCTGTTAGACAAAAGAGGTCCCCTCCCTTCCCTCCCCTCACCCTGACCATTTCCCCCCTCCTCGCTCCCTCCCTTCCCTCCCCTCACCCTGACCATTTCCCCCTCCTCGCTCCCTCCCTTCCCTCCCCTCACCCTGACCATTTCCCTCCTCGCTCCCTCCCTTCCCTCCCCTCACTCTGACCATTTCCCCCCTCCTCGCTCCCTCCCATCCCTCCCCTCACCCTGACCATTTCCCCCCTCCTCGCTCCCTCCCTTCCCTCCCCTCACCCTGACCATTTCCCCCCTCCTCGCTCCCTCCCTTCCCTCCCCTCACACTGACCATGTCCCCCCTGCTCGGGTCCTGACCCAACTGTACAGCGCCTTGGGACGTCCTCCCGACGGGAAAGGCGCTCTATAAATGGAATCTTGTTGTTGTTGTTTATGGGAAATTCAAAATGTTGAATTATTGATTCCCGGGCAGGACGAAATGGGATTTGTATCTGGATTTCAGTAATAATAACATATATAATAATAACATATATAATAATAATTTCATGTCTTCTCGACATCTCAAAGCGCAGTAAGGCCTTTGATACAGTTCCTCTTGAGGGGCTGGTACTGAAAGTAAAGAAAGCGGGAATCAGTGGAGGAATATTATAATTGATATGCAATTGTTTGACCGGAAAAACCCAGAGGGTGGTGGTACAGGGAATATCATCAACTCAAGTGTTACCATTCGAGTTCTACAAGGGTCTGTTTTGGGAACTAATGAAGGTGGTAGATTGTGAAGCTGAACAAGATAGGTTACAGGAGGATTTGAACATACTTGGGAATTAGGCAAGTCGGTGGCAGATGAAATTTAATGTGGAGAAATGTAAAGTGCTTCACATGGGGACACAAAGTCCTGGAAGGGACTATTATTTGAACGGAAGGAAAATAATATGTATGGGAAATGGAAAGAACCTGGGGGTCCTGATTGACAATAAATTGAAGCTCTCCCAACAATGCTCTATGGCAGTGAGTAAAGCAAACCAGATGTTGGGATGTATCAAAAGATCAATAACAAGCCAAAATAGTGGGCTAATCCTGCCACTGTATAAATCATTGGTGAGACTATACTTAAGAGTACTGTGTACAGTTCTGGTCACCACAGTACAAAAAGGATATTGGAGAAATCGAGAAGATACAGCAGAGGGCAACCAAAATGATTAAGAGAATGGAAGGACTGGACAATGAGCAGCGACTAATCGCCCATGTTCATGCTGGAAAAGAGAAGATTGAGAGGCGACATGATTGCTAACAATCAGGTTCCTACTTACTTCTCGGTAAATAGAGGCATGTGGACGAAGTAAACTTTTACAACGTTTCGTCCTGCCTGGGAATCAAACCCAGATCTTCTTGCTTGCGAGGCGAGTGCTCTAACCACTAAACTACAGGACTGAACAATTCAACCAGAACCCCAAAATGTAATTTTCTTTCCTGTTTTGGTCCAGAGAAATATCCTTGAACATCAACGCAATGAATTTGTTTTCATAGATTTATGGAAGGTACAGCTCAGACACAGGCTGTTTGCCCATCCAGCCTGGCTGGTGTTTAAACTCCACACAAGTTCCCATCCTAGATCACATCTCTAGTCTCATATCCTGTCTTTATCCCCTATATTCTTCAACTTTATTTTCTCTTAACTATACGTCCAGTCNTTTTTTTTGAACGTGCACATTGTTGTCGCCCCAACAGATGACATTAGAAGAGAATTCCATACTCCTACCACTCTCTGTGTGAACGATTTTCCTAATCTCTGTTCTGGACCTCCCAGTTCTGATTCTAAAAACTATGTCCTCTTGTTCTCGAAGCCCTGACCAGAAGAAATAATCTTTCCCTGTCCACTCTATCTAAAGCTCCCTTGGACTTCTTTCAACTAGCATTTCTTATGTTCTTACTCACTTTACAGCATATTCTGTGAAGCGCTTTGAGATGTCTCGATGACGTGATAAGGCACTATATCAAATGCAAGGATTATGTTATTAATTATTATGTGCAGAATAACCAGCCGTATTGCATGGAGCAATTTTGTATTTCTAATATCGGTCTCTGAGGGAGCATCAGACAAACTGACGCTACAAATCATTCCATTCCACTACAGTCATGATGGCTTTTTAATTCCTGTTTAATAGCAGATTTATACACATCCGTTTAGTTATGTAGATGGTGTATAGATTTTTCAATATTTATGATGTGTTGTAAAGTTAATTAAAATGAATTGCTTTAAGTTAAACTATCAATCACACTCAGCAGTAATAGAGAAACATTTTTTTATGTCTTCATTACAGTGATAACAATTATATAACTAAAGATTTTGGCTAGCCAGCCCTGACAATACTTGGAAATATTGCTTACAGTGTGAAGCTTGTGCTATATCAAAACTATTTGCCTTTCAGTTCGACTTTATCTAATCATTGAAAATATTAGCAGGGAAAGCAGCAACAACATTGCATCACACCCTTACAAATCTAGCACAGTACCTTGTATCTTGCATTAGATATATAATAATAATCCTTGCATTTGATATACAACAACAACAACAAGATTCCATTTATAGAGCGCCTTTATAATAATATAATAATAATAATAATCCTTGCATTTGATATAGCGCTTTTCACGTCGGGAGGACGTCCCAAAGCGCTTCACAGAACACACTGTAAAGTGAATTGACTGTATATTTGTGGGCGAACGCGGCAGCCAATTGCGCACAGCAATGTCCCACAAACAGTCGTAGATTGAAAATGACCAATTTATTATTGTTTTTTGGTTTTGGAGGGATTATTATTAGGCTCTGTGTGGAGTAAGGAAACTTGCCCAAGGTTTCGCCCTCTGCCTGGAATTGAACTCAGGTCTCTCGCTTGCAAAGCGAGTGCTCTAACCACTGAGCTACAGGACTCCTTTCACGTCGGGAGGACATCCCAAGGCGCTGTACAGTTGGGTCAGGACCCGAGCAGGGGGGACATGGTCAGGGTGAGGGGAGCGAAGGGAGGGAGGGAGCGAGGAGGGGGTAGAGAGTCGAGAGGGGAGCTGAAGGCTCGGTCAAAGAGAAAGGTCTTGAGACCGGCCTTGAAGGAGGAAAGGGAGGAGGCGGCGAAGGCACTGGGGGATAGAGTTCCAGAGCCATAGAATTCCATAGCCCCTTATCACATCTTCAAGATGTCTCAAAGCGCTTCACAGAATATACTATAATATTAATTGACTATATTTTTGTAGGTAAAAATATGTCAACCAGGCAAAGGAACAGTGCAGGCATGTTGTACACACAGTGTCAGCATCACAGTCTTTGAGCTTAGTAGTATCAAGGTCAAATGCAGGTAGAATCATAAAATCATAGAATTATACAGCACAAAACGAGGCCATTCAGCCCATCGTGTCTGCCGGCTTTTTGAAAAGAGCTATCCAATTCAATCCCACTCCACAGCTCTCCCCATAGCCCTGCAAACGTGTCCTCCCCAAATAATTATCTATTTCTCTCTTAAAAGCTGTTATCGAATCGGCTTCCACCATCCTTTCAGGAAATGCGTTCCAGGTAATTGAAAGTATGTATATTACAAATGTCATGTCTCTGCTCTGCTTCGAAAAATGTAACAGAGAGGAGTTCCTGCCTGTTGGCATGATGTATTTGAGCTTCCTTATTATAGAACCTATTAGAAATCAGTCTGCATTAGATTCCAATGCATATTTATCAACTTAATTTCCATTGGGATCAGGTGGATTTTCTGATTTTATCATTAGCCAAGGTTGCCGAGGAATATGAACAGATCAGTGTTCATCACTGTTCCATCACTCATATCTGGCACCTTTTCCGAATGCCGAAGGCCATCACAACTTATTAGCTTTCCATCTTTGACTCTGACCTAACCATATGCTATGCAGTTTATTTCTAAATGTCCCGACAACCTACTTTATAGAGCGTGCCAAGTATCTATCATTCTTCTGATTAATTTAAAGCTGAACTTTACGATTTTAAATTTACATTCCCCTTTACCTTTTTTGCTCTTCTTGAACCAAATGACAGAGTAGTGCTATTCTACACATTATTCTGCAGGCGGCAGTAGTGCTCTTTGTGCTAATACCTCAAATTGCTTTATTGTATGTTCACCAGCCAACACTTCACAATCAAAGACATTTTACAAAAATTACGATTATAGGACATTCAGCCTTCAATTATCAGTTTATCGGATCATTGCAAATCTTTTAATTCCAGTTTCTCCCTTTTCTCATTAACTCTTGCTCTATACACATGTTAAAAATAAGGCAATGCCTTGTTGATGAAAGTGTATCTTGCGTCTAAATAATCTAAAGAAAATGATACACTAGCAAAGTTCTTTATTGAAAGAAACTCCCTCCTTGTCAGCCTCCCCAACTCTTCCCTCCACAAGCTGCAGATCGTCCAGAACTCTGCAGCTCGTGTCCTCTCCCGCACCAGCTCCGTGACCCCATCACCCTCGCCCGACTCCACTGGCTCCCCATCCTTAGAGGATAGAATTCAAAATCCTCGTCCTCACTTTCAAGGCCTACCACGGCCTTGTCCCCTCCTACATCTATGACCTGCTGACCCCTTATCAACCTGTCCGCTCCCTCCGCTCAGCAGGCTCGGTCTGTTCCAGGTCTCCGCCCCACCGGCCTCCCATTGGGGGCTGAGCTTCCAGCCTCTCTGCCCCCACCCTTTAGAACTCCATCCCACAATCCCTTCACCTTACTCCCTCTCTTGGCTCCTTCAAGGCATCAAAAATTCAGAATTACAATGAAAAGATTCTTATCCATTATGGAACGACAGCTCACAGTCCCTTAGTTCTTCCCACCAGCCTTACCTGTCCATGTTCTCAAAGATAGCTTGCATTGGCCATAATGATGATGAAGATCATAGTAGGTGGGAGTTTGACTTCCAATTCTAGATTCGGGTTATCTACAGCTTCTGCTTTTGAAGATGAAATCTGCAGTAACCTAAATCGCTTTACACCTGAGAGATCATAGCTTCCTCCAACCCAAGGATATTGATGGCTGCAGTGAGACTATGAGACCATAGGTTCGCCTCAACCTAAGAGTTACTAAAAACTGTAGCGATCTGCCTTAAAAGATGCATTCCATTTTACCAGCCAAGGATCACAGAAAGAAAATCAGAAGCAGAAGTGGCACTATGCATGTTCTAGGCTCCGAGCCCTCTCCGTGTGTGCATATTGGCTACCACTGCAGACCCCAGTGCCCTAACTCTTGTCTTCCATCTCCCTATGGGAGGAAGGATTTTTTTTAATAGCCAACCACTCTATTACCAGTTTGAAGTTCCAACCAACAATAAGAAAAGCACAGCTGTGTAATGAGAAATCAGCTACATTGCATCTCTACTCAAAACAACTACGATTGTGCCTTGGAATTCACTCCAGAATATAACAAGTGGCATCGAGATACCAGAAACCTCAGGCTGTTGAGAACTTCTCTTTGTAAGTTAAATGCAGTATCAAAGGATTCCTAAACACTGTTGATGACCACAAGTAAGTGTTAACATGCAATGCCTTATTAGGTTTTAGCTTTATTAAGCTTTAACTTTAATAGGTTCTAAATTAATTCTGCAGGCAGTTAAAGATGACTAGATATGCTAATGTAATTAAACTGAACTCCTCCAGTGAAACAAATATTTTTTGTAAAAAAAATTGTATAAATCGTACTTACACAAAGCTGAAGCTGACTAAATGGGACAAAAGTTCCTTCTTCAACTAAATTTCAGCTGTGTTTTTTTTACAATCTTACCAAACGATTGGAGTTTTAAATTGGTTTCTTGATGAATATCATTTATTGGAGAGAGGGAACAAGCAGTACAAAAGTAAAACTTAACGAGAGAATTTAAAAGTCAATCCTTCCAGAATGAAATCAAAAATTGGCATGAGATCATAATGCAATAATCATAAAAATGCATAAAAATAACCAAGAATTATTGAACATGCTATGGGTAATAAAGGAACAGGATGAACCATTTTATTATTGTAACTAATAATAACCCTTGCATTTGATATAGCATCTTATCACATCTTCGAGACGTCTCAAAGCGCTTCACAGAATATACTATAAAGTGAATTGACTGTATATTATGTGGGACAAATTGTTAGAGATGCCATCCTTTGGATGAAACTGGGGTTCTGTCTGCCTGTTCATGTTAACGATGGCACATTACTACTTGAGAAGTGAGTTTCCGCTGGTGTCCTGGCCAACAATCCCCCAAATAAAATAGGTCGCTCATTTTATGACTGTTTGTGGAACGTTACTGCACAAATTGGTTGCTGCATTCATCTACAAATACACAGTATTTATACTCTACTGTAAAATCCAGTGAAGATGGATGGATGAAGATGGATGTTTTGAGATGTTTCAATAATGTGATAAGGTGCTATATCAGATGCAAAGATTATTATTTATTTATCTGCTGAAATCTTGGTCCACTTGTTTCATCATGGCATGATTGATGCTTTATGTACCTAGCATTTCTCCAGCTTTCTCTCCAGTTCATCCCAGCTGGGTTCAGTGGGTTTGAAGTTAAGATGCTTGTGAAAACCATCACATTGATGGATGCAACAATCTAGTTTCCACTTACAGGCTATGCTATATGGAGTGGAGCACAGTAACCATATTAAAGGAGAGATATCGCATAGATAGAACTTGATGCATCAGAAGATATAATAATAAAAATCTTTGCATTTGGCATAATGCCTTTAACATCAGAGGATGTCCCAAAGGATTTCACAGGATATGGATGTTGTATATGGATCAGTTTCCTTCCGTAGTGTTTCAATGACTCTATATAATTTATGCCATACTATCTAACAATTATTCCCATGATATATTTTCCATGTCTTGATGTAATTACAATGGGAAATATCAAAACATCTGTAACTACTCTCCATACAAGCGGATTTCCCCCTGTATTGTTTTCTCACTCCAGTTCAGTGGGTAGCTGTTCAAGGAAGACCATCATAAATGTTCTGGTTCTCTTACGAATGAAGCAGGAAGGGGGATTATGACCAGGACACTGAGCTTATTACGAAACAGCTTAATATTGTAATAGGAAGCCTAGAGTCAATATCCTAGTGCTGGGGAAGCTGTCATCCTTCAGGTGAGACATTAAGTCAATCATCTTGAATACCTATTCCAATGATGGTTAAAAATCCTATGACAATCTCTGAACAGAGAATGGACCTTGTCTAGTGTCCTGGCCAACACTCAGTCCACCAGGTAATAAAATGATCTTCACTTTGTTGCTATTTGAGGTACATTGCTGTGCACAAATTGGCTGCTGCATTCACTCACAAACACACAATTACTACACTTTAAGCATTGTCGGCGGAACTGAGGGAGGTGGAAGCTGAGCACCCCCCACCCACATGAAAAAGTTGAGGATATGTTTCTGCCCCCCCACCCCAACTCCTTAAGGCTGTAAAACATTTCCTTTCAAACACAGGAAATTTTCTGCGCACCCCCATTAATTGGCTCTCGATAGTTCCCAGAGTCCAACAACCAGGTGAATGACAATTTGGACCAGCCAGTCATCACCCAGAGCCTGCCCTCCCTGGTGAATGACAGCTATGATAACCACGGAGAGCAACTTCTCACATGACACAGACTCCTCCCATCAAACCTTCCTCCCTGAGGTGCTAGCGCCCTCGACAATATTATAAGATGGATAAAAGATATCTCAAGAGAAAACATTGTCTGGATCAAGAGCCAAAGCAGCCAGAAGTTGAAGTCCATGAAGATGAAGTGTGTTAAGACAAAAGTCCTATTAATGTTATTATTCCAAATGTTGCTCCTTCATCAACAAACCAGTGGTGGTGGAATGGGGCACTGGGGGGGGCAAGAGTCCCGCCCCCAGTGAAAACGTTGAAGGGGCAGAAGTACGTTTAATCTCCCAATGTAAAAACCTTCCACCATCGTCATCAATGTTGAGGATGGACTCGTCAAAAGTGCCATCATTCAGGTTGAAGATGAGAACGTTCCTCTCCCCCCTGACCTTCTTGTCTAGGCTGTAGGCAATGACGGCTGATGTTGGCTTAATGATGATGAGCCTGGTGATCACTCTGGCATCTTTGGTCATCCAATGCTTGGAGTTTTTAAAGTAAGGCTTGTGACGATTTTGTTACCCGTCCCCCACCTACCAACCTCTGGCTTCACAGCCTGTAAAAGGCTTCTGCCTATGCTTTAAGGCAATGGTGGCCAACCCATGGCCCGCGGGCTGGAAGTGGCCTGCCGAATATTCACACTAATCTCGGTAAGTCTGTTTTAAATCAATGTTTTGTTTCCAGTAGCTACAGGGTGGCGATGTTCATGGTGTGGCCGTAGATCAAGAAATATTCAATCAAGAAAATTTATTTGATTGGCCGATCAAAAAGGTTGGCCACCACTGCTTTAAGGTAAACTCTGTGAAACACTTTGAAGTGTTTCAACCTAATAAGTCATTACATCAAATGCAAGGATCATTATATGGATCTGAAACTTTGTGACTAAATGGGCCAAAAGTTCCTTTTTCAATTAAATTTCAGCTTTTTTTTACAATCTTATTAAACAGGGTTGTCGTTTTTAAATTGCTTCCTTGATAAATATCATATATTGGAGGGAGGGAACAAGTTGTACAAAAGTAAAACTTTACCAGGGATTTTAAAGCTGCTAGTCAATCCTTCCAGATTGAAATCGAAAACCGGCCTGAAATCATAATGCAATACTAATAAAAAATGCTTAAAAATAACTAATAATTGTTGAACATGCTACGGGAAGAGGAACAGGATTAATGGTGTATTAATAATAATAATACATTCATCTGATATAGCACCTTATCACATCTTCTAGATGTCTCAAAGCACTTCACAGGATATACTGTAAAGTGAATTGACTGTATTTTGTGGGTAAAACGCGGCAGCTAAGTGTGCACAACAATATCCCACACATAGTGTTTAAAATTTAAAATTCTGCAAGCCAGAATCCCACCACACATGTAGACAATTCCAAATTTTTAAATTTATTCTATTTATTTAAAATTCACTTTTATTCATTTTAATACTCAATGCATAAGGCTAACAATAATTCCAATGTGACAGTCAGTATTGGGGAACACAATTGAAGATTGAACACCTTGCCTTGCGTGCCAATGCAGGCTTGATGGGCCAAATGGCCTTCTTTTGTGCTGTAAATTTCTTTGAACTTATATATGAGCCGGGTAACAATTTAGATGCCCTATGGTAAATGGTTAGTGCTGAGATATCCAAAATTCTCAAACAGGAGACTAAATAAATCAAGCAAATTCTTGTTCCAGCACTTTCGTGAGATAATTAACTAAGCTTTCTTTCAGACAGGTATTTTGGAGTCAAGGAAATCTGCACTTGAGGGCTTTTTTAGAAAAACATGAATTGTATAAAAAAATGAATTTGAGTAGTTTAAGATAATAATGCTTCCAAAGCGGTTGCAATTTATGTTTGCCACCTGCATCCCAATAGATACTCTGCTGAACCTGATAAATTTCAGATTCAGCAGAGTATCTATTTACAATGGAAGTCTGAATAGAAAATTGATAAGCTGTCAACTGCTTGTTTTGTTTCTGAATTGATTTGCAGATACTACTGTGCTAACAATATAAGTTACAGGTCAAGATTACTGTGTGGCAACCATTTACTACAAATACGTGAATTAGTTATACAGAGCAAAACGGATGAATTAAGTGTACATTGTAAGTGATGACTGCACATTTCACTTGCAAAACTGAAACCAAATACTACTTTGCTGGTCTGGGCATTCTATTGTTTGAAAAACATCAAACCACTTTTTAGAGAGAAAAGAACACATTGCTGTGTTCTGTAATTTAGAAATTATAAATTGCTGTGATGTTTGACAGTCAACAAGCATTAATATATGTGTATTTTGTACTTTCTCTGTAATGTACTTTGTCAATTTCTCAAGACTGCTAAAGTTGATGATGTAATGGTAAAACACTACATAAGAGGATATTATTCACAGCTGAATAAACAGGAAATAAAATGTTAGCAATGAGGCAAGTGGTGTTTCAATTCATCTATTGGGTACTCACTGCCTCAAATATGTACTTAGTCAGGATTCTAATAAGAAGAAAGACCACATCAAGCACTGAAAACATTGGTCCTCAATGGTAGGTTTTGTCAGGTCTTAGCTGGATTGTTAGATGGAGCAGAGGTTTCTGCTCGCAGCAGCCCCGGGAGAGTTACTATCAGGACCTCACATCTCCACATTCTTGTTGGCTCCAAGTGATCTTACCAGTGACAGTGGAGATATTTGCCAGTTTGATGGAGACAACTATCTTTGTGGTGATGGGTCTAAAATGTGGGATCTTTGAAAAATAAATGCTATCCATTCCTGAATGTGTCTCAGAATGACCCATTTATCCTGTGGAGTCCTGCAACTCAGTGGTTAGAGCACTCGCCTCACAAGTGAGAGACCTGGGTTTGATTTCTGACAGGGCGAAATGTTGGGCAAGTTTCCTTACATGGTTCTGTTTACCTAGTAGTTAGTAGGAACCAGTTGTTAGTTGATTGGTGGATTATTTTTCCAGGGATAATAATCCTAAAAAAAAGAATAATAATTTGGTCACTCAATCCACGACCGTTTGTGAGACATTCCTGTGCGCAATTGGCTGCTGCGTCTCGCCCACAAATATAGTCAATTCACTTTACAGTATATTCTGTGAAGCGCTTTGAGTCATCTAGAAGACGTGAAAATTGCTATAGCAAATGCAAGGATTATTATTATCAGAGCTTCACATGGATGTCAATCGCATTAGCGACTTCTGTGCAGCCAAAAGAGGCTCCTGGTGACTGAGGTTTGGCCTGATACACATGCCAGTACTCCATAGTATTTGTTATTTACAAATCAATTTGCAATTATCTAAACCTCTCCCTCTTGTTGATGTTAATTTAGAATCGCCGGCAAACAAATAAAGTCAGTGTTTACAAACACACAAATTACTTTCTAAATCAATCAGAATTTGAGTGGTGACTAAAATCGTTTTTCCAACAATTTGTCTTTTCTGCTCTACAGGCATCATACTTCTTATTCTTTGTACTGGGGTATATATGGTTCAGCAGGAATCATTAACTATAATAATAATATATAATAATCCTTGCATTTGATATAGCACTTTTCACGTCTTCTCGACGTCTCAAAGCGCTTCACAGAATAGACTGTAAAGTGAATTGACTGTATATTTGTGGGTGAAACGTGGCAGCCAATTGCGCACAGCAATGTCCCACAAACAGTCATGGATTGAAAATTATCAATTTATTATTGTTTTGTTTTGGAGGGATTATTATTAGGCGTATGGAGTAAGGAAACTTGCCCAAGGTTTCGCCCTCTGCCTGGAATTGAACCCAGGTGTCTCGCTTGCAAGGTGAGTGCTCTAACCACTGAGCTACAGGACTCCACTCTCCGGTATCTTGCTCGATTATTTCTACATGCGCCTTGACAGGGAGTTTTGGCAGCCGATTTGTCAATGGGGGACATTTCAACCGGTTCCAAAGAGTCTTCCTCCACCACATCCCAAACACACAGCATCTTCTTGTAGTTCTGGTTCAGAAATAATTGCAACCCTGGTTGAGGCTGATTATAATTGTTGCAGAAACTGAAGTGAACATCCTTTCCTTGGCACAGACTGCAGACCTTGCAGGCTGCCTCGGATAAAAACATGACTATTATATTTATCACATTTGGTTTTGTATGAATTTGCACATTTGGTTTTGCATGAATTTGAGTGGTTTAATGCCATATAAAATCAGATAACTTTGAGAATTCTACTTTGCTCTGCACTGACTGTAATTGTAGGCAAACTTGGTTGCCAATTTGCACACAGCAATGTTCCACAAAAATTCATGAAGTGAATGACCAATTTAATCTGGGGGACTGTTCAGGATATGGGGGAAATTTGCTTCTTTTTCATAGTGCCATGGGATCTTCAACATCCACCTGAACAGGCAGATGGAACCTCTATTTAATTTCTCATCCGAATAACAGCACATCCAACAATGCAGCACTACCCAAACACTACACCTTAGGCAGTGAGTTTCAAGTCCCAACATGAGTCTTGAACCCATAATCTTTATCCCACAACCTAATCCACAAATTAGATATAGATCTAAATATAAGATTAATTCGACAGGTAATTAACTTTATTAGATTAGGATACAAAGCCAAATGCTGGTGATAGAGGGAACTTTACAATTGCTTATTTACATGTGCATTCAATAACATTATGAAGGTATGTCTTGGCTGATAAAGCATTTTATGGAGCATTTACACTGCAGTACCTGAAGGTGTTCCATAATATCCTCAGTTACTAATACTGAGAAATTCTGTCTGTCCATATTGCAAAGATTCACAGAGGATGAAATTGGAAGGCTTTCAAAATAGATTTGGTGTGACATGGAAGGCATGAAATATTTCCACAACTTTGTAAAACAACAACAAAATTACATTTATAGAGCGCCTTTCACATCGGGAGGACATCCTAAAGCACTGAACAGTCAGGTTTTGGGGCCCGAGAATGGGGGAGGGGTGATGTAGGGGTGAGGGAAGGCAGAGAGGTGGGAGGGAGACGAAAGGCACGGTCGAAGAGAAGGATCTTGAGACCAGCCTTGAAGGAGGCAAGGGAGGAAGCGAGGTGAAGGGACCGTGGGATGGAGTTCCAGAGTGTGGGGACAGAGAGGTTGAAAGCCCGGACACCAATGGTAAAACAAATCACTGAGTTCAAACATCCCAAACTTGCACATGTTGTACTGCTCAATACTCACTACCTCCTAATGGCTCAAATGTTGTTAAAGTGTTCATTTCTTTCTCAGTCTCTTGGTGATTCCTCGGAAGACATGGGATTAACTTCCACATGTAGATAGATAACTCCCAAATCTATTTTTCTACTTCCACTCTTGATTCCAGGTCCACTGATGTTCTGTTCTCTTGCCTGTCATACATCAAATGCAAGGATTATTATTATTATCAAGCCTTGAGGTTGGTTGACATCCAATGCAGTGCTGTGTGTCCATCGCGGAGGACTGTCCTTTGGATGAGATGTTAAACTGAAATCCTGTCTGCTTGCTCAGATAATGTTAAAGCTGGCACTATTTGAAAATAGGAAGGAGTTTCTCCTGTTGTCCTGGCCAACAATCCCCCAAATAAAATTGGTCACTCACTTCATGACTGTTGGTGGGACATTGCTGTGTGCAACTGGCAGCCATGTCCCACCCACAAAATATACAGTCA